ACACTTGGTATGTAATGTAAACATGTGTGTGCAACTATCGTGAATGGAAGAGGGAGGCCTATTATTCGTTGTTTTTGCTTTTTCTGTTTGTTTTTTAGGCAATCAATAATTTAATTCAAAATCCGTGTAGTACCTGTTATAGAAGGCTTTTAACTTAAGTATGGCAAAAGTCGGCCTTTCAGATGTTGTAACAACAAAGTCTAAGAAGACTTGTTCAAAGTCCATCTCTCCCTGAACACTTCAATGGGGAAATAGGCCCTATATATTTTGGACTCGGACTTCTTTTTTTTTTTTATAAAACTCCACCATAATCAAGATAAGTGAACACTTTTCTTCATTTACAAGGAAAATATTGGTCAACTGTAAAATTACATGTGAGTTTGTTTAACTGTAAACATAATCATCATGAAATAAAAAGTAAAATACCGGTATCAACAGGCATGCAACTTTTCCTTGGATGTGCTGATTTCCTTGCTTTTTGCTTCGCGTGAATGCCATTACAAATTGAAAGATACTGCAGAAAGTCTTGTGTTTTGAGTTTCCTCGTTTTTCTTCTTCTAAATTCGCAGTTCCACGCCTGTATCTGTCATAAACCTTAACCAAACAAAAATCCATCAGTAGACATTTCTGCTGATGTGACAATTCAGTCGTCGGGCATCTTCCCAACGAAACGCTCCGCTCACTCACATTTACTAAGTCACGTAATGTAATGTTCTCGTAGCTCACGGCAAACAGCTAGACCATCAGCGCGAACGTTATAGTTAGGATGTTCAATTGTGTGCGTGCCTGCCGTGAATGTTAACCCATTTGCAAATCCCATTATGCTTCAAGCATGCACTCGATGTCACATGAGTGGGAAACTGAAGTAGGCATGAGAAGCCACTGGGAAAAAGAGCTTACAATGTTGGAAAAGTGACAAGCTTGGCAAAAATGAATCAACATTGTCAGAATTCAGAAGTCATCTCTGAGTTGTTTTTTTGCTAGTCCAGCCTAGGGCTGTGCATCGGAACCGGGTACCCGAGTACCCGAGCGTTGATGTTAGGAACCGGTTCCAGATTATGGGATCGGGCACCCGTAACCAACTTCACAAATGACCTAGAAGGGCCTAACTTCTCAATAAAAAAGAAATGTTTTGTATGTCATTTGTGGAAAGTATTTAAAGCGAAAACCGGACTAGTGGGAAAACAAAACATATTTCATATTTGTGACGCAGCGCTGGCGAAGTTGCAGTTTTCGCCGTAAAGCTATAAAGCTCATTGTTCACACTTCTATCTTGCTACATTTTAACGCACCGATGTAGTAGTGCGGACCTTTATGCACAATCTGAACATCAACAGCAACTTCCGAGATTTCAATTTTGGGGTTGGGTTTGGTACCCACGTTTTAATTTTTTTCAATTGGGTAGCTAGTTCCCATACTACCCGAAAATGCACACCACTACTCCTGCCAATAGTCTGCACCTCACTGACTGGCTCACAAACTCGCTGTCACTTGTCGGCTGGGCAGTGCTGTTGTATAGGATTACCCATAATGTCAGTGAATAGGGGAACCATTGTGTAGATCAGTTGCACAGGTAAAGACTTGCAGTGAATAACCATTCTGAATCAGGTGAAGCATTTTGTGTACTCACAGACCAACGGCACTGTATGGGCTTGGCTTGTTGTTTTATTTTAAATCAGTTATACATGTAGTGTAAAGAAAACAAACTCTACTAAAGAGTTGAAATTCTGTTATTTTGTTATATCCTGAAACTTGTTCATATTGCTACCATCAATGAATATTCATAAAATTGAAACAATGATAAATCGTCCCTGTACCTGTTTTGGAGGCATCAAGTTTTCGAGGTTTGACCCTGTACCAGTAGCAAGGCACACTCGCAGATTCGTACCACACAACCAGTTGATTTGTTGTGTGTGCAGTACGTGTTCCACCGCCAGCCCAAAATTTTTCATTGTTTTTCTCTTGCTTACAAGAAATAAATCCTTACACCCTCGAAAACTGGTACATCGTGGATACAAATGTATACTGGTGTATGCCATTTACAGGTACATTGTAGGCGATTGTGAGCAATATTATAAAACGCTATTGTAACTTTGTTGATTACATATATTTGTATTCACCTGTCGCCTCAAAAATATGAATATTCAATCAGACACAAAGTTTGATATTTTAATATTGAATAGGCCTAATTCAAACTTGCACCATTGTGCTAACCAGTTCTCTTTCAGGATTGAATATACAGTGTATGAATATTCAATTAAATTTAAATATTTGATTATTTCAGATTGTCTCAGCTGTACTGCAATCCTGTTTACCTTGAGTATGGAATATGAATATTCAGTCAAATATTTAATTATTCGATTTGTCTGAGGCTTATTTAATACGAATCTGTTTACGTCGAGCATTGGTTATCTGTTGTTTATGACAGCAGTATTAGGGTCTGTCAGTGCTACCATTAGTCTTGCATTCCAGGCTGAAAAGTCCACATTCCTGCCGTGGTTGGCACGGCAGTAGACTGACAGACCGTATACACATGGACCGACCTATCGGAATGCCGTTTCTTTAGACACCGTCACGTTCGCCACTCTTGGGTTTCTGAAGTCTTCTAAAAGTCACATCTGTAGTTGATTCCTTCATGTCCGTTAAATGGTGCGAATTCTTGATCGCGCCTTGTGGTTGTCTTGCTGCATGCTTGCCGTCAGATGGCGCAGGGATCTTCTTATTCCATTAGCTTCGAAATGAATGATTCACAGTGGAGTTGAGCATGAACAGTAGAGGGCGCTGTTTGATCACTCAGGAGAGTAGTGTTTGGAGCACACTGCTTGTGCCCACAGTTACACCGATATTTTAGCATTACGTCTGAGGACAAGACATTGTCATTCCCTTTGTCATATAAAACACTCTCCCATACATGTACCAAGCACACACAGTTACATTCAAGGACTTTTTTTCAACAAACAATGTACGTTCAAGGACAACAAAGAATCTGTTGTTCTGTTATTGTGTGTCTGTCCTCGGAATGTACAGGTCCCTATATGTAATGCAGAAGCGCACTAGTTTAGGATGTCATAAATGCATGTTCCTGAGGAGAAGTACGGCTAATGTTCATTAGAATGTGCGCAAACCCGAACAACAATTAATTTGCCGGATAAATTGTCTGTGTATCACTTGAAGTGCTACGGTACCGGTACGGTACATGTACTTGTACACGGATTCCATAAAAACGGGGGGAAAAACATCTTGTTTTCAGCTAACAATATGTCAAATTTTGTTAAAGAGATGTTTTCACTGTTTTTTTTTATTGATCAAATGGAACTTTAGCAATTTCAAAAATTGAAATCTTCTAAAAGTGTTGTGAAAAGGCATACCTGTATACTGTACATGTACAATGTATACACATCTACCATGTTCTGCAGTGGGGACACAAGATGTACATGTCGTGTACATGTACATTGGACTGCCCAGAAAAAGGATTTGTATAGTTTTTGTGCACTAGTGTTCTACAAAGTATGGAATAGTACCCAATCACCTCCAAGCAGTTAAACAACATACTGATTGTACTCTCTACAGCACCAGTCTCAGTGCCACCAGCACTATTCACAACATAACCCCTTGTGATCTCAATATTCAAATTTAAATTCTTTTTCCCTCAGCCAGAGGGTTTGAGCATCCACTGATCGGATTAGGCTTACAAAATTGTTCTAAGATTTCACCAAGCACGTTGATGTTTTTTTTTTCTTGTGAGCTGCTCATAATGCAAATTGGGAAAGAAGCGCAAATGCAAATGCCTTGTGTAGCCTATGGGAACATGGTGCTTGTGCTCTTGAGCAAGGCACTTTACCGTTATTGCTTCGTCCTTCGGATGGGACCTAAAGCCGTAGGTGTTGGTAGATACGTGTGCTATATGTAAGACTCCATTATTATTATTATTATTATTATTATTATTATGGTGTGAGATACATTTCTATCGTCCTGTTACCCATACATTGTTGGTTTACATGTAATGAAAACTGCCTGTGCATGTATCATTTTGTTTCTGCATTCTATAGAGGACGTTGAACAATAGAGGACAATAGGGTCCCCAATTCCTGAGAGGTCCTCAATGTGAATTTGTGTACAAAACATATGGGAGGTCTTCCTAAAAAGTTGAAGTACATTGTACAAAAAGAGGGACAATAGGGGGTCCCCAATTGCCAGCAAATACACATATGCCTACATGTGTGTGTATGCGGCTTACCATTTTTCTGGTCTCAGAGATGGCCAGCCTATCCGCTTCGTGCATGGAGTACCGGTACCCCTCAATGGTATAGAAAGGGAGAGTTGGGGGAGACCACTTCATTCCAAATAACGACGCCTGACGCTAATGCAAAGGAGCTATGGCTTTGTTGTTGTCGTGTGTACTTCGTACATGTACCATACATGTATGTGCTTAAACCAGTACGCGCACGTAGTGTGCTCCCTACTGGAGAGAAAAGCGCCCTCTTGTGTTCACGCACGGAGCCCATAGTCCTCTTTGTACCTGATTGATTTACTGAGTCACTCACTGACACTTGTGAGCTGGGCAGTGCTATTGTATAGGATTACCCATCACACCAATGAATAGGCTAAGTCTGGCCCATTGTGCAGACCAAATGCATGAAAAGACTTCCAACAAGTACATGTAGCCATTCTACAATGTACATCAATGGATTAGAATTTTGTAATCGAAAATGAGGAATAGCCAGACTACATGTATTGTATAGTACAAATGCCCACTCTGAGCAAATCTCCACTTTGATTAACAGATTTCACATTAGCAAAACACACAGAACCCAAAGATCTGCCAAAACAATTCCAGCATCTTGACATCACATTGCCAAGCCTCATTCATCACTGTCCTCGCGCGAGGAGAAGTTTTAATTTTCCAAAGAACGAGGCTGTCAGGTGTTGAAGTAATGAATGTCGCACTGATGGTCCAACCCTCTATTAACCGTTATTGGCGTTCTTGTATCGTTTTTCAGGTGAATGGGACTCTAGTCACGTCTTGCAATCACCTTGAAGTTGTGAAACTCATCCGATGTGAGTATCTGTTACAGTCAATCCTGTGTCAGTCTCCATTTACGTGTCAGTATGCGTCAATTAAACGTATTGAGTTTTTATGACTTGCGGTCCGAAACGATAGTATAGCGGTACGTTCTTCCCACTGCCACACAATACACACAGGGACGCTAGATTTCAGGCATATGACTGATTCACGCTTTTTCATGTTTTGGAATAACAAAGTCAAGCATTCCATCCCCACAGTCCGGAAAATATATCCTCTTGTAAAGGTAGCATGCACAGAGAACGTTTGATTCTAGTATGATGTTTCTCAAAAGGAGCGTCAACTTTTTGGCACAAAAGTTCATGAGTAATTCCATGTTGTTTGGATATTGACGTGTACAAAACAATTGGTAAAAGCTTGCTGATATTAATTTCTCTTCTTAATTGATTTTAAAAAAGGTAAAAAATGGTCACTGCATGAGTTGCTGAGTTACCATTTTTTTGCTTCACATTTCATCAACTTCATTTTCAAAATGATCAGATTATTGCCCAGATTCAAAGTGCTCGAATTATTAACACAAAATTTATATATTTTTAGGTAGAAAACCACTCTTGATTCAATACTTGTACATCAGTTTTCATGGTTTTAGGGTACATGTACGGTATTACGAGCATTATATGTTCGACAGATAGAGCTTACAGCGAAGCATTTCTCACATCCAGGATCGGTGTATAGATTGATTGCTCTATTGCCGACTGCATGAATGTAGAATTTCCCAGTGGACCAGCCATCACTTGATCGAGTAGATCAATTCAGCAGTGTGGCTGCCGAAGATTTCATTCAGCCTCACTTCCACTGAACAGTCTGTCCCAAAGGATCTTGCTCTTGGAAAAAAGACTTAACGGTTTCCCAAGATGTGCATGAAGAGGGTTCATTACGACAAATAAATCACCTTTTAGATAAGAGATAAATTATCCATGCAAGTTTAAAGGGTTGTTTGATTGTAAATTCCATGTGTCTATGAATGACTAGACTGTTTGTATTTTTTGGGGGATGTAGCGGCATCTTACGCAGCGTTAACATTGCTTGGCCTGCCGCCAGGAATGAAGAACCAATCACCGTTATCGCCTCCTCATCAGGGCAACGCAACGGCCAAACCAAACCAACGACGTGAAGTCACACGACCTGTAGCAGTGACGGTGAGTTATTCTACCTAACCTTTCCCAGCACAGCCCAGCCTAGCCCAGCCCAAACCAAGCCAAGCCAACCCAACCCAACCCAACCCAGCCCAGACAAGCCCAGCCCAGCCCAGCCCAGCCCAGCCCAGACAAGCCCAGCCCAGCCCAGCCCAGCCCAGCCCAATGCAAATCAAACGCAATGCAAATCCAATCCACCCCAATGCAAATCCAATCCACCCAACACAATCCAACCCAACCCAACCCAGTCCAACACAACCAACCCACCCATCCCAACCCAATCCAACCCAACCCAACCCACCCATCCCAACCCAATCCAACCCAACCCAACCCATCCCAACCCAACCCAATCCAATCCAACCCAGCTCAACCCAGTGCAACCCATCCCATCCCAACCCAACCCAACCCAACCCAACCCAACCCAACCCAACCCAGCCCAACCCAGCTCAACCCAACCCAACCCAACCCAACCCAACCCAACCCAGCCCAACCCAGCTCAACCCAACCCAACCCAACCCAACCCAACCCAACCCAACCCAACCCAACCCAACCCAACCCAACCCAACCCAACCCAACCCTTACCCAGCCCAACCCAACCCACTCAACCCAACCCAACCCAACCCAACCCAACCCATCCCAACCCAACCCAACCCAACCCTTACCCAGCCCAACCCACTCAACCCAACCCAACCCAACCCAACCCAACCCAACCCATCCCATCCCAACCCAACCCAACCCAACCCTTACTCAGCCCAACCCACTCAACCCAACCCAACCCAACCCAACCCAACCCAACCCATCCCAACCCAACCCAACCCAACCCTTACTCAGCCCAACCCACTCAACCCAACCCAACCCAACCCAACCCATCCCAACCCAACCCAACCCAACCCAACCCATCCCAACCCAACCCAACCCTTACCCAGCCCAACCCACTCAACCCAGCTCAACCCAACCCAACCCAACCTAATGCAACCTAATGCAAACCAACCCACACAAGCCAACTAAGCCCAACCCACTCCAAAGCAACCCAGCTCAACTTCCCAAACAAAACATTAAAAAAAAAAAATTAAAAGCTTCATTTCTAGAAAGATCTCATTTTCAGCTTTCCTGTTTAATTTGTTTTTAAAATGTTAACGCTTGTACACATGAAAAGGTTTAACAGATCCCAAACAATTTTTTTTTATTTTGTCATTTCAGCCCACCCCCAAGAAATCCAAATAAAATCTCCCAATTGAAATAATTTTGATAAACTCAAACACATTTTAAGAGCATGTTCCTTCTCACGATTGTATCTAACCATATCAATCACAAAACCTAGCATGCCTAGGCATTCCAACAATCTCCCCAAAATGTAAACACTCTCTTGCGCACTGCTGCAAACCTGGCCAGCCAAAAGAAATCCTGGCCGAAAATCCCAAAGACGGAGGCAAAAGATCGTTTGATGGATGAGAACGCTGGACTTCTGTCCAGGGCTCGGAATGTCAGCGCAGATGGCTGGCATATGGCCCACAGAATCATCTTTCCCTTTCATTCAATATGTGCTTCTATTTGTTAGTCCTAAAGGAGCGTGGAATTTGCCACGTACCGGGTACGAAAAAAAACTTGCATCCGTAGAATTTCACTTTACTTGGCTAATCGCTTAAAGGCTATCCGACAAATTGGTTCAGGCTTGTAATTCTAGATTTTGAGATTGGGAAAAAGTATGAAATCTTGAGGGGAATGTTTTTTTTTGGGGGGGGGGGAAGTATTTTAGAATATTTTTTTTTTCGTTTGCATCTCCATGCTGCAAAAAGTCCATCATAATGCCCAAAGTTTCAGTCAGTGGAAAATTAATATTCCGTGCAGTGTAGCCACAAACTGTTCATTTTTGTAGCTCAGAGCATATTTTTATTATGCCCATGAAAAGATGAGAAAGCTATAAAAGGTTTATTTTTAGATGAGCATATGTTGGGTGAACCCCAACGACGTTAGAGGCTTGGTCAAACTCCATATTGAAAGCTGTTGGTACTGAAGATCTATTTTTTAGTAGCCATCTGTGCAGCGCCATTAACGTGCTAGTAGCCATACCAGAAATGTGCTTCTATAGGCATGCATTTGCCTAGAATCACAAAAACAAAAATCTTCATTGGGGGATAAATTTGAAAGGAAACCCTCTAACGGTATACCAACAAAAGTTAACTCCCGGTGTTTTATACAGCTCAATGCTGCCATTTTGGTGCAAAGCAGCTAATATAAACCACAATGGCCACCTCTGCCCTCACAGGTACCCATTTACTCCTGGGTTGGGAGAAGCAATGAGTGACAAAGTGCCTTGCCCAAGGGCACAGGCACCATAGCCGCAGGCTGGACTCGAACCCACAACCTGCAGACCACGAATTCAATGTTCCACATCACGAGGCCACGGCGAATTGTTCATGAATGAACTGAAACAACGTTCAACCATATAGTGTCGGGCCCCATTGCCCGCATTTGTCACAAAAACAAATACCAAATCTCTATTTGAATTTCATTTTTGTACAACTCTTTCCTTAAAAAAAATCTTAGTGCTTGTGTGTCGTACTCAAATTTTATTTACGCTGCTGATTTCATTTCATAATTTCTTATTAGCCGGAGAAAGATGCAGAGTTGAAGAATGAGCGAATGCAGACGTTGAAGGAAATGTTAGAACAGGAAAAGGAACTATATCAGGTACGTCGGAACAGTAGAGGGCGCCCTATTTAAGACCAGCTTTCTGAGGTTGATGGCATCACTGGTAACTAGTAGCCACAAGTATTGAAATGTGCAGCAGGGAACCAGGATATTGAGGCATCGTAAATGACTGGTAGTACATTGGTCTATTACAATGCACATACACGTGAAGCCATGTCAGTCAAGTCTTGGTCCTCCCATGGCTGCCACTGTACATACCCGTACATTAAGTGCATGCATACATGTACAGGAACATGTACATAAGTATGTAGATTCAGTGGGCTATGTTAAGGAGAATACACGGGAAAGTGTGGATTCGTAATTCAAGAATTCACGAGGCGCGAAGCGCCGAGTGAATTCGTTAATTAAAAATCCACACTTGCGAGGGTTTTTCTTTCGACTTAAACATTTGTGTCAACAGAAGTATTGGAAAGAATGCTGCAACCTGACGCCACAATTTTCTTCATATATCATCTCAATAAAGGCCATTCGTCGGTGGCAAAAATGATGATAAGACTGGGACTGATAAATGTTTCCAAAATTGTTAGGATAATACTTGAAATGACTCTCCATCGACATTGTACACAAGCGCGGAAGTGGCGTCAGGTTGCAACATTGTTTCCTGGCGTGTTTAGCATGTGTATCGACACATTTGTACAACCAAGTCATTTTGTGTGTATAGGCTCCTTACGTCAAAATGGATAATTCAGACAACGATTTCTTTCTGACTAAAAGTAGATTTTGCAGTGATGGCGGAAAATCTGACAGTGAAGATGCATTGGTAATTTTCGGAAAGCAAATTTTCACGCAGACGGTCGTTTTCATGCTCATTGTGGAGAACAATTGTCTGACATGTTCAAAGTGTGGATTCGTAATTCCGAATCCACACTTTACTAAAGATTCGTCGTTCCGAATCCGCACTTTGTGACCAGTGTAAGAGATTCGTAGATCCGGATCCACACTTTTAACAATAGTGTGACGTCATAGCAATGGTTTAAATCAAGTTTAATGTACATATTTGTGTGTAAGGAAAGTACTCATGCATATAACCATGTAGCACGGCCAAGGTCCATGCGAAATTCTATGCTAGTGCTATTCTGTACAAACACGCACATGTAATAAATAAAACAACTGCTATTAAGTTCGTTTACAGCTTGGGTTTTCAATCTTTGTAGTGCATCAATTTGCTTGAAGATGAATTCATTAGCGCGCTCGTGCTCGTGGAACATGGAAAATGTAGTGCGTCTGTGTCCCACATACCAGTCGGTGGGACACAGACGCACTACATTATTCCGTGTTCCACGAGCGCTCGCGGGATAACTTATAATATTGTCATTGTATTAAGCACTTTGTTTCTGTGTATTTGCAGAGAATGAAATCCGTGTATGATGTTAATCCAACGGAGAAACTCTTCAGAGAACTGAGTGGAATCACAACCAGGATAAAGGTCATGGAAAGTCAGCTCACCCGGGCCGCTAGTATGCAAGCCAAGGTGAGATCTGCAGAAATGAACATAGCGCCCTCTACCATCCATGCACAAAGCCAATAGACCACGATATGGGTTACCAGTCATTCAGGATAATCAAACCGCCATCAAAAGTGCATGCCCTTACATATTGGCACTTATGGGGTACCGGGAACAAAGGGCAACAATAGGGACAATGGTACCCCACAAGTCTGTCTTTAGAAATTGAAGTACCCCAAACCCTAAGGCTATGGGTTTTGAGCTTTCTAAGGGAACAAAGGAGAACAAGTGAAGGGGATTAGGGCCCAATAATAGTGGTACCCATAAACCCCATATAAGTGTGGGTGAACTCGCAGGGAGACAGACGCATGAAGTCAATTGTTTATTTCAACCAGAAAGGGCATTCCCATTACATCGTCTAACATAGCATCGGTGATTTTATCCCGAATGACCTTTGACCTGGACTACTTAAAGGGAAAATACAACATTTGCAAACATCAAAAAATAAAACCACCAAATCATTTTGAAATGCCTTGCTGGACTGTTAGTGAATGACAGTGTAAAGCATCCTGTAAAATCATGGCACCTGGTATACTGTCATTTTCAAGAAAAGTGGTATTTTTGTATCAATTTCCAACGCTGGTCGGCCGACCTGCGTTGGAAAAAACTGGCTTTTTTTTCAAATACTGACCCCAATTGACCATCGCACTTGTTTGCAATCGATCACACACTTATGAACGGGTACAAGCCAGCTAGACTGGTTCCCTGACCATACAATTCCCCAATGTATGTAAACTGCTCTGTTCCTTCTTATATGGAGTCAAGGAACCAGACTACAGGAAAATGATTGTTTTTCTTGGTTTTTATAGCATTTTCGAATTTAAAACCTCAAAAAAGTCAGTGTAACTATATTTGCTATATATTTCCAACCCCCAAATTCCATCCATTTCTGAAAATTAAAGCAAAAGCAAATGATGTATATTCCCTTTAATTCAGATACCAAACTAACTTTGTTATTAACCATTTTTACAGCAATAACTGAGGTGTTGAAAACTATATTAGTTCTCATATACCTTGCTTAAACTAAGTTAACCTTTTTCTTGTATGCTCCGGTCCAGACAACAGATCCTCGCGAGGTTCAAAGCTCCGCAGACCAAGAAGTGGAAAACAAAAACAGGAACGCACAGCAAAATGTAAGACTGGTTACTTTCTATAATCCATTTCTCAAGCCCGCCATGTTTACATAATAGCGCCCTCTCTTGACGAGAAATAAGAAGCCGTTCACATTTCTAATTTTAAAAAAAAGTTACATGTGATTTACAACATGTAAGTCTTAAAAAATGTTAGAAGAAATTTGAGTTTATCTGATTGAATTGGGTCTTGAAAAGAAAACACAAACGATATCTTGAGACTTACTCCTCATTTTGTTGGAGCACGTTAAATGGCTAGTACAAAATTCATCAAAAAAACAACTTAAAGTTTTCTTCACAAAAGACATATAGTTTAATTTTCTACAGCGCGTCCCAAAATACCCACCATTTTCATTGTTTGCAAAGCTCTAGCGTCGGTGCAGAAACACGTGCCGCCATTATTGTACCGTTTTAAAGCTTGGAATCTGAACTTTATCCCTGGCGAGTGTTGGTTTGATACTTAAAAGATTTTAAAAATGATTCATGTTCAAATAAAGGCATGTTGAAAACAAAATCAACCGATTTCAAGGAATATCAGATGGAAACTCGAGTCACACTTTGAGCGTGTTTTTTGAATAGGTACATATATGTACTTGCACTTGAATTTCATACTTGATACGAAGAATTCATTAAGTTTTAGTCTACGTGGATTAAAAAGAATAGGAAACACAGAAAGTAAAAGGCAACGAGATCGTCACATCATGAACATGATGAACATTTCCCACATTAGAAAATATACATTGATAGATTTACCTTGAAATCGGCTGAGGTTGTTTTTGACATGTCTTTATTTGAACACGAATCATTTCAAAACCCTTTTGAAAATCAAACCAATACTTACCAGGGATAAAGTTCAGATTCCAAGCTTTAAAATGATATAAAAAATAATCACAGCACATGTTCCCACGGTGACACTAGATCCTCGCAAAAAAACGTTGCGGGTATTTTGGGACGCGCTTTATGATAAAGTCTGTGACCCAAGCAAAAGCAGAAAAAGTCAAAGTCTTTACAAACATCTCCAATGTTTCTTCTGCATGTCCTTCATTTCTGTTCTTTGTCCTTCGTGTTGTATTTGATTTTACAGAATCATAAAGAAAAGCGTAAATCAGAAACTAGATCTTGGGTGAGTTGAGACACGCCTTTTGGGCGCGGCACAAGGGTGTGGCTACTAAAAACAGTTTTAACACTAATTTAAAAAAAAGGGCTTTGTGTTATTAAAGGTAAGGAATTCACAACTAACCATTGAAATCCATCGCACCCTTTCATTGATCACCGCACTTAATAATTCCAACAAATCTTTGTTCTGAATGTTTGTGTTGACGAAATGTGTGCAGTTGCGGTGTTGGTTTGAACTATTGAAGTAAAGGGTCAGTCCATACAATTGAGTTCAATTTTTGTGTGTGCTTGTTACTGGTACAACTTATATAAGAGTGTGTAAATTCAGGGGGAATTCTTTAACCCTAACATACCTGAATCCATCAAAATCCACACCCCTGTTTCGGGGGATTTGGGCGGCCTCGGGATACCTCCATATTGAAAAAGTTAGGGGATTTTGATGGATTCAGGACATGAAGCCTAGCGGTACCGCAGGATTTTGATGGATTCAGGATACCTCCATATTGAGCAGTTGGGGGACTCTGATGGATTCAGGATCTCAACAGATTTACGTACATGTACTGCTGTCTAAGGCCAAAAAAAAAGTCTCTGGTTTCTGGTATGCGCGCGCGTCACCGTAGCCATGCGCGTCGGCAAAATGAAAAAGTTTTTTTTCAATGAAAGATGATGTCTCAAAACCGCCAAACTCACTGGTTATACTGGAATCCTGCTGCTGCACAATTTTAACGTGTTTTTAGATGGGGTTAGTATCGAGAATAAGCTTTATGTGGCCTCTCTGGACTTCCATATATTTGCACTAAGTTTAGTCGGGCACCATTTGCAGTCATCAGCCGACATTTGAAGCCAAAAAATCAGGTAAAAAAAAAAAGCCGCTTCGCCGCACCACTTTTTGGGCAAGCTCCATACCAGAAACCGGAGACTTTTTTTGTTTGGCCTAAGTGGTGGATTCTGATGGGCTCACTGGCCACCAACTTTTTTTTGCATGGCAAAATTGATGGATTTTGACAGATTCAGGATACTTTCCAGTAAAAATGCCCAAGGGGTTAGGGTTAATGCCTTCTATCTCCATGAGTGATCATGTAAAGCCTAGTACATGCCAAACAGATACAAATGACTTTGAGGTCAGTTTTAATGGTACTTGAATAGCAACCTACACAGGTCAGGTGTGACAGAGACACAAACAAGTCACACTTTTGACCCCTCATTTATGAACTGACCCAAATCTGCTTTATCATTTGTGAGTCGGGCAGTGCTATCTTACAGGAATTAAGTGGCTATTAAATCTGGCCTACTGTGTAGACCAGATGCTTGAAAAGACTTCAGTGACAAGCCATTCTAAATCAATGGAGTAGAATTATGTGCACTTTGGGACCAGCTTTACTTGGCTTGGTCCGTTGTGTTTACCTGCACCTTTCAGAACAGGTTGCCAAGTTAGTGCCAGTTCATACTTCCTGCAAATTGCAAACGCGTAACATTTGCTACAAATTTTGCTACAAATACTCGCAGCACAAATACGTGCCGTAACCCTAACCGCCCCCAATGCTACAAAATACTACTGAGGAGTAACCTGTAGTATGCATTTCTTTCCAGTGTGCACAGCACATGTAGTATTCTGTGGTATTTGGTACTTGACCCACAACAGCCCTTTGGGGGTTAGGGTTAAATGTACATGTATGATATTAAACTGTGTTTGTGTTCACTTTCCCGCCAAGTGTGAACCCAGCCTTGCTGTGATGTTTTCGTCCTGAGTTTTTCTCCTCTTGTTCCATTATTCATATATTGTTGTTTTGGTGTCCCTTCAAAGTAGGACATTTTCCCCTTCTATTTCCCAAAACCCACTTACTGCTGAACTTAATTCCAAAAATATGCACCCTCTAAACCCCATGCACAGTTTCTTATTCCAAACCCTATAATACAATCCAATGACCCATTTTCCAAACGCCAATTCCTTTGCACTTTTCAGGAAGTTTGACAAGCAAATAAGTTAAAAAAGGCATTGCCATTTTATTTAATCAAACCGGCACCACTCCAAATTCCCAGTATTAAATCTAAGTTGTATTCAAAATGGAAAGGATTAAAGGGATCAAAAGTGATTAAGTGAATTTGAAAGAGCTACGTGCTGAGCAAAAAGTCACATAGCTCATGAAATATCCCCATGCGAGGTGAATTTTTGCAGAGTTTTCAGCCTCGCAAGGCCGTGAGGCAAGTTTCTATCCTACTTGATTTTTTCGCCTTGCAAGGTGAAAAACGCACCGTGTGCGGTCAATCTGAGCTAAGTGCTGAGCTAAAAAACTTACTCTTGCCGAAATCGGCCTGCCTAATACTCACTGTAGGGACGGAAACTACCAGAGCACTCTATTCTTTTATTGATTTTTCAGTGAATAAACACAATGTAACACAATGTAATACAATGTAATACAATGTTGTACAAAGTGCTAATGGGTTTGTCAACTGATCAATGACAATCCCTTATTCAAATTTTGACAATAGCATCTTAACAATGTAACGCCCATTTCGGACTACAAATTGCCCTGCATGCTACTCCCCATACCACCCAAATATATATTTTTATGGATTCATCAGAAGTTAAATACATTGTAACACATTGTAATCCAATGAACTGCAACTTCTGAAGGTGAATTAATGTCCCTCTTTATAACTTTCCATTTTGATTACAAAATCAGGTCCACTGGCTTCCAAATGAAAAAAATTCATCCCATGCACCCAAACAAACGTTTCTACTCGCGCCCTCTAACACCCAAACTCTACCCCCCAAACTTCCAGCCAACTGACACAGAGGTAGAAAATGATGCCTTAAGCAGAAATGGTAGAACTTTACCCTACAAACAGTCGGGTCAGTCACATGTGACATTACAAGAAACAGGGGATGAACAGTACCTACGTATGTTGTAGTTATGTCCATCATATGTCCAGTCACCAAAAAAATCACAAGTCATTTCAGAAGTGTGGTCACATGTAAAAGGGGAGGAACATTGATAGAAGAACTCCTTCACTTGAACAGCTGCTGACATGACTTAGGACTGTATGACTTGTAATGGACTTGTGATGGATTTGTGATGGACTTGTGGTGGACTTGTGATGGACTTGTGAGGGACTTGAGATGAACTTGTGATGAACTTGTGATGGACTTATTGGACTCAACCACAACATTAAACAGTCGCTCAATGGACTTGTCTGGACTTGAGTTTCACTTGTGATGGACTTGTGAGGACTTGTGAGGACTTGTGAGGACTTGTGAGGACTTGTGATGGACTTGTGAGGACTTGTGATGGACTTGTGATGGACTTGTGATGGACTTGTGATGGACTTGTGAGGACTTGTGATGGACTTGTGATGGACTTGTGATGGACCTGTGATGGACTTGTGATGGACTTGTGAGGACTTGTGATGGACTTGTGATGGACTTGTGATGGACTTGTGATGGACTTGTGAGGACTTGTGATGGACTTGTGATGGACTTATGATGGACTCAACCACAACATTAAACAGTCGCTCAATGGACTTGTCTGGACTTGAGTTTCACTTGTGATGGACTTGTGAGGACTTGTGATGGACTTGTGAGGACTTGTGATGGACTTGTGATGGACTTGTGAGGACTTGTGATGGACTTGTGATGGACTTATGATGGACTCAACCACAACATTAAACAGTCGCTCAATGGACTTGTCTGGACTTGAGTTTCACTTGTGATGGACTTGTGAGGACTTGTGAGGACTTGTGATGGACTTGTGAGGACTTGTGATGGACTTGTGATGGACTTGTGAGGACTTGTGATGGACTTGTGATGGACTTGTGATGGACTTGTGATGGACTTGTGAGGACTTGTGATGGACTTGTGATGGACTTGTGATGGACCTGTGATGGACTTGTGATGGACTTGTGAGGACTTGTGATGGACTTGTGATGACTTGTGATGGACTTGTGATGGACTTGTGATGGACTTGTGAGGACTTGTGATGGACTTGTGATGACTTGTGATGGACTTGTGATGGACTTGTGATGGACTTGTGGTGGACTTGTGATTTGTGATGGACTTGTGATGGACTTGTGATGACTTGTGATGAACTTGTGATGAACTTGTGATGAACTTGTGAGGACTTGTGATGGACTTGTGATTGACTCAACCACAACATTAAACAGTCTCACAGTTCATTTTAGACCTTATGCTTTGCAAGTATCTCAGAGGCTGTTCTTCGTCAGTTTAATTAACAATGAATGCACTACAGGTTTTACTCGTGCCTATCCCAGCAATACAAAACCACTGCCTTCTGACTCCTCCTTAACCCTAACTGAACTCAACCCATCAAACAGCAGGTTTTGTTGGAATCTGTTGGGATAGGTACAGTACTCCTAAACTGATGGCCTTTTGACTGGGGTTGGCATACCTCCAGAAACTAAGTCCAACAGTGTGTGTGTACAATTTCCAATGTGGGTGTTGGAATTTGCCTGAATGGGTATGATTCCTAGTAAATTATGCTGGGGAGTTAGGGTTAATGCATAATGCTATGTCATTGCTGTGTTAACTTGACTTGAACATGTGAACTCATTATTGACTTGAACAAGACTTCAGTGCTTATTTAATGGAGCTATATGTGAATTCGTCACTGATTACTTCTCTATGGTTGTTTTGCCAACAGTTACCTCATGGCATCATTCACGCGAGGCAAAGATCAAGCCCGGAGACTCTGGGTGTCATGAGTGAAATCCAACCCGGCACCAATCTAAAGAGGAACAACTCGGATGCACAGTCTAAAGAGACTGCTGCCAGGAAGAAACATGTGCGGGGTATGGGAGCCGCAGAGTCTGAAATCAGACGCAAACGCTCCGATAACATCGAGCAGTTAGGACGGGTAAGAATGTGATGGGGATCAATTTCCTGGAGCAGCTTCTTAGGCAAAGATGGATCCCTGTTTGCCATTTCTTAGGTTTGCAGCGTTGCTAATGTTGCTAGCATCATGACTTTGGGCGTGATCCCTGGCTATATGGCATATACGGGTTTATGGCTACTGACTAGCGCCCCTTGAACAAAGACATTGACAAAATGGTGAACCCCCAACATACATGTAGGGCTGGATAGCTCAGTTGGTAGAGCACCGGAACGGTAATCCAAAGAATTAGGGGTGTGCATTTACAGGTAGTACCACAACCGATTGAAAAAATATGGGTACCCGGTCAAAAAAAGAACAACCCCAAAAGCCAATATCGGAAGTTGCGTTTCAGAATGTTCATACAGGTCGGCACGATGATACTGCCGCATCGGTGCGTCAATACAGCAACATACAAGTGTGTCCAGTGAGCACAGCTTTACGGTGTAAACTGCAACTTTTCGCGAGTGTCATAAACCTGAAACATGTTTTGTTTTCCAATGTTTCCCGGTTTGCATTTTGAAAATTCCCCACAAGTGGCATTCAAAAGCTTCCTTTTTCATTGTCTGAGAAGTAACTAAGTTATTTGTTATGTTGTTTACGGGTACCCGGTTCCATAGTGTGGAACCGGTTCCTGACACCAACGGTCGGGTACTCGGGTACCTGGTTCCATAGTCTGGAACCGGTTTCTGACGTCAACAGTAGATTACTCGGGTACCTGGTTCCATAGTCTGGAACCGGTTCCTGACACCAACGGTCGGGTACTTGGGTACCTGGTTCCATAGTCTGGAACCGGTTTCTGATGTCAACAGTCGGATACTCGGATATCCGGTTCCATAGTCTGGAACCGGTTCCTGACACCAACAGTTGGGTACTCGGGTACCTGGTTCCATAGTTTGAAACCGGTTTCTGACGTCAACAGTCGGTTACTCGGATACCCGGTTCCATACTCTGGAACCGGTTCCTGACGTCATCGGTTGGGTGCTCGGTTATCCAGTTCCATAGTTTGGATCCGGTTCCTGATATCAACGGTCGGTTTCTCGGGTACCATGTTCCAATGCACAGCCCTAGTCACAGGTTCAAGTCCCACTGCTGTCAATTTCTTTGTTCGACTTTTGATAATGGTTTATTTTTGTGTTTTTCAGAGTCAATCTTTACCCGCCGAGCCCGGCGGAGCTGACAGCGACATGGCCGACAGTTCTCCCAACTCTACACCACCGGCGAAGCGAAGAACTGACACCGACTCAAGCCTTGAGAATCAGGAAGGGGGATCAGTGGTCAGTATGACGGTACAGTAGTTGAGACATCTGCACTAGCAAGCTGAGGGTTGTGGGTTCGAGTTCCGCTCGAGGCAGCTTGTGCCTTTCTTTGCTGGTCCCACAGCCAGTCTATTGTCTTCTTTTTACCTAACTAACTGGATTAAGCCGTGCCCACATAATGTTTTGCCCTCTCTGGAAAACAGGTTTAGAGGTTATCCACCGCAGAATGAAGAGAAACATTCAAGGAAATCAAAAAACACAAATTTGGGGTTGAAAGAGTTTTCGCAGTTTAAGTAAAGTTATTTTTTGTACCGAGTTTTCTTTACTACACGGCAACAAAGAAGTTTCCTCGTGGAGTACGTAAAACAAACGTGTGATCTGGTACACTGTGCCCTCTGGAGACGTGTGTACAATAGGGAACAAAGGATTGTATACGTCTCCACAGGACAATTTCTATCGATGAATGGTCTCCACTAGATTTTCACAAAATAGATATGGATTTTACTCAAAAACTAGGAATTTCCAAGGTGGGTTGATCTGTCGCAAATGGAAAAGTTTTAGAAAAGGGATAAGCCCAAATTTTAGCCGAGGAAATTAATTCTGGTTAAATTAGAGCATTTTAAAACTTCACTTTCAAACTCGAAAACTTTACTACACGAGAACAAAGAAATGTCTCCACAAGGATACAAATTTCAGTATGGGTGAGCTTGTCTTACATACGCAGTGTGGACTTCCGAACAAAACACGTCCACATAATGTAGGTAGCACCGACGTTGTGTGGACTTGCCCACGTCCACACAGTGTTTCCCCATTTCTGGAAAACAGGTTTAGAGGCATTTTTGGGTTAGGTTTATCTGTAGCAAAATGAAGAGAAACACTAAAGGGAATCATAGAAAAAAAATTGGGTTGAAAGAGTTTTCACAGTTTGAGAAAAATGAGTTTTTCAACTGGTGTTCCTTAACTACACGAAAAGAAAGGAAAGTCCACACTACTTATGTGAAACAAGTCTGGGTGTGTTTGTGTGTGTGTAGACTAAGCCGCATCGTGATGGTACCGTGGTCCCCCCGAGCCAACCCTTCAAGATTGCCACCGTCGGCACAGTGGAACCATTAACCTCCGAAGTCCTCACGAACATGCAGGCGCCTCAAGTCCAAATCATGTCTATGGAAGACGACGATTTCCAATCTGATAATGAAACGGTAAGCTGCTTTTGAGCCTCATTTGCATAAGCTGCTAAGCGTCATATTCCAACAAATTCGACCCAGTCTTATCAAGCCGTTAAGCAGCAAAATATGATTTAGCAAGTTATGTTGCAAAGCTGAAAACAAAACCAGATTGGAACCGTCACTAGCAGAATGCATTGCATGACATTTTGGGTGGAGTTTTAAGTGAAATATTTTGCGCTTACCTACTTTGTGTTCAGCTCTGAGTTGTGCTACACGCAGTGTAGTTTGAGTAGAATTAAAAAACTATGTAGGCAAACATGTCATTTGATGCGTTTTACTAGGGACTGACTGGATCCTTAGTGATTGACACAAAGAACTGGTTAAGTATTTATTGTTGAGCTGGTAAGCAGAAATTGTCGGTAAGCAAGTTAACATTCAGCAAAGTACCACAGACTTGAGTCAAAAAAAGCAGAACCCAAACGCTGAAAACATATTTCATATTTAAAAAATAATCGTAGCACTAACAATAATGACTGGAAAGCCAGTTTCCTAAACTACTTGTAGATGAAAAAACTTACTGAAATTGCTCATTCTATTCAAAGAATATCACCAGTGACCCTAAAACCTCTCCCCCCCCCAATAAAATGATTTCAAGAACGTTGTCACGATGGTCTTCAAACATCACCAGTGATAAAACCTCAGTTTAAAAGTTTAAAATATTCAACAAAGTCCTTTTGAAGGCCCGTCTTTTAAAAAAAAGTGGATTTTATAAATCATCGTGTTTGCCTTTAATAGCACGATTTGTTAATAAAGATATTGTGTACAACAGTTGTTGACAGTTGTTGCAACAAGTGTTCTGTGTTTTTTTCTTTGTTGTTCCAAACAGTCAGAATACAAGATAATTTGCTTTTTTTGGACGAAAGAGGTTTAAGGGTCATTGCGTTTAAATGGTGATATTCTTTGAGCTTATTGAGCAATTTCAGTATTTTTTTTATCTAAACGTAGCTTATGAAATTGGCTTTCCAGTCATTATTATTTTGGGTGCTACAAATTTGTTTAAATATGAAATATACTTTTGGGGGTTTGGGCTCTGGTTTTTTTTACTCACCCTGTACAGTTTGAGTTGGAATGAAACTTGGTTAGTGTATCGAGTGTAACATCATGTGAATCATGATGATGTCAACATTTGATCTTTTTGCTTTATAGGTTTTTTGTTTATAGTCCTAGTGTTTTTGTCTGCTGTGTCAATTTGACGGCTCCCTCTTTTGTTTTGTACAAAGCACAAGAGGGATTCTGCATGTTCTGTGAGCCAACCCAAGTTTGAAACATTACAAGAAAGCATGTCTGACCATGTATGTATGATGAAGTCATGTTTAACCTGACCTTTGACCTGCATTGAATTCTGGGATACGTTGCTACCATCATGCAATCTGTGTTGTATATAGCAGCTTGGATTAACAAATTGTCCATGAAGTCGGCTATGTTTTCCTGTAATGTTCTATCTGATCATACATCGTCGTGTCCGTGCAACAAGGTCATATCTCCTAAAATGGGCCATACATGAAAGGCGAGTTTCAGAATGTCAAAAAGGTCGTATTTCACTTAAAATAACCCGGATGCACCCACAAAGTCAATGGGCGTCAAGATACGACCTTGTTGCACGGAGCGTATTCGCGCGAGATACGACTTTGTTGCAGAATGGAGTTACGACCTTGTTGCACTCACACGACAACATGTACTGTGGACTTTTTCCTGTGTTGTCTTTCTAGCCTTTTTCCTTTATGCTCTGGAGTCTTTTTTTTTCCGCACTGTTTTATAATGAAGTTATAGTTAGTTGAAATATTTGTGAGGCATTCTAACAAAATGAGACAGAACTGGGCAGAGGTTGAAATGAGGGTTTGCAGATATTAGGAAAGAGAATAAACTTCTCCTTACAACACTGTTTGTTGCACTTCAATCGGATATTCCGTTGACAAGTTTATGGCTGTTGAAAGTTGGCATTTATCGGCGTGTCAATATAGTTAAATACTGAGAAAAAGGCCTTTGAAGTTCTAAGCTTTGTATTTGTGAAAATTAAATATGCTAATTGTTGTTCCTTAAAAGCAGTTTTATTCCACGATTTTTATACTAATTCGTCAAAATATCTGTAGCAAACATCAAAGATTACAAATATAAATCTGAAAATGGGAAAAAAAATCACCCCCCCTTTTTAGTTGTTTTTACATTTTTTCTCCACTACGGTCTGTGCCCAGTTCTATGTCATGTTGCCAGAATGCCTCACATTTAGTCTCATTTCTGTGGTTTGCATTTCTTATTTTGTTTGGCTTTTTGTCTAACACATAAGTAGGGGGCTATGAGGAACAAACAGTGAATACACGTAACTCTTTCATTCCCTTCCTTCCCTACCCCTGCTATTATGTATCGTGTATGTGACCGTTAGCTTGGTTTAATCCTAACTCTTTTGCATTGAGATGTTTTCGTTAAGATGTTTTTTTGCAGTCCTAATCCAACAAAACCCCTGCAGGGGAAAAAAGTTCAGATTTTACCGAATTCCCTTCCAACACGTGCGAGTGCACAATAAACTCTGGCTATCTTCCGTGAAACTCTATGAAGTTGACAGGAGATTGTACGTACAAGCCCAGGCCGTGGCACGTACCATCCCACTCACGGCAACCGACAAGCTTTTTCGTACGGAATGAGAGTGCACTGTATACCACACTGTATACCATGTGACTATAACATTACTGCACATACATGTACATGTACCTTGCCTCTGTCGACAACATTTTCATAAACAACTTTTTAGAATTGTTACAAACAATGTTTGTGAAGTATTTCATTTAGTTTGTTTGCTTTTTTTTGTGAAAATTAGTATTTGGTATTTTATGGTAAACTTAGAGGGCTCATTTTTAGTTAATTTTCTGGGAACAAGCCAACCATCCAACCACAATGTGACACGTGAATGTAGAAGTCCCAGCCACAGCTTAAAAATGTAGCGCCTTTTACATTTCTAGGCATATTTACTTCTGGAGAAAAAAAAGCAAACACTTTACTTCTTCTATGTGTGTTGTTTAAGTCCGATGATTAGTGAATTTGGACAATAACGATTTTATCATGTGTTGAAAATCAACAATTTCATTGGAACCCTTTTTCATGTTGAACATGTTGAATGTGCTAATTGTATCCAGTGGTTTTCCTAAGCCTGAAATACTGGGTATGGTTCTGTGGAGCTGCTTATCTAGAACTTCTGCTTAGCAGGTTGTTTGTAGCAAGCAAAAATGAGCTGGCTACCAGTCTGTTGTGTTGCCAAGCAAATATCTTCTGCGCTAAGCATGTTCTGCACTCAGCAACCCATGCAATTTACCCATGCAGAATCTTATTTTGCTTCATGATCTGTCTCTGTAATTTCCAATTGCTTCTCTGGCTTTTAATCCCTCCTTAATCTCTTAATCCCTTCTTAATCCCTAATGCATTCTGCTCCAATGCTAATCCCTGTTGCTAATCTAATCCGGTAATGTCCATCTTTATCTCTCCCTGATTAACAGCCGCATGGAAACATCCAATCCGTAAGTGTCTTACTCTGGATTATCCGCGCTAATCTCATGCTAGTCTTGATTCAAGATTGGATTTGCATGTTACTCCTTGAAAGCTGGACTCAGGTCGACCCGGAATTTGTTTGCACAGCAACAGAACTAGCCTTGCTCCAGGCGTTCATCAGTAGTGGTAGCTGGCCGCTAAAATCATTTGTAAGCGCTAGCCGCGCACTGTGCTTTGCGCAAGGACGAACATACCCTGCTTTCTTCGCCAACTTATTGTAGCCACCAGAGGTCGCTGTTCGCACTTCACACACTACATACATCTAGTGCGTGCCTAGCTTTTTATAAAAGTTTTAGCAGCCAGATACCATCACAGAAAGAGTCGACAAATGCCTTTACCACGGCCAGTTCCGTCGCAGCGTCAGCAATCACAGGTCGATCTGAGGCCAGCCTTATACGGTCCCTGACAATCGCGATGAATTTGCCCAACGGTAGAAACTGCTATCAACAAGATCAATCAAAATCAGTCTTGGGAATTTCGGCAGTGCTTTCCAGCAAATTCTGATCATTCCTCAAGTGCAGTGTAGTCAAGCTAATGCACACACTTGAGGTATGCTTGGAATTCCCTGGGTAGCACTGCCAAAGTTCTCGAGGCCTGGAATTGATTGTTCTTGTTGATAGTAATCTCTACCACAATGGCGGCTTTCCTGCGCTAGCCAGAGACCGGTTGTATCTGGGGAGTAACATCAAAGTCTAATCATGAATGAAGATGAACTTCATTACACCAGTCATTTTGTGTTTGTTGTTCAAAAAGTCTTCTTGACTTTGTTGTGTCATATAAACCTGACGTCTCTGGGCATTTTTCATTTAAACTTTCCTGAAACCTCCAAAATCCAGCGCTATAAAAAAAAACCCATTAGGCTGCTTTAATGGTTCCATTTTCTGGATACAAAAATTTAAAAAAAAATTGTTTATTGAAGCAGTTTAGTAACTTTGCTGCAATCTAAAAATCAAAGATTTTCAAAAAAATTAACAATGAAGAGTTACCAGTAGGTGAACAACCTTGAGTTGTTGTATATTTATATATTCACAATGGTGTCATTAAGAGTGTCCTTATTTGCTAAAATGCGCAGTGTTTGTATTTCAACCAAACTACAATGTCAGCCCATGAAAATACTGTTATTTAACATGTTGTTGGATTTACGTTTCTTGAGGTTGACAATTGTTGCATGTTGCGATATTCATTCTCTGGTCGTACATTCCAATTGCAGTAGAGTAGAAATAGCTGTGTCCTTCGATTCTTCATCTTCATATTTTTTTGTTGGTGCCATCTATCTGTTCCCAGCTTTGTGTCATTTGTGTCTTTAAGATGATTTGTTTAGAAGTATCCAACTTACATGTATTACAAGTTTTTGCGCAGTTCTCTTTTTGAAACTGTGTTCGTGTTTCGTCGTTTGGGTTTTGTTTTGTAATACGCAAGCAGTACATGCACATAATGCAGTTTTGTGAAAGTTGTGCGTTATATTTCCATGCATGTTCACGTCTATTGCACTGTTACCATGGTTATAGTATGTGCTTTTATTGGAAAGAGTACACACAAGGTCTTATGCATCTTAACAAAAGGAGAAAGTTGTATCATAATTGAAATGTTTAGTTTCAAATGGTCGTTACATACATTGTATGTCTGAGTGCATGCCAGCCAAAGACATCTAGGGCCAAGTTCGGGCAAGGACCATTAGTCGACTAGGTGTTGATCTGTGACGTACCTTACGTCTGCGCACTAATAGCAAAGTGCGAACGTCTCTAGTCGAACGCTGGTCAAAATGTCATTGCAAAACGTCTGGATCCTGGCTCCCTGCTGTACGTTATGAACGCGCGCGGCTATGGTTACCAGCGAAGCAACCAACCCCAGTAGGTTGGTTCCAAATAGTCGACTAGCGTAGTTAACCATCGTCGACTAGACAGAGTTCGGGCAAGCATTAGTCGACCAATGGTTAACTATAGTCCTTGCGCGAACTTGCCCCAAGTTGATAGCAACACTGGTTACCACTAGCTGTGGGTATTGTAATGCACAGCAGGGAGCCAGGATTTGGAAGTGTTGTAGTTTTCAGGGATCGTTCGCGCTTGACCAATGTGCAAATGCCACACGTAGACAAGACAAATTTACTAAAAAACGTGTTCAGTAATTATGAAAATTTGAAGAAACTTTCGAAGAAATATCTGCACAGTTAGTTTATTCCTTACACAACTACGAGGTACTCCAGCTGTAGACCTTTATCATGCAGCCACCATTTCAGTCATGTTCCCTGTATCCAATAACAGTACCGAATGATATTTTTTTGTGTAAAAAAGGAACCAGACTATTTTTCCTTCCAGCTTCGCTTTGGCTGCAACATGATAATGGTCTGTTGGTAAAGATTCAACATTTTGCTTAATACCAGCATAACTTGAAACTTGGTGTAAAAGGCACTCTGTACACTATTGTTTTTGTACACTTCGTTTTGAAACTGGGTACGTGTCTAATTTTGACATAGAAAATCTATAGTCCATGCGCAGATCCATTTCAGAATTTAATTGGTCCAAGCTTTGGTTCACATTGGACATGTTGGATGTCACTATTTTCATAACATTACTGTTTCTAGTCTTAATAACCCCCCAAAAATCGCAATTAATTATTCTAGCAGGCTTTTATTTCTGCACTGTTATTTCTGTAGATAAACTACATGTATGTTCTGATTTATTTTCGGCATCGTTGAGTTGCAAAACGCAGTAATTTTTGCTATTTTATGAGTTCAACTTCATAGAACTGTTAAACCTAGAAAAGCTGCTAAGCATGGAAACCATCTGATTAGCAAATGTGGGTTACCAGCTAAAATGTCATGCGAGGCATATTGCATGTGGCTGGCTCCCCGCTGAGTTGCACTTAGCATCTTCATTTGTTTAGCAGCTTTGTGACAGAACTTATGTCAATTTAACAAAAAGTTTAATAATACATTGACTTACCTTTGCTTGTAATCTGATCGCTTTACATCCTCTGTGCTTTGCTAACTTCTCTTTTAGAATTTTTGTAGTTAGTCTTGATTCCAGCTGATATGTCTTGAATTGTTTCCTGTCTGCTTTGTTTTATGCTGCAGTTTGAGGATCACGGTCCGTTTATTAAGCTGGAACAGCTTGAGAAGAAACCAGCACACATGTCCATCTTCCTGCATTATCTCATCTCTAATAGTGATCCTTCCAGTTTGGTAAGTGTTCAGGCTGGGCCATATGTATTTGAATGTTCAATTATTTGGTACATTTATTGATCAAATATTCAAATATATGGTCAGGAAATTGATATTTGATTACATTTTAAATAGTTCTAATCAACTTACATGTGTCTCACAAGTCAATGATACGTTATCACCTGTCAATCACAGGTCAATCACAAGTCCATCACATGTCAGACTCAAGTCAATCATAGGTCAATCACAGGTCAATCACAGGTCAATCACAAGTCCATCACAAGTCAGACTCAAGTCAGACTCAAGTCAGACACAAGTCAATCATAGGTCAATCACAGGTCAATCACAAGTCAATCACAAGTCAATCACCGGCCAATCTCAGGTTAGTCAATCACAAGTCAATTACAAGTCAATCTGAAGTCAATCACAAGTCAATCTGAAGTCAATCACAAGTCAATCACAAGTCAATCACAAGTCAATCATAAGTCATCACAAGTCATCACAAGTCAGACACAAGTCAATCACAAGTCAATCACAGGTCAATCACAGGTCAATCTGAAGTCAATCACAAGTCAATCACAAGTCAATTACAAGTCAATCACAAGTCCATTACAAGTCAATCACAAGTCAATCACAAGTCCATCACAAGTCAATCACAAGTCAATCACAAGTCCAGTACAAGTCAATCTGAAGTCAATCACAAGTCATCCATATCCACATTTGTCAATTCATGCATTTACTTTGACATAGGCTTGACTTTTTTCCCTTGTCCAGTTTTTCTACCTGGTGACGGACAATTACCGAACCGGAAGCCTGAAAGAAATGAAGAAATGGGTCTATGAGATCTTCTCCACCTTCCTAGCTCCGTTAGCGGTAAGTAAAGAGCGCCCTCTGTAGATCAGGAGCATGTGCATACTTGCATATCTGCATATAAATACGCAAAATATCCAGGGTTAAAATTAGTTATCGACATTTTGAAAAAGAGTAATAAGCTGCAATTTGAGGTTGTTTTTTTGGGGGGGGGAGGGGGCTGGTGGGGCGTAATATAACACTAGGATACCATCATACTAATAAGTATGAGGGTATCCAATGTTCTGCCTTGTATTGTGTTTGGAAATGTGGTTTCACATTGTTCCTTCAGTACTTGTATGCTGCAATGGAAGACCGGAAATTTGGGTAAACTTTAATATCAAAATTGACACACCATTTGCAGATGTTAAAGTTTGCTGCATTTGCTTCATTAAAACAAAAAACAAAAATTTTTTTTTTTTTAATTTTAGCCTCTGAGAATACAAGTGAACGATGGGATCGTCCAGTCTATAGGTAAGTGTGAAACTTATAGAACCACGTTCAAGAGCAAAGCTTTTCTGTGAAATTGTTTTTATAACTGTGCTCCAGTCTATGTCCGTCATCAACTTCACATTGAGTAAAGGGGACCTACAATCCTGGCCAAATCTCGCTGGGCCCCCAACCCCCCGGCCCCCTGTCAATGTTCTCTCTCATTGCGCGGTGTGTGCTTCATCAGCTGGAGAGAACACCATTGACCGGGGGAGTGGGGGAGTGGGTGACCGTGAAAGGCTAAGATTATTTCCAAGTGTCCCAACCATTTTGGCCGGGATTGTAGTCAGTTTCCCATTGTAATTTATTTAAATTGCGAAGGACGTGGCTACAACGTGGTCAAGCCAAAGGCATGTAAACGCAGCACAGATCAAAAGTGTTTATTTTCAGAGATGCCAACCATTGCTCTTTTGGAGTAATTATTTGGATTTCGAGGCATGTTACTACTCTTGAAAATTCCAGTTGTCCTATACGCCAACATTGTGGTTACTCTGAAAAGTACTGTGGTTACTCTTAAACTTGACTGTGGTCCTATTAGCATTACTCTTTGCAGGAAGAATCATGACTATTTTGTAATTTGTAAAGTTGGCATCTCTGTATTTCAAGGATGGAGGAAAAGTGGAGAGACCGAAGAAACAACCCTCGTGGCATAGGAGAGCATCAATGCACAACTGTACTCACATATGGTGTGAGCCGGGAATTGAACCCGGGCCACAGTGATGAGAGGCAAGCAGTTCAGGCACTAGCCACCCATGCCACCCCCCCATTTAAAGACTTGGTTTCAACTTCTTCTTTGTTAATTACTTATTTTGGCTGAAACAGAAACCACCATGAGCACTCAGTTGCAGAACGAGGAGGCCATGAAGAGCATCTTCCTGGCAGCGCGACAGAGCGCCACCGCAGAGATCCGAGAACTCCTGGCAGACTTTCGGGCCAAGCGGGCGCTCGGGCTGGGCTCGATCTTCGGCGACCAGCAGCTTCACAACGAGGACATGGACCGGACGCAAGAACTGAAGATCGTGGAGCAGACGCTGATGCCACATTTGGACAGACTGACCACGTAAGTCGGACACACAATGAGCTAATGAAATGGTATTCACCTAGACTTAGAGGGCGCTCTAACAGAGATTGTAAGGGAGGGTGTTCACAACAATAAGCCTAAATCCAAATATGCAAAACACAAAATCCCTCCCCCCCTCTTTCAAAATCTACCACATATGTCACACAGTGAGCGAGTACAATGGGTATGTACCGTGGCATAGAGGGCGCTCTAACAGTGAAAGTGTAACATAACAGTGTATTAATGCAGTGCTTAGGGAACATTTGATACCAATGGTGCAAAGAACTTCACAATTATTACCCCCTTTCACCAGGCCATGAGACCATTTTTCAGTCAGTACAATTGGTGTCTACCCTCACAGGTACCCATCATTACATCTGGGTTAGGAGGAGGAATTGTAGTAAAGTGTCTTGCCTAAGAACACAAGTGTCTGGTTCCTGACACGGGATTTAAATCGCACTACAATTTTTGCATCCCGTGATAAGTAAAGTTGACTAAGCTATATCCAACATCTTTCTTTTTTAGTTTGGAAGCAGAGCGAGAAGACAAGAACGTCGCCATGGCATTTGCCATCACCACCTTCATGAAGCAGGTCGGCGTTCGTGTCACCAGCAACAGCCCCCTGGAAAGATGCCCCAGCTTCACGGCCCGAGACAAACGGACGAAATGGGGAGGCAAGAACAAGAAACAACACATCAAGGGACACCAGTTTGTTGAGATGCACTACCAGTCGACGGTATTCTGCAATCACTGCAACGGCTTGCTGTGGGGGATCGGTTTTCAAGGGTACCAGTGTCAAAGTAAGTTGGTCTCTAAATGTTACCAGTCCGTTGGTAATCGTAATGGGAACCAGCGTTCTATGTACCAGTGTCAAAGTCAACCTCTGACCTTGTTTAGTGTAAAATGGGAACCAGTGTTAAGGGCACCTGTGTCAAAGTAAGCGGACTGCTGAATCTTGATGAGTACATTAAACATTGCAGTGGGTACCAGTTTAAAGGGTACCAGTTTCAAAGTTGACCTCAGAATTTTGCTTAAAGGGAATGTACATCATTGGCTTTTCCTGTAATTTTCAGAAAGGAACTGTTTGAGGGGTTAGTATAATAGATCAAATATTGTTACACTGATTTGTTTGAAATTTTGTGTTCGAAAAATGCTGGAAAAACCAAGAAAAACAAAAATGTTCAAGTAGTCTGGTTCCCTGACTCCACTAGAGATAAAATGGATCAATTTATAGATCTATGCCAGAAAATTGTAAGGTAAGGGAACCAGTCCAGCTGCTCTGCACCCGTTAATGAACATGTAACAAATAGCAAACACAATTTGGACTGAAAAAATGGTGAATTTGGAGCAGTAGTTGAAAAATAGTTAGGTTTTTCCAACGGAGGTCAGACGACCACCGTTGGAAATGTAAACAAAAATACAATTTTCTTGAAAATGACTTCACACCTGGTGCCATAATTTTACAGGATGCTTTAGACTGTCATTTACCAACATCCTAGTAAGGTATTTTGTAAAAACTTGGTAGTTTTATTTTTCGATGTTTGCAAATGTTGTATATTCCCTTTAATCAGTTGTCACTGTAATGGGTACCAGTGTTAAGGGAATCGGTGACAAAGTAATTTGACTTCTGACTTTTTACTTTTTAAGTGGTAATTGTTATGGGCACCAGTGTCAAAGGTACCAGTGTCAGTAGTTTGATCTCTGACCTTTGACTAGTACACCGTTATTGGTTATTGGAACCAGATTTTTAAGGGTACCAGTGGCAAAGTAAGTTGACATACGACCTTTCCTTGTCCATTGGTAGTTGACCGCTCCAGATTTGGCCATAAGCCGCGCCCACCCTAGTCTAGGGAATATCCCCCTGCACAGAAAGAGTCTATGATATGTGAGGAGAGTTGACAATTAATTTGTTCTGGCCACCTGAGCAATATGATGAACCTGTTGAGCAAAAAATTAAGCAACTTCAGCTAAGCTCAGATTAGATTGCTCATATTAGATTGTCGGTAACGCAGATTCATTGCTTAAGTTATTGCACAGTTTGAACTGTGGCCGTCAACTCTGAATGTCTCTTTGCTTGCAGACTGCGAGTTCAACGTGCATAAGACGGGTCTGTGCCTAGACCAACTTGAGGATCCGTGCCAAGGCAAAGAGGGCAAGAAGTCCAAGAACTGGAGGCGGATGATCCCTGGCGGTCAGCGACGGACGTCCGACAGAATGAGTCAGTACCTTCCCCCAGGTATCGTGGTGCATTGTGGAGGCAATAACATTGCGCTTTGCATGCTGTGAAACATTAACAGAAAACTTGAAAATTGTGATTCTTTGAGTAGGGCCCAGTTTAGTCCTTTATTTATCAGTCTTGTGCTTAACCCTGCAGGGGTGTGAAATCTCAGCTTTAAAGCTGATTTCAGCTTTATTGGTTTTGGATTTCAGCTTTTTTTTCAGCTTCTTTTCCTCACTTGCTGTGCACAAAAGTATAAGAGATCTAAAAAATTCAGCTTTTTTACACCTTTTTCAGCTGTTCTCAGCTATTTTTATCAGTGGTCACTCACACCCCTGCCCTGACCCTGCCAGACGCAACACAGTGCATCGGGTGGAAAAGTCTGGTGCACTTTGATGCATTCAGCTGCCAACGCCAGTGCATAAACGGCCGCTTCTCGGACAATGAGAGCTAGTCCCATTGAACAATGCCACATTTGTATCCTGCTGCGTGTGGTGGCCACGGACTCTGAGGCACTTTGGCCTTGAGACTTTTGACCTGATGGATCTTGCAACACTGGGCAGGGTTGTCATTTAGACGTGTGTCATGTTGCTGCGTTTGGCAGGGTTTCTAGCAAACATACCCTGGAGGGTAGCCGAACTAGATCAGTGCTACGTCGTTTGTTTTTCCTAATTCTTTTATGAACAAGCATTAAGTGCAATATTTAGAGGCTTTCTTGATCAAGTCAAGTTGTTTTCTTGAACGGAGTGCTGTTTCCCAATTTACCAGTCATAACAAAATGATGCAAGAAATCACTGTTCAGTAATGAGCTTTTCAATTCAAAACTGTTTTCAGTTAAACTGGAAGTATGTGTTTTTTCGTTATTTTGGTAGCAGACTTTTTAAGAATTTTAGCTCATTCATGTATAATTTTGTACATTTTGACTGAAATTGATGCGCTGTGGCATTAAGGGCCATGGGTTTTGAAGTTAGTCTGTAACAGAAATACCATAAATGCTAAGTGGTCTCTTCAAAAAACAGTGGTCTTGGAACAGTTACATAAGAAAAAATGTTTGAGAAATTTGAGTGTACATAATCTAGTTTAGCATGGAGTTAGGCACTAAGCACTTGTTACTTTCATATTGATGAATTGAGCACTTGCCATGCTGTTTCTGCATGATAGTGGTTCTATGCCATCACTGTAGAGGGCGCTGTTTGAGGTGCTTGGGTGTGGCCAATTGTTGTCAGAAAGGTGTGGTTCCATTGGTTTGAAAGCGCTACGTAAATAAGACCACATGGGCTCAGCAGCCTGGGCTTATTTACATGGGTGTGGTCGCATGGGTGTTGCTATTTAGATGTGGTTGAATGGTATAGTTACATGGGCGAGGTTGCATGGGTGTGGTCATGTGGGTGCGGTCACATGGGTGCAGTCATGGATGTGGTAACATGGGCGTGGTCACATGGGCATGGCTATGGCCATGACTGGTATAAACAGCATTAATTAATGTGGCTTTATAAAGTGTGTCCAAATCAGCACAGTTGATTGGGCATGCACTCATGGGCATAACTGGGCTTGTCATATGGGTGTGTCACAATGGGTGTTTTTATTGGGCATATCTGCATAGGCGTGTCAGTATAGGTGTGTCAGCATGGGCGTGTACGTATAGCTCGTGTCCACATGGGCGTGTCAACATGGGTATGTACACATGGGCGTGTACGCATAGGGGTTTACCCATAGGCGTGTACCCATGGGCGTGTCCGCATGGGCGTGTCCGCATGGGCGTGTCCGCATGGGCGTGTCGGCATGGGCGTGTCCGCATGGACAAGGCTGCATGGGCGTGTTGGCATGGGCTTGTCAGCATGGGCGTGTCCGCATGGGTGTGTACACATGGGCATATTCGCATGGGCGTGTCCGCATGGGCGTGTCCGCATGGGCGTGTCTGCATGGGCGTGTCTGCATGGTGTGCTGTGCTGACATCCTGTTATTTATTACCTCCAGTCTTCTTCGCAGGTGATAGGAAGGATGATAGTGAGAAGACAGCCACATCTCCCAGTGCAGCCATCAGCCCTCTACCGATTCCACCCATCAGGCCAGGGCTAGGCGAAGATGAAGAAATCAGTAAGTCTGTGCACCAGTTGCAAATTATCAACAGGGACAGTATAGGCCTCCGTACATGGACAGCAAAACGGGCAACATCCAGTGTTCAAATTCACAAACGTTTCCTCATTAGTCTGTTAGAACATACCCTGACCTCCCCAACTCCGTCAAAATCCATCCCCCTATTTTGGTGGATTTGGGGGACTTGGTCCTGCAGGCCTGGTTTGACTAAATATTGATGGAGTATGATGGACTTGGGCCTGGAGGCCTAAAGCAAAGCATGCATTGGAAGCAGTGTGATTGATGGATTTTGGCGGACTTGGTCCAGTACTTTGTAAAAGACAGTAGGGACTTTGCGTTAATGAACCGTTTTCTGGCTAAGACTTTGTGATGTTAACCTACCGGTACTACGAATAAGACCTATTTCAGTCATAAACCCCAACCACACCGGGTATTCTTCAAAATGAGTTGCCTGCTAAATGCAGAGGTATGCAACAAATAGTTACCTTTGTTGCATTTGGGTAGGGTTAAGAGGCCAACATCTGACATTTATCAAAGCTTGCCCCTAATGAATATTCATTCAGAAGCCACCCTCTGACCATTTCCACAGCCCAACTGAAGAAGGAAGTCAACGTTGACAGTCTGGTCAAACAGTTTGAAGTCAAGACAGACGACCCTCTCGTCGGTTCCCACTCCTCGCAAACTGACAGCGGGATCTCAGAGAGCTATGATAGGCTGCAGGACGTAACGGAGGGAGAGACCACTGCAACCAAACGCTCCTTCCTCAACAGATCGGCAAGCCTCAAAACAAAGGTGTGTGCAACTTTTGTTTCCTGTCAAAGCGAGATTTTTGTGGGACCAAGTGGGTCATTCTATAGTCGTCTGCGTCTATCTTACTGGCTGACTGTTACACTAACTTTCCCGTGAAATTACTCTTTCTGGCAAGCTGTGATTTTGAATAGAACAGTAAAAGAAGACCATTTGCAAAGTGTGCGTCAAGTGACGCATTTTTTGGAAATATCTGTTAAAAGTTTATTTAGGCGTCGGTGCGCGTGGTTGCTATTATTCATTGGCTCAGTGCGTGACATGGTGTAGCTGCAATCGGCTGAATGAAAACGTGTCCCTGATGCTGAATTCAAGCCCAATTCAAAACATGACTCTTGAACTTTTGAATTGAATTTGAAATCCTAGAATATTGTTTTCTCGGAATATACAGCATTCACTGAGCTGAAACTTCATCAGCACCCTTCTTTAGATTCTGAACACTTGTGTTGCTTCAAACGAACATAATGCACAAATTCCAAATGATGGACTGTACCTTAAATACTGTGACTTTTTATTCTATTCTAGGGCGAGGAGAAGAGAGAACGAAGACCGCCCGGCGATCGTCGATCAAGAAGGTAGGAAACATCAAGCAATTTGAAAACTAGTTGTGGTCAGCATTGGGACAAAGAAGCATTTGTTTGATTTGGTGTATCATGTTGTGCCCTGATTAGTTGAATGTGAAGTGTAGTCCTGGGTTTGTTTTAGATTCCTTGGGATGGTTGCTGGTCAATTTTCTTAAGCAATGACACAATGTCAGAACTGACTCCAATATTTTCCACTGTTCAGGTTGTGTTTTAGTACACACTTATTTTTTTGTAAGCATTTCATAAATTTGGCACATGTTCTGGGCCCAACTTCATAGCGCTGCTTCACAACTCATTTTGTGCTAACCGTTCCCCCATTAACTGTAAGCAGTAAACTAAGCAAAAGCACGCTTAATCCCGGAGGAAAAAGTTGCTTGAACCTAACCTCCAGGGTATGTTTAATAGAATCCGGCCAAACCGTAGCAACGTGCAACAATTGACTAAGTGACAAGCCTGCTAAGTGCTGCAAGATCCATCGGGGGAAAAGTCCCACGGCCACGCTGCCTCAGAGTGTGTGATCACCGCACGCAGCAGGATACAACTCTGGCATTGTTCAATGGGACTAGCTCTCATTGTTTCAGACCTGGCCATTCATGCACTGGTGTTGGTAGCTGAATGCGTCAAAGTGCACCAGTTCTTTTCCACCTGATGCACTGCGTTGCGTCTGGCAGGGGTAGGGTTAAATCAGTGACGTAACTATAGAAATCTCCGTGCGTGTGCAACCGTTAGCATGTCCACGCCATGCAATAGTGCTTAAGCAGCAATAAGATTTTCTGCTTATAGTAAACACAACTTTTCCGCTAACTGCGAAGCAGTGCTATGACATTGGGCCCAGGGTTTATCACATGGAGTTTTATTTGTCTGCAAATGGATTTCTTTTGTTATGGCACCATTAATTAATGCATGACGTTGTTTTTTTTCGTTTCCCTTTTGTTTGTGACACAAGTGTGCTTGTTTCATCGTAAGTTTCCGTTATTTTCTGTTTATCATGTTGGCACAACAGTAGCCATTTTAGCATGCACAACTCCAGTTTACAATCTAGCTATTATTTCAACCAGCTTCAGATTTTACTTCACTTTTAGTTCAGAACATTTGGAATGCACAGTTACTTTCTGTTCTTTTTCCCTCTGTTTTGATATTTTATTTTATCATTGGCTTGGTTAGGACCATTGGAAAGGTTCAGTCATGCATACCATTTGACTTGGGGCATTTTTGGGATGTGATTTAAAAAAAAACCATTGAATTTGCGGGTTAGCACATGGTACGCACTCATACATTTAACAGAAAACTGGCTAAATGTACTGCTTATGTTGCTTCATCTTTGTGGACAATTTCAAAAACATCATTGATGTTTTGGTGCCATTCCTGCACCAAAACATCAATTTCAAACATTGAAATTCCTGTCTTTTTTACTGCTGATCTTCTTGTTTTTGTGAAGAAGTCTTTATTATTTCAATATTTTTTTTACATTTTTTTTTGGGGGGGGGGGTTCAACATTGACATGTGACCTCGAGTCCTGTCCTGACATCTGACCTTTGGGGTCGTAACCAAGACAATGATAGTGCACTTGCTGCTGCCTGGTAGTCGGCACCTGAATACCAGTTTTCTTATGTGATAGTCATACCATGGATGATCATGTAGTTAACATTTGTGCATTCACAGTGATGTTAAAAAACTTTGATCACACCCAAAGATACATCTCTATATTTTGTTTGCTTTTTCTAAGATATAACAGTTTTTGAAAACAAAAACATGCCAAATCACCTCAATGCACCCCCCCCCCCCCCCCCGAACACTTCTGCCAAGGGTAATATCCAATTTTTAAAAGACGAATGGCTATAAAGAAAGAACACTTCATTTATTGCTTTTAAAATTGAACCAAACTAATTTTGAACGATTCTGTGAGAATTCAAGGTCTTTGAATCTTTGTTATTCCTTAGAAGGTCTTAAACCACAACCTACATGTTAAATAAAAACCACAATCTAAAAAATGAAAGCCCTGGAAGGATTTTGTAGGATTGAGGAAGGAAGTAGCCCAGCCACTATTACTTTACATGGGGCTTGATGCCCTTGAAACTTGGTAGGTTCAAAGAGTGTGCCATTGGGTCCTGCACAGTGGAGGATTTTGTAGGATTGAGGAAGGTACGGTAGTGCCCAGCCAAATACATGTACATGGGGCTTGATGCCCCTTGAAACTTGGTAGGTACAAAGAATGGGCTGTAGATTCATAGAAAGTGGTGGATTTTGTAAGATTTAGGATAAGAGTCACATACATGTAAGTGCCGAGGGTTTTAGGTTACTTGCATGAATTATATATTATCCCAGATTTAATGCATGATGAATATTCATGAATTAATCCATGAAACCTCAGCAAAGTATTTTCACTTGAAAAGCCTGATCATGTTTGCATGCTTTAAGTCCATTTCAATTTACTCCAGTTTTGTGATGTGATATAAACTATTCCAGTCACATTTGAACCAAACTTCATTGGACATAATCACTCAAAATCTCTGTCATCAACATGTTAAGGTGTGTATGGACCCAAAAACCCACTAAATTTGATTTTTTACCAGTTTTAAATAGTTCCGCATGAAACAAATACAATTATGAATGTAATGACAATCACAAAAGAAAATTGGTATTCTTTAATAAATCGCTTGCGAGATTTGCATTTTGATTGTTTTTTTTATTTTTCCTTTTGGTTTTTCTGTTCTCCTTTCCGTTGTTTGAATTTTGTTTTCTTCACGTTAATGCCCGTGTAGCTCCAACGATCGTACCTCATCGCAATCGACTGAGTAAGTTGATACCATCTCATTTCACTAACCCATAGAGGTCAGAGGTCGCAAACTGGTATCACTAACCAAAACTGGTTCCCCGTAGTTCGTAGTGGGGCAATTGCGTGTACCTACTGCCCTATTGAAAGGTGCTGCTGTGTATGTTGATTTCTTTGAGTCCTCATTGGACAGGTTTTATTTTGTGATCCAGGGTCAACTCTTCCATTAGAAATGTATTCATGTCTATTATATATATGATGGTAGAAAACTTCCCACAATGCTTTGCATTTCCTGCAGAATATTCAATGAATGAAATGAGCATCACCAGCGTTTTTGAATAGGGTGGTAGGCACGAGTGAAAATTCGAAGACAAAAATCATTATAGAAATGACAACTTTCATACATCTTCATTCAAACAAAATATTGTGTTATTTTATGCATTATTTTGGTTACTTTGTGTAGCTTTTATTTTCCCCCATTTTACCAGTGCATTTTCGGTCATTTGATCAATCATAGAGGACACTTAACATTTTTCACTTTCATCATCATAAAATTACATTATGTCATCACGATTACACATACTCATAAGATTTTTATTTTAAGGAAAAAAATACCCACACGGCCATTCAAGTGTGCACTATTGAATCATTATGTCATTTGTTGTTCTTCACTTGTTCGTTTTGACATTAAACCATTCCATGGGAAAAGATGGGGATAAACAAACATCCCTGTACCATGCATATAGTCAGATAGTCAGATTTCACACTTTTGTGAAGATGGATTATTTTGGATTCAACAACTGTTCACACTCTGCTTCAAATGTAGTCCATTTCCCCCATTTCAGACTCCCGTTCCAGAGTCGTTCCAAACCAAATGTTAAAGTGTAATCAGGCTAACAAAATCAGAAGCCACATTTGAGGTGGTGCCACGCTGGCGCGCACGCTGCACTCAGTCTTAGAGACGAGGCAGGCACGCATTTTGGTAACACTGTTAGTCTCAGGAGTCCAGGGGTGTGTGCGTACTACGTACTACCGGTACCTGAGCGCGACTCACGTGAGCCTGGCGCCACTGCAGTGCAAGGGCGGATCCAGAACACAATTTTGGGAGGGGGCCAAAAAAAAAATTTTGGTCCCCCAAAAGAGTGGGTCAAAAAAAATTTTTTTTGGATTCTAGATGCTCTGTGGTGCGATCTGAGGCAATTTCTGACCACTTTAACCAATGTTTTTTTGAGGAAAAGATGGTGGTGTACTCATTGCCTGCCTTTATTGCGATGTCACATAAAAAAAAAAAAAAATGGTTTCGTTTTGGGGGGGGGGGGGGCCATGGCCCGCTTTGGCCCCCCCTGGATCCGCACTTGCTGCAGTGCCACCTCAGAAGATGGCTGTCGTCGAATTAGTCTAAACGAACTCAAGTTGATCCAAATGGATTTTGGTTTTGGACAGGCAAAATTTACGAATAATTTCCAATTGTTCTCAATGACCTCAAAAGTCAGTTTTTCATCATTGTCGCTCCTAAAAACAATATACACACGTCACTGTTCCAATGCAATCATTTCAAATACTGAATTTAAATCGTTGGAATAATTTCCTTTTTGGCACATCTGGAATGCAGTCTGAAACGGATAGTGGTTTTAGCGCGACACTTACCAAGTTTTCAAATGGCGCATCAAAGTAGTATCTGTAGTTCCCCTTGCTCTATTTTTAATGCAAGTTATTAAGAATGACTGCCAAAGAACAAGAGACCGATCCACTTGGCTCCGCCCACTGTGCACATAGGCAACAACATGTGCGCCTCTCCAATGCCACACTGCGTAGGCTCCGCCCACTGCACACATAGGCAACAACATGTGCGCCTCTCCAATGCCACACTGCGTAGGCTCCGCCCACTGCACACATACCAGTAGGCAACAACATGTGCGCCTCTCCAATGCCACACTGCGTAGGCTCCGCCCACTGCACACATAGGCAACAACATGTGCGATTCTCCAATGCCACACTGCGTAGGCTCCGCCCACTGCGCACATAGGCAACAACATGTGCGCTTCTCCAATGCCACACTGCGTAGGCTCCGCCCACTGCACACATAGGCAACAACATGTGCGCTTCTCCAATGCCACACTGCGTAGGCTCCGCCCACTGCGCACATAGGCAACAACATGTGCGCTTCTCCAATGCCACACTGCGTAGGCTCCACCCACTGCACACATAGGCAACAACATGTGCGCTTCTCCAATGCCACACTGCGTAGGCTCCGCCCACTGCACACATAGGCAACAACATGTGCGCTTCTCCAATGCCACACTGCGTAGGCTCCGCCCACTGCGCACATAGGCAACAACATGTGCGCTTCTCCAATGCCACACTGCATATTCCAGCTATATGCGTAATGAGCGTGCGCAGGCATGCCAAACATTTTGCCCTCATGTCACGCATTCATCTCAGTTGTGATTGGTCAAAACAGCATAGAGTGGAGCTTGATGGATCTGTCTGTCAGCACTTCTGTGTAGACTAGAAGCAATTCACATTCACTCTCATTCATACATTTAGTTTGAACAGCTTCATTTTAGACAAGTTTTTTACAATGTATTTTCTTTTTGTTATCAGTGACGTTGACATGGATGGACACAGCGTGGTGACTGCTCTCACCAATACAGCACATGACAGTTCATCATCAAGCTTATCAACGAGGTAAGCTGATCAACAAGCGTTAATATCAAACTGCTAAGCATGGAAAAGAGTTTGCAATCTGAAGCCACTTTTCTTCATATATCATCTCAATGAAGGTCATTCATTGTAAAAAAAAGTAAAGACATGAATCTTGGACTGAGAAACATTTCCAATTTTGTTATGAAGTGTTAAGAAAATTTTCTTGGCTCTCCATAGACTTTGTATACAATCGCGGAAGTGGCGTAAGATTGCAACATTTTTTTTCCAAATATTTACTAAGAAAAAAACGGGTTACATGGCATGCATGGGGTATTGACCAGTTCTTATCCGATTTGAGCTTAGAGAAAAAATAATCAATAATTTATAAGTGGAAAATACGTGTTCTGCTTCACAACTTAACAAGCTAAATAAACATGAATGAAGTAGTCGAAAGTAATATACATCAATGTATGAGTGTCATTCTCTTGTGTAAACTGTTGTATATTCATATATTCATTTATTCATATATCCATTTATGCGTATATTCGTGTGAATGCAATATTCAGAAGTCAGGATTCTCAGTCTGCATCCAATGATTCCTTATCCTGTCGTCCCAATGAGGAAGACCAGGCTGAGGATTCGGACATGGAGGCTGAGGCTGAGCCATCCAACTGGCAGGACTTTGTGGATAAAGACATCGTTAAGCGCCTCAAGCCGAAGGAAGTCAAGAGGCAGGAAGTTATCAATGGTGAGTTGTAGGCCTGGACTATATTTCAATAATGCCCTATCAAATCTTTTTGATACCGAACAACACTGACTGAATTTTTTAAATACCGAAATACCAACAACCTTGGTATGGAGTTTTATTACTGCGATTTGCCCTCTTAAATGTGGCCAGATGTGTGCAGATGCCCTGTGAAAAAAAGATGGCAGAAACAACTTGGCCTGCACACAAAAGCCTACAATGTACATGTAAAGGGTAAAGATCCCATAGCCATTACTGGCCGTAGGGGCAGTGGGATGTTAGAGGTCCACTGTGTCTTGGCGCGGCATATGAGTGGCGGGGCCCAGTCCTCTCCTCTCGCCGTCTTACCTTCCCTGAACGAATCAGGTACCCATTTTACTGTTGGGTCGTCACAGAGAGTTTTCCAGTTTTTGGTCCGAATGGGATTCGAACCGCCAACCTTCTACTCCGTAGCTCCACGCTCTAACCGCTCGGCTACGAGGCCCCGTACATGTATGGATAATTATTTAATGTTGGTCATGGTATTATAGATCAAGTGAAAATTGTGCTTACTTCTAGTAAGTTACTAGTAATCCTGTAAAGCCGTTGATGTTCTACCTATCCTGCGTGTTTGCAGTGTTCCTAACTCTACATGTTTTTCTTGTATTTTGATAACATAATAGTCGGCCCAGAAAAATACTCTATAATAACGAATACTGCTATATTTTCATGGCGGTATACAAAGAACTCTTAAATCCAATACTGCACAAGCCTAGTGAGTTGAGAGTTTTGGGATTGATTTCAAAAATGGATGCAGTTGCTGAACTTAAATTTTGCCTCATTTAATTGAAGTTGGTCAACAATTTAGGACACATTATATGGAAATTAGGTAATTTACCCATTCCTATTGGTCGAAAGCTTGTAAACAAATATTGTGCCTCTAAATACGGTGAGAGTCCAGTATTTGATATGGCTAAGAAAACAGTCCGACAGTGACTTAAATAAATTGCTAATTGATGGACTAATTAGGTGACAGCCATTTTCTGGGGTCATGCTCTGGTAGTACGGACGCACTCCGTGCTCCTTTCAACCTATAGGTTTACCAAAATGCGTGCGTGCATTGTCTTTAAGAACCATGTGGCTTGCTGGCTTACATGGTTGCACCTTACAAATGACTTCAAATTTTGTTCGCTGAATAAACCTTACAAAAACGTGTGTGTGTCCACAGAGTTATTCCACACGGAGAGGTCGCACGTTCGCAATCTGAAGGTTCTTGACAGGGTTTTTTATCGGCCGATGCTACGAGAGCAGGTTCTCTCCAAGGAGCTGATTCACGCCATCTTCCCTAATCTCAACGAGATGCTGGAACTCCATGGGCCACTCAACGAGTACATGAAGAAGGAACGCAAGACGTCGCATGTCATTCAACAAGTCGGGCACGTCCTCCTGAAAACAGTAAGGGGAGATTCCATCTCTCAATTGAAACATAACGTTTGGAGCAACAAAAGCAAGTGAACTGTTGCACCATGTAACAAATTTCTTTTGTGAGTTTTGGACGTGATGCACATGCGCGTGGTTGTTTTTATTCGTCGGTTCAGTGCATGACATCACGTAGCTGTAATCTACTGAATGAGATATTGTCCCAGACGCTGATTATGGGCGCAATTCAAAACATAACTTGGCAACTTTTTGAATTGATACCAAGATCCTAGAAATTGTTTTCTCGGAATATACAACATTCACTGAGCTAAAACTTTATCAGAAGTTTTTAAGAACCAGTCTGTAGATTTTGAGCACTTTTGTCGTTTCAAACTTTAAAAAAAATGACAAATGATCTACCCATCCGTTGACTGCTTTGGATCAGGTTCTGAGCTACAATGGGTTGTTAGTGTCTTAGCTTGGAAACTTACGCTGGAGCAAAAATGGTCTGAGAACCACTTACGCATAATACACGCATTTTATGCAAATTATTTTCAGCTGGTATCCTGTTTTTGTTCAGCAAAGACGTTTTGTGCTTGGTGGTTTGGAGAAGTTGGTCCCAGAAAATATACCAGTTTTAATGAACAGCCCCAATAGTTCCATAATAACTTAACAGTGACTTCAGATTCAAACAGCTTTTGTAATGGTACAAATTAATTTTTTTTTCCTTTTGTTGTTTTCTAGTTTGACGGTGAGGCAGGGGAAACTGCTAAGCGGATTTGCGCCACGTTCTGCCAGAACCAAAAAGCTGCTCTGGAGATGCTGAAGCACAGACAGAAGAAAGACAGCCGCTTAGCGCAGTTCCTAACAGTAGGCACTAAACAAAATGCCTTTTATCTATCATTCCTACATGTCTAAGTGTTAGCTGCAATGGGCCATAGTTTGACTATTGAGGGCAGTATAACCACTCAAAGCTTTGCAACTATCAGTTCTCAACTAGCTTTTGTGTCGTATTTCCAAAGTTGAAGTTTTCTCAGAAATTAAGATTTTGCTTTGCCTACCATACCCTAAACTCACCTGTAGCTTGATCCTTCAAAATCCCGAGTAGATTGTGAAGGATTTTGTAGGATTGTGGAAGTCGGAATCCAGCCACTATAACTTTATATGGGGCTTGATGCTCCTTGAAACGTGGTAGGTACAAAGAGTGTGCCATTGAGTTCATGCACAATGTAGGATTTTGTAGGATTGAGGAATGCAGAGGCCGGCCACTATGACTTCACATGGGCTTGATGCAACTTGAAACTTGGTAGGTACAAAGAGTGTGCTATTGGTTTTCTGCACATGGAGGATTTTGGAGTGCTCCTGACAAAATGCTGAGAATAATTTGGGATTAAATCTGCACAGAAACCTTCTAAAAGTGAAACACTGTTTATTTCTCACACAGTGTACACGCACTAGTTAGTCTCCACACCAGCAGTTGAATTGTCTTTTGTTGTATTTCAGGATGCTGAGGCCAATTCGTTATGTCGGCGTCTACCCTTACAAGCCATCATATCAACTGGAATGCAGAGACTAACCAAGTACCCGTTACTCATCGAGAACCTCTTGAAATATACACCAGGTAAGTATCCCTTTAGTGTTGGCAAATTACTCAAGTAATCTTTTTTTTCTTCACAAAAGCACTTAGAAAGCTCTTAGCAAAGGATGATAAGTGTCTATTTTACCTATAGAGATATTATACCTATATAGGGCGAGTCAAAAAAAGTGGAACCCAAACCCAAAAAATTATATTTCATATTTAAAAAATATGTAGCACCAAAAATAATAATGACTGGAAAGCCAATTTCATTAGCTACTTTAAGATGAAAAATAACTGAAATTGCTCAATCCGTTCAAAGAATATCACCATTTAAACACAATGACCCTAAAACCTGTTTCGTCCAACCAATGCGATTTGAAGAATCGTTGTCACAATTGTTTTGAAACATCACCAGTGATAAAACCTCAGTTTAAAAGTTTAAAATATTTAACAAAGTCCTTTTGAAGGCCCGTCTTTTTAAAAAGTGGATTTTATAAATCATACTGTTTGCCTAACCAGGGTTGTTTACGAAGATATTGTGTACTGCAGTTGTTGAAACAAGTATTCTGTGTCATTTTCTTTGTTGTTCCAAACATTCAGAATACACAATAAATTGCTGTTTTTTTGACGAAACAAGTTTTAGGGTCATTGCATGTAAATGGTGATATTCTTTGAATGGATTGAGCATTTTTCAGTAATTTTTTCATCTAAAAGTAGCTTATGAAATTGGCTTTCCAGTCATTATTGTTGGTGCAACATATTTTGTTAAATATGAAATATATTTTTTTTGGGTTTGGGTTCTGCTTTTTTTGACTCACTCTGTAGATAAGAATGTTTCAACAGACTTTTTGCAGTGTAACACAATCTATTACAATCTAATACAAAGTAATGTAATTTAATACAATGTAATGCAATCTAATACAATGTAATACAAAGTAGTATAATTTAATACAATGTAATGCAATCTGATACAATGTAATAAAAAGTAGTATAATTTAATACAATGTAATGCAATCTATTACAATGTAATAAAAAGTACATGTAGTATAATTTAATACAATGTAATGCAAGTGTTACTTTTTTTCCCCAACAGCCAAGTCAAAGGAGTATGAAGTCCTGGGTAAATGTTCACAGTGCACCAAGAAGCTACTGGCACATGTCAACCAGGCAGTCAAGGAATGTGAGAACCATCAACGATTGGTAGATATCAACCGACACTTAGATAAGGGTCCGTTTGAGCGCTCCAACCACCCCATCGCTGCTGAATACAAGGTGAGGAACTAAACCACTAAACTCGCTAGTACTTAAAGGGAAAATACAACATTTGCAAACATCGAAAAATTAAATACCAAGTTGTTACGAAATACCTTACAGGATGTTGGTAAATGACAGTCTAAAGCATCCTGTAAAATTATGGCACCTGGTGTGAAGTCATTTTCAAGAAAATTGTATTTTTGTTTACATTTCCAACGGTGGTCGGCCGACCACCGTAGGAAAAACCTAACTTTTTTTCACTACTGCTCCAAATTTACCATTTTTCAGTCCAATTTTGTTTGCTAATTGGTTTTATGTTCATGAATGGGTGCAGGTCAGCTAGACTGGTTCCCTTAGCGTACAATTTTTCAGCATCTGTAAATTGATCCATTTCATCTTCAGTGGAGTCAGGGAACCAGACTACTTGAACATTTTTGGTTTTCTTGGTTTTTCCAGCATTTTCGAAAACAAAACTTCAAACATGTCACTGTAACAATAATTTGATCTATTATACATGTACTAACCCCTCAAATAGTTCATTTCTGAAAATTGAAGCACAAGCCAATGATGTACATTCCCTTTAAAAGGATGTGATTTACACAGCAAATCCTCTAAAAAGTTAACCTCAAGTGAGCTGCATATACGCTGAAAATGTGACATCACCTCTTTCTGTGGTCAGGCTCACTTCCTGCACATTCTTAAACCCAACTCCCTAGGATGATTTACTAGGAACCATACCCATGCTGGCAAATTCCAACACCATTATGGGAAACTGCACACACATATTTCTGACTTCGATTCTGGAGGTGTGTCAACGCAATGACAAATACTGTCAGTTTAGGAGTACTGTAATAATAATATCAAGTTGTTTGTCCGATTTCCCACTTGTACATTCCCACCCCATTGTTGAGGATTGTGTTTTTTTTAAGACTTTAAAACTTTCCAGTCAAATTTGACAAGATATTTATGCTAACAGTGCTACGTACGTAACATGGACAGAAAGTTTGCCAGGGGATCGCCCAAGTTTTACTTGCAATATTTTTTAGCATTGGATGCAATTTTGTCAAATGCCTGATGTACAATTGTTAGTCTGCGGATAACTACCAATAAAGGTTCCTAAAAAATTGATGTTAATATTCCTTGTCTGTGTTTCTTTCAGAGTCTGGACTTAACATCACGGAAACTTCTTCACGATGGCGCCCTGACGTGGAAACTCAGCAAAACCAAAACACTCGGTAAAAAGCAACAACAAAGTTATTGATACACAAATCTTTCCAAGCTACTTAGATCAGAAGTTATCTAAGCGCATGAACGCGGGCGCACCGCGCTTGCGTGTCAATTACCAGCAGAATGAGCGTGCGCGTAACATAGCATAACATGGCGTAACATCGCGTGACATCACGTCAGCGATGTTATCCCGAATAACCTCGGGTCATTGAAATACTGAACTGGTTTATTGAGAAGAATTGTGTGCACTCTGGGACCACTTTACTAGACCTGGCTAGTGTTAAAACGTCCATTCTATTTTAACTTCTTTTCAGATATTTTACACACTTATATTTTCCAGTTTCATCTTGTTAAAAATGACAACTCTATTTTTTTTTCATTTTCTTCAGATATTTACGCGCTTCTGTTTTCGGACATCCTAGTAGTGCTTCAGAAGCAGGACGATCGCTACGTCATGAAATGTCACAGCACTACGGTACCCACGCAGCTGGAGGAGAAGAAGAACACGCACAGTCCCATCATTAAGATCAATAGTGTGCTGTGTCGTGAAGTGGCAACGAGTAAGTCCATAAAAGCATTGCGTGAGCATCAGTAGAAGAATATGCTTTCATTATGATAACATACGAGGCGTTCTGGCAAAATGAGACGGAACTGGGCAGAGGTCGAATTGAGATTTTGCACTGTAAACTCAGTGTTGTTCTACGGACTGTGAGAAAAAATATCACAAACTGAATAAGTGGGTCTCCAACCCGCAACCTCCTGCTTACTAGTACATATGTCTTAACTGAGCTTGCCGGAGTCGGCTGGCCAGTTCACTGTAAAAGCCAACGTACATGTATGTCCGACCACATGATGTAAGGTCGTTAAGGTGGTGGTACCTTAGTTTGGTCTGTCATTGTTTTCTACTCATTAGATGTCACATTATTAGTGATGTATCACATTCACTTTTCCAACAGCAGCTCATTAAAGGGTCTGACATGTATGGCCGTACTTCTGACAGCTAATTGTGGGGTACTCATACAAAGGGAAACTTAGGGAACAATGCTACCCCACTACTTACCCTTAGACAAACGGTACCCAAGAAGTGAAATTCTAAGGAAAAGGGACAAAAGGAAACCAATGCAAGTCTGCTGGGATGACCGAATTTGAGGAATTACCCATCTGCTAAATCCTTCAATGCCAAATTCCATCAAGCAAGTCATATCTATTGTTTCCTTTCACAGATAAGAGAGCCTTCTTTCTCGTGAGCACGTCCAACGCTGGGCCGCAAATCTACGAGCTCACCACCATCTCGACCTCTGAGCGCCAAGCGTGGATGGACATGATCTTAAGAACTCAGGAAATGATCAGAAAGAACGGCAAAACGGGCGAGCCTGGTGCGGCCAGCAGCACGGTCTCCAACAGCTACTTCAAGATCATCGAAGAGGATTCGGAAGATATCGCTGGCAAACCGTAAGTTCAGTGTGCTCCACAAGAGAGTTCAAACAGTTGGGCTCTCTTCAGATGCTATGCCACTTTGCCAAAGTTTTCTGCCTTCTTGAATGTTTTGCTGCCTATCGTATTTTTTTTTATAATCTACCACCTATTTTAGCTGATGATAAAAAAACCTGATTTCTTAGATTATTTGAATAAATATTAAAGAAAATTACTTCGGACTTGTGCAGAAGTACCACTTATTGATTTGCAAGAGAGTACTGTGGCCTCGTGGTTAAGGGCACTGATTCGTGGTCTGCGGGTAGAGCTGCAGGTTGTGGGTTGAGTCTAGCTGGGGTCATGGTGCGTGTGCCCTTGGGCAAGGCACTTTGTCACTCATTGCTTCTCTCCACCCAGGAGTAAATGGGTACCTGTGAGGGCAGAGATGGTTATTGTGATTGAATTAGCTTCCTTGTACCTAACAGGCTGCATCTAGCTGTATACTCCCCAGGGAGCTGAGATGGTGTTTGGAATGTTTCATGTGCCCAATGAGCAGGGGTAATAATGATGTAGCGCCTTGAGCACCAGTCCTGGTGGAAACGTGCGCTTTATAAATATCCACTATTATTATTATTATTATTAGAGTGAGGGGGGATTCTCAAACACATTGTGCGCATTGCTGCTGTACCCTTTGCGCATATGCACAGAGATCTTCAAAGAGTGCTATCTGGTCTGCGTTCCTGAAATAGCGCCCTCCGTATAGACACATTTCAGAACGCACAATGGAGTGTGTAAGCTGACCTCAAAAACCTGCGAGATGTTACGAGAATACAGCACATCCAGGCACCATGTATTGGATCTACAACATGTGTAGCGTCCTATTATTGTGCATTTATGTCGTGTCCAGACTGGGCCCATTCAATCAAGGGCAATGAACGGGTATTTTGAAAGTAAAGAAAGCATGTCAACACATTGAAAATATTGCGGATTGATGACGATTAAACAATTCAAATTGTTGACCTCAAGTTCCATTCAATTGGAACTTGTTAGCTGCGATCACGCAGATAACAAGTGGGTAAATTCAAACAGGGGAGTCTGTGACTAGACTAGTCTGTATTTGGTACCAAGACTTTCCAACAGAAAAAGTGAACTATAATAGCTTTTGCAACCAGGTACATGCAGATTTCCAGTGAGTAGCCACTCTGAATGGATTGAATAGAATTTTGTGTAATGGGACCACCTTTTTCTTGGTTTTTTTTCCCCCAGTGATTCGGGAGAAGGTGCGGCTAAGCATATGGAAGCCGGGCCGTCCAGCATAGAGATCAACCACCCACCGCAAGTCAGTCAACCGGAGGTGGTTATACAAGGATCTATGGTCACAGGTACGTTCAGTCAGCCAGACTTCCATCACATCTTTCAGATCTTTACCTACAACCGGACCTTTTGAGTATTCAAAGTTTGTATAAGTTTGCAAAGAAAATGATTAGGGCCATCTCAATTCATATCCGGGCATGTACCAGACAAGCTGCTGGTAGCCTCATTCACTTTGTCCGTAAGAATCGTCCGGATTATTATATATTACAGAGTTTTGACATTCTTATGAATAAACATTATGTGGGTGAAAGCGCTGACAGTTCGATATAATTTCCGAAATAAATTTTTGTACTATTGTTTTTTCTTAATTTTAGATGAACCAAGACAGGAGTCACCATTAGAAGCCTCGTCAACTATGGCCAAATTGCTACAAGAGGTACGCCAATTAACCAATTACATGATACAAATGGTCGCGGTATGCACAAAATCTGAGGACACTGCTTCAGATGTTTTCGTTAAAATAATTAAAATATACAGTTATATTTTTTTAGGAAAGTGCAATGATTGGAAAGTTAAGTGCATGATTTTCATTAAAATAATTATCTTCATGTTTTGGATTTTTCCTCAGGACATGTCAAGTGATGCTCGTGCAACAGACAAGGCCTATATGATCAGTGCGCTAAGCACACATCTGTCTGTTCTACAAAGTAAGACTTTTTTCTTGTTTGCCCAATAACGTGCAAAATTAGGCTGTGGGTGAAATGGGCCTGGCAGTACTATCGTATAGGATTACCCCATAAAACGAAGTGCTGTTAGAGTGTTCGTCTTTGGTTTGAACCCTGACGGGGAACATGGTGCTTGTGTTCTTGAGCAAGGCACTTTACTACAATTGCCTCTCTCCACCCAGGAGTATAAATGGGTACCTGTGAAGGTAAAGACTAGAATGCGCTGATCTCGAGCTGCTGCAAAAACTGTGGCCAATATCACGGCGCTGCTTAACAGTTAGCAGAAAAGTTGTGTATAGCATAGCAGAAAAATTTGCTAACGTTAAGCACTATTTCACGGCGTGGACGTGCTAACGGTCGCGCGTGCATGCAGATTTCTATTGTTACGTCACTACGTTAAGCAAATTTTTCCCCCAAGGTTAGCGTGCCTTTTGCTGTGCTTATGCTTACGGTCTCCGTGAAATAGATGAAGACTCTGTTAGCATAAAATCGTGTGCTTAGCAGCGCCGTGAAATTGGGCCCTGGTCTCATGGCCTGCTGAACAGGGGTAATAATTGTGAAGCACTTTGAGACCTTTGGTATAAAGCGCTATATAAGCACCACAGTATTTCTATAAATCCGGCCCATTGTAAAGATTCCAGTGAATAGCCAATCTGAATTGATGGACTAGTTTTGTACACTCTGTGACAGCCTTAAGATGCTTGCCTCGTCTTGCTTGTTATCATGTGCAGAAGCCAATTACGAGAAGCGAGACAGCAAGCGAGAGGAGCTGATAGACAAAGCCACCACACAGATCCAGACACTCAGTAAAAGCCTGCAGGTAAGACACACACAATAACATGGTCATATTTACTCTGAAAATTGGCTTCAATAGACCATTTTGTCATGTTGCGGCCATCTTGATTTTTCCCATTCAAATCAATGTATCCAAAGCGAGGCTGGAAGGCAAACTAGTCTGGTTCCATTTTGCACAAAAAACATCATTTAGTACTGTTATTGAATACATGGAACATGACTGAAATGGTGGCAGCCTGGTGAAGGTCTATATCCATGGATCCATAGAAATATACCAGGAAATATTCAGGATTTTGAGATGTTGTTGAAAAGATTTAACGTGAGGGGTGACGCCCTTAACACACATTTGCATTGGATTTAATTTGTAAATCATTACCGCAAGTGATTGTTAAAATTAAATGGTGCTTTTTCTACCACGCGCCCACACTTGGATTAAATAAACCAGCGGAAAATCATACATAAAACTAACAAAGTAATTCCTCAGCAACTTGGATATCGCTGTAAACTTAACCCTGGGGGGGGGGGGGGCCTTGAATCTTACAATCAAACTTCACAATTTAAGAAGTTGGCAGGCTGTCCACACTGGACGTAATTTGGGTAAGGTGACAACAGTCTCCATAAAGTTGACAACAGTCAGCTGTGAGTGAAAAAAGGGACATCTGATTTGTTGCTGCAAAGTGGCCTATTTTGGAGAGTTGAGGAGGTGACTACAATTCTAAAAGTTGAAGCGCAGAGAAATTTGCCGTTAATCTCCTGTATAATTGGGAATGAAAGGTTAAAGGTAGACGTACATTTATTATCTTGGATTGTTTACATCCTCAGGGTGACTTTACTCGGATCGAGTCAGAGCTGCAACAGAAGACGCAGGAACTAACGCGTGCCCAGCAAGCGTTACTGGAGCAGTCGCAAAACCAACTAGAAGAACAGAGGCAACTTGAGCAACGTCAACAAGAGCAGCGCCAATCTGGACCAGAGTCGTTCTACATACGCTCACCCAATGCCCTCCGGACAGAAACATCGGACGAGATTGCAGCGAGGAAGAAAGCCAATAGGATATCATCATCGGCAGATTCCGGCGGCAGCACGACAGATTCTGAAGAATCGGGAGCTGTGGAATCGTCCGAGCCTGAGGAAGCGTATACGCCAAAAGAACGGCCGAGTAGTTTAGTCATGGAAAGCGAGGAAGGGGACCAGTTAATGAATGTTGGTGCGCAGTACCAACGAGCGGAACCGCAGGAAGCGGTCGCGATCGTGAACGAGGGACTGGTGAATCTCCAACGCGCTCAAGTTCGGAAAGTCACCGACGTGGACAGTGCCGAAGTTGACCACATCATGGAAAGACTTCATATTAAGAGAGCTTCCGTGAACGGAATCAAGGATCGGACTGGCCCCGGCGAGAACTTGAGATCAGTAACAGACTCGGAAGACATGGAAGAAATGACTGAATCGGCTCAGGAGCTGTCCATCGGGAACGTCGCCCTCGCCGAGGAAAACTGGGGCACTCCACCAAAGGAATTAGAAGCGCTTGAAAACCAAGCAGTTGAGGTTGGCATGGCAACCAGACTTGACGATCTCCTTAACGAGGACAGCGATAGTGATCAGGAAACAGTTGTCGCTAGTGGGAGTTTTAAAACGGAACAGCTGGAACACGACGCCGATTTGATAAACACCAGTCCTGAAATCACCCAATCGCAGGATGCATTCTCGTCATCAGAAAGCGACCCTAATGCAATATCCACGCCAAGTGCTGAAAAGTCGCGAAATGAAAACGGCGGAACAGATTCAACGTCGAATCAAATCCCATCGACTAACCAGGACTGCGTGATTGACAGCTCCCAATCGGAGACAAACTTCGCAAACTTGTCACAAACTTCAAAAGCACAGTCCCCTAAATTGCCTAACGAAGCAGACACTACTACACTGCCCTCACTAGGCGAACCTAGTGGCGTAAACAGCCAACCAACAAGCCTTATAGCAACTACAGACTCAGAAACTGAAAAAACAAGGCAGGAAGAAGGACACGTTAGTTTACAAGGGGATGATGCAAAAAATAGTGGTGAGTAACGACACGCGCAAAAATGGAAACCAATTAGGAAAACATCGAAGGCAAACAGATCTCCATCTGAATACAAAATTTACCGATTCTACAGTTAGACTCACAATTTATTGTTATGTGTTTCATAAATCCATGAAATCTACATGATTGCCCAAGTAAACTATTTCTAAGAGCAATCTTGGTCAGTTTGATTTTGATGCTGATACAAGTTTGAATATATATGAGCAAAACAGTGGGGCAAATCTCCATATTCATGAGCTAGACAGGGATGTCCAATTACATTTGTGAACCAAACAAACTTGAATTTCCATATTTATGAACAAAACATTGCTGTAAATTTTCTACGCTATTGAGCAAAAGAATGAATATCAAATTTTCATTTTCAGAAGCAAAAGAATGAAGTTAAGCTCAATATTTATGAGCAAAACTGTCAGAATTCCATGTTCTTAGAGCAAAAACTTCAAATTTCCCTATTCATGAGCAAAACCACGATATGGTGCTTGGTACCGGTAGAACCTGAATGTAAGCTTTTTATGAACAGTGAAATGTTGTAAAATTCATGCTATGATCAACAGTTCACCAAGAGACTAGCTTCATTTGGATTTAGTGTCCCACTGTACATGTAGTTGCATGATTTTAAAACAAAAGTTAGCAGTCTTTGTACCGGTAGCATTCCATGTAAATCAAATTTTGTCATACCCACCTCGCGTCATTAGACTGGTGCTCTCATGCATGAAAGCAGTAGACTTTAATAAAGCCAAATGTTGTCTGGTTCCCTGAAGACTTAGACTTCATCGCCCATAGGCATTGCACAGTGTTGATTCCAGTCTTGTTCAAAACTATTTGGCGCCCAAGAACGATATAATATGATTTTTAGCGTTTGGTGATGAACTCACAGCCACTTAATAAGCCTTTTCGGAGTTCCAACTGCGCATTCGTAACCTGTGACAACGCGCATTGTTAGTCACAAGTGGCCTTTGACATCATCGCGCCACTGACTTTACAAAAAGGCTGTTTGTGCATTGTGGGTACTGTCAAAGGGCATTTGAGATGAACAATGTGCGTTGTCACAGGTTACGAATGCGCGCAGTTGGAACTCCGAAAAGGCTTATTCCTCTTTCCATTTTTGGGAATACAAATCTAGAGACTTTCCAGAAAGAATGTTGTTGAACAAGATCTCAGATTCACTTCTTTTCAAAAACTGTTAATCTGTCCTAAACTTTTCATCAATAAATATGTGTGTGTCATCACAAACTATGCTAATTTCACCATTCGTGACCTTTGAACTCATAAATATTTATAATAAATCATCTACATAACAACATGTACTAATTAATCATGTTTGTACTAATTGATGTAATAACTTACTTATGCATAATTCATGAATACTGATGCTTTCCTTCTACCAACCAATGAGGGAATTCCTCTAAACTCGTGCATATATTCACTGATGACTCCTGCTTGTGCCAACCAATGAAAGAGCTTTCTGGTTCCTATATTCACCAACACTGACCTTTGTTTTTTAACCAATGGGAATTCTGTAGTCATTAATAGTCATGTTAATGTAATTTCCTTAAATACCAATCAAAGGAAAACTCTGTCAGCCTCGTGCATATACTGTATTCATTAATATTAGCAGCTTCTTCTCCCAACCAATGGGAGAGCTCCTCCTGACTCAAATCATGAATATTCAATGTTGTTTTTCTTGCAGGCATTCTTTCTCAGCCAAAGAACATCACATACACTCACCCTCCATACCTTGTCTGATGTATGTACTTGCTGTGTCGGAGCTAAACAAAAATATCTGTGCATTAACCCTTTCATTGCCAGACATGTGGTGCTTTGAAAAACTTGAAAGTGTGATCTGAAAGTGCCCTGTTGATGGGAAGTAAAGGAACACATTGTGAGACGCGTATTGCGACGATAAATCTTAACTAGTGAAGTGGGCTTTACATGAAAGGGTTCATGCACTATGTAGCATCATGCGCATGTCCTTATCTGCCTGTATTTGTAGCATCTCTGTGTGTAGTGCTGATTCATGTAGCTGACAGCTCATGTACTATGTAGCATCATGCGCATGTCCTTATCTGCCTGTATTTGTATTGTCTCTGTGTGTAGTGCTGATTCATGTAGCTGACAGCTTTACGTAGACTGTGCTACAGAACTCCTGGGCTTTCATCCAATTCTTTGTGGTCTGCATGTACCACATAAGTTGGCATTGGAGCGCTGTCGTCCATTTATAACAACCAGTGTTCAACTCATGTGCTGTTGTACATGTATTCAAACCTTGACCGCGATTATACTGCTTGTGTTCTTTGGCAAGGCACTTTACTACAATTGCCTCTCTCCATCCAGGAGTATAAATGGGTAGCTGTGAAGATAGAGATCAAATTGCACTCATTTTGATGCGCTTTGAGTTTGAAATCTTTGGTATAAAGTGCAGTATAAGCCCAATATTATTATCATTGTTATCATAAACTTCAAGAAAACAACTCGGTACTTCAAAAGAGCTTTTGACTTCAGTTTGTAAAACTTATCTGCACAAAATTTGCAGCTCTGTGGAAACCAAAAGAATCCAGTAAAAATCTAGAATCATGTCTCATAACTTGTCATGAGTTAATTTCCAATATGTAGTTACAAAAAAAGCTGCATTTATTTGTTCCTCTTTTCTTAGTGTTTATTTTGCAACAATTTAATTTGTTTTTGTTTCAAGTTTTCTGACCGAATGAAGAGTTAAATGAATTAGTTTTATAACGCCCATTTTCAACTAATCAAATCTGAATTGGATTCAAGTTAAGAGATTTCATTTAGTGCATGCATAATTCTTGGTACATCGTTTCAATCTTTTAATACATGTATGTGAAGCTGTTTTCCTTTCCTTCTTTCGTTGAATGTTGCATGCTCATTTTATCATTTGCTAATTACTTTCATTTCTTTGTGTGTTTTAATATCATTTTTTAGACTGCATTGTAGTTGTTCACACGGGGTGTCTCAAAAAATGTAGCAGTCAACCCACAAATATAATATAAATACAAGCATAATATTATTATAAAAATGCTAGCACTCTCTTTTTGCAAAAAGTATCTGTAGAATCTGAAGGTACAATGGTCTTCATCCCATCTCATTTGGACATCCTAGTCCAGAGATACAGCTTTGTAATGAAGTGACTTGAATGCCAGGTTACAGTGTAGGTCACTTGGTATCTAATGAAGGCATTCACATACACATACCAAGAAGGCGAAGAAAGCCAAAACAGATTTTTACATTTCTTTACAAGCTTTGCCGTAACTTTTAAACAAAAGTCCAAATAATACAGAACAAAAATTCTTTCAAGAGTAAAGAAACATTCTATCATCCTATGTTTTTTTACACGGATGTAGTTTTCTAAAACAAAAAGTGTTGTTTGACTGCTACATTGGTTGTCAAACACCCTGTAGTTGTTGACTGCATTATAACATTTACTTTTTTGTACTATGATTTTAGTCCAAAGAAGAACTATTTTCTGCACTTTCTACATTACATGGCTCTGCTAACCACCATTCTGCATGCATCATTCAAAATTACCTGTCAACTTTTAAAATAATAAAATATACTTTCGCGTTGGCAGAGCCATGATATTTGGCTCATTTACAGCATGTTCATGTCGCCATATTTGGACAGTGGAAAGTTGTAATTGTTTTTATAGATAACATATTTTCATGTAAAGATTTTGTTTAAAGGTTGGGTAGATCATTTGCAGCTGTCCAAAAAGCAACTGACAAAATTATTTTTGAAAGCTTACTTGGTTTAGTGATAGTACAGGCACTAATCTCCTTGTGAAATTATTCTTTCTGGCATGCTGTCATTTTGAGGTAAACAATAAAAGAAGGCCATTTCCAAAGTTGCGACAAGTGACAAATTTTTAGAAATTTCAGTTAATAGTTAGTTTGTAATTTGGCGGATCGGTGAATTAGTGCGCGCAAACATTGACGACGACGCACATGTGTGCAGTTTCTATATTTCGTTGCTTCAGTGCGTTACATCGCAAGGCTGCAATCGGCTGAATGAGAACATGTCCCGGACACCGATTTTGGGCACGATTCAAAACATGACTCAGCAACTTTTGAATTGAAACCGAGATCCTAGAATATTGTTTTCTCAGAATGTACAGCATTCACAGAGCTAAAATTTCATCAGGTCAATTGTTAAGCACCTGTCTTGAGATTGTAAGCACCTTTGTTGCTTCAAAGGAAAAGAAATGCACAAATTATCTAACCTACCTTTAAAGTACAAGAGTTAAGCTAATATCATATCAAGTGCAAAGTCAGTAAGCCTTTTCTGACTTTAAATTTGAATGTCTGTCCCAACACTGTTTTTTTTTTCACTTGCCAGAGCACCCACAAGCCCATGCTAAATTTACTGTTGCCGTGTCTCAAGATTGTGGACAAGTCTTTTACATGAGAAACAATAATGGTTGACATCGCTTTATGTATTAACAATTCCAGAACAGTTTACATCACCCTGAAGCAATTTTCATCTTATGAATTCAAGACCTAGCCTCAAACTTTGTGATACAGCAACAGTCTTTAGTCTGGGGACTTCGAAGCTGAAATATGTTCTATGCGCAAAAAAGATAGTGAACCAGATATTAAAATTTCCTTTGTAAAGGGCAAAGGTCACTCAACAAATTCTGATTTGAATAAATAGTGCAAGTCAGTAATTTTAGTAGTATTAAGTTTTGCTTTTCATGAGAGTAATTTTATAAGCACTGTGTACTCAATCACTGTTATCCAGGGCCCAATGTCACGGCGCTGCTAAGTAAAAAAAACTTTCTTAGCCAAAAAAAACTTGGCTTATAGCAGTTTACCAGCCAAAACTCCATGTGATTTTCATGCTCTAGCAAACAACAGCTGAATACTAATCACGAGCAATATACATCGCATGGAGTTTTGGCTGGTAACCTGCTTTTACAACTAAGCCAGACTTTTTTTGTGCTAAGCAAATTGTTGTGCTTAGCAGCGCCATGAAATTGGCCCCAGGAGCTTATGAGAAAAACTCACAATCTTGCTCAGGTGGGAGTCAAACCCACAACCATTTGCTTACTAGGTCAGATATCTTAACCACTCAAACACTGAGCTTGTTAGTTCAAATGTTACATGGCAAACTCAACTTTAAGAATTTACATTCTTCGGATGTAACCTTCCATCAAAAGTCTAATCACAAATTTGTACTTCTGATTTTTTTTTTAATCATCAGGAGCGGAAGTTGGTGAGCAAGATGTAGCAACTGCGGAAACGAACCAAGTTGTGGATGTTAGTGAGGCTGGTGGTGAAAATGAGAAACACAGCGACGAAGACGTTGAGGAGATCAGCCAAGAAGGTGGTGAAAAGGATGAACATGTGAGTGGTGATGGTGAAAGTGGTGAAAGTGATAATGATGATGAAGATGATGGAAATGATAGTGATGAAGAAGATAATGGTGAAGACGATGATCGAGGAAACGAGGGTGAAAGTCGTGGTGTTGGTGAGATTCCTGAAGTTGATGGTGGTGATTATGATGATGATGATGATGATAGTGGTGATTACGAAACAATCAAGTAGTGTACAAGTCACAATTGTCGCCGCCATGCCAACACTGAGAAATCTTCCAGGATGGCCAAAGAAACATCAGCAGACTCCTTAGTGCTTCGTTCCAAGCTTCCATGCAAGCAGCGATGTTGTTGGTCCAATCTGTATCACCATAGCAACCTCATCAGTGATTGCTTCGTTACTTAGTGACACATCATCCATAATTGAAACACTTTATGCCAGATGTTACCAATCGGTTACGTAAAAAGCTAAGTAGATGGGGAAAAAATTAATCCTGTTCTGTGTTAAGGATGGTATAGAACAGTGAAAAAAGTTTTGATAATTACACACCGAGAGAAATAAAACAGATTGTGAATTTGGTGATGAAATCCTGTTTCCTGTGTATAAATACTGCGAATAAAATCTAAGTACTTAAAAGAAGTTGGAGAAATTCTGTGTATAATCAGTACTTGAAGACAGTCCCTGCAGCTTTATGTGTATTCCTCATTGAAATGATGCTGATGACTACTGTTGAAATAGCTCCAAACATGTGCGTATATGTATATGTTAAAGATTAGATAAATATAAAGCACAGTGCTTTCTGTGTTCCAAATAGAACTTTTGAAGATATAGCGGGATTTTTTTTTCTTTTCAAAGACTTGTGATGAAAGCTAGTCAGTCTCTGTTATGAGGACAAGCCAGTCGGATGCTATAGAGACTATCTATCCTGTTTTTAAAAAAAAAGCATATTCAGTGCCATTTTTTGTTTACAACGCCTAGCTACATTCTGCAAGTTTTAGTACAATGGCTTGCAACATATTGCAGGTTTTGTACAACGTTAAGCTCTAAGTTACAAGTTGTACACTGCCCAGGTAGAAAATATTTGTACTGTATCTTAGCAACTAGCTTCTACAGACGTAGCAGTAATTTTAAACAACCTCTTTTCAACAGCAAAATATACATCAAACACAATACTATTCTTATTTAAAACTAGAGCTTAAGCAATTAAATTTAAAAAAACATTTTCAATCATATGTAAGCCATTTCCCCCAGCTATTTTCTAAGATATCATTCGTAGCAAGTTCAAAAGAATTCCTCATTCGTTTATGTTCTTTTGGTTATATTCCGGCAGTGAGGCTTTTGTGTAATATGTAGGAGAACGAATGCCGTTTTCGAGTCGAAAAAGTCAATCTGTGAATATTAATATAAAGTTATAAATAGCATGCCACACATTCAGTGTTAACTTTGTAAAATTTTATATAAAAATTCTGGGTTTTTTTACACGAAAAGCAGTGATTACATTTTTTCAAATGACTGTGAAATATTTTGTTTAATTTATGAGATATTGATCTAGTACAATTTGAAGATAAAAAAAGAGACAAATTTTAAAAGAATTTTCTAGAGAACGCATAAATGTATGGTTGTATGAATACTTATACGTTTAGTATTTCATGTGCGGCTAATGTATTTGTCCATTCCTGTCTCCTAGCAACCGTAGTCGATGCTTTCAATCAATTCAATAAAATTCTAATATTTAACTGTGTGCTCCTAATTGTGGCTTGTTGCCCAAAAAAAATTAGATTATCAATAAAAATATGCTTAGTTGACATTTAATCAAAAGCTATATTAAGCATTGAGGTCAAAGGTTATGACCTTGGTCATTCATTATACATTCAATAGTGCACATGACCTCTGAATATGCATATGCAAATAGTTTGTATATTCTCTATTAAAAACAAAAACTATGAAAAGATTGTAAAAGAAATATATTTTACTTTCTGTGTATTTCTCAAGAATATGATAAAAAATTATAGGATTTGTTTTATGAATTTTTTTCACTGGCAATGTACGTCATTTATCCCCCCAAAAGTGCACATGTTTTGTTCGGTTCATTACTGCTTGTATTTACAGTGAGAAAAGTTTTGGTGTGGAATTTTGCTCAAGAAAACTGCAAAACCCTCGAAATTGAAATGATTTTTTTGTTTTAAAGAAAGCTTTTGTTGAATAGAATTTTTTTACAAATTTCAAAGCTTTTTGGGGGATTATTGAACGACTAGTTACAGCACATTGAAGCAGAGACATTGTGTTTTGTGTATTTAGAACTGCTCATGATGAAGACTAGCTGGAACCAGTTTGCACTGGTTTGGACCGGTTGATACCAATTTGATTGAATGGAGAAAAGTTGTTCACTTGATGTGAAACGAGCATATACAGCAGGCTGTGTATCTACAACACTGGTTGGAACCGGTTCGTACTGGTTTAATGTAGTCAAAGCCAGATCTGATGATCCAAACGTTTGTGTAGCTTTTAAAGTTTAGAAATCTTAATTTAACATTTTTTTTCTCTTTGTAGTAAAAAAAAGGTATATTCTTGACTTGTGCTTTTGTCTGGCTACTTTAGCACTTTAGGTTAATTTGAATAACACTACCAGTTGTTTCCAGTCATTGATAAAAAATTACAACATACCAAATTTGTACATAATGTTTCTATTCAGAGATTGGTTTTGTACAGTGTAATAGAATGTACTTAGAAAGGGCAACTTTGGAGGAAAAAAAACACCTAACTTGGAATCAATTCAGTGATCAACTCTTGGGGACAATCTCAAAGTATGGCTGCTATCTAATAGACCCATTCTCATTTGTTAAAGGGAATATACATCATTTTCAGAAATGGATGGATTTGGGGGTTAGTAATACTGTATATATTGTTACACTGACTTTTTTGACGTTTTGGGTTCGTAAATGCTATAAAAACCAAAAAAAAAACAATCATTTTCCTGTAGTCTGATTCCCTGACTCCATTTAAAATGAAACACTGCAATTTAAAGATGTTGGGGAATTGTAAGGTCAGGGAACCAGTCTAGCTGGTTTGTACCCGTTCATAGGTGTGTAATCGATTGCAAACAAATAAAGACTAACTAAATATGGTCAATTGGGGCAAGTATTTGAAATAAGCCAGTTTTTTTTCCAACGCTGGTCGGCCGACCATTGTTGGAAATTGATACGAAAATATCACTTTTTTTGAAAATTGACAGTATACCAGGTGCCATGATTTTACAGGATGCTTTAGACTGTTATTCACTAACAGCCCAGTAAGGTATTTCAAAATAATTTGGTGGTTTTATTTTTTGATGTTTGCAAATGTTGTATTTTCCCTTTAATTTCAGTGGGACCTTTTAACCTCAGATTTGTTTTGTTGCTAGCAATAGATTTAGAAATGTTGGTCCAGCTTACAGGCTCAAAGGAATGAATACGGTAGAACTGATTGTGGTTGTCTCTTCTATGTAGATATACCAAGGACTGCGCCACTTCAAACTTTAAAGCCAAGAACTGCAAAATTTGAAATTTGGTTCAAATAACTATTTCTTTTTAACATTCATTGTTACTTCACCCGTATGATGAACCTTTGCCTTTCTTAAATTCAACTTGAAATTCAGTTGTTTGAAGGGTAAAATGGTAGTAAATATATTGTATTCCCAAACGTATTTAAACTTGTGCCCCATTTTGTTAGCTACTCACAAGTTGGTATTATTTCATGGGTAGATCTGCGTGTACAGATATTGGGGTAAGAAACATCTTAGATCTTTTCATTTCAATAGAATTAACATTACATGTACTTCGCCATAATTGTCCTTTTTTCTGAAATTTGTAACTACGATGGAAATTATTTTCCCCGAAAAGAAATAACCAAAAGAAGAGTGTGATTTAGAAAAATAAAATCATTGTTACTACTGCATTGTTACTATACTGTAACAATAATTTTTTTTTTTTTGAATGGTCACATTTGATTCAGCAGCACCCAAAAACACGCATTTGTTCTTAGCAATTCAATAATTTCTGATATTTAAATTTTTGTTAGCTCGAAGTTTGTTGTAATTAGAATATTTCTGGTTTTGTTTCTTTAGTTTTCCCAAATAGTCAGATTGATTTTCTTCCCTTTTAGTTCTTATCATGTATACACTTTTTTGTTGATATTACATTCTTTTCTGAGTATACATGTATATATTTAAAAAAAGCTTTTTTGGCAGTAGCTGGCTTTATCATTGGCACATGCTTTAAGTCATGTGACAGAAAACAACCAATCATTAATAGTCTATGTAAATTACTGACCAACATGTCAATAAATCGTACGTCATGTAAATTTGAGTCTTGTCCATAAGCAACCTGATTTACATTGATGTGGTATGTCTACTCGCGTGTCCGATTCGGCAAATGATAAAAGGACACAACAGTTTAAAGTAGAATATTGTTTCTTGAAAATGAGGTTTGAACATTTTGTACATGTATGAATATTTTCTATACTTGACACAAACTAATCACAAATTTGACACTTAAATGATGTTCTGAAGTTCTGATCATTTAACAATTTATTAACGAAAAATTAACAATTTTGACTTTTATTACAAAATCAGAAGACTGATACAGAACATTTGGTGTTTTTTTGATAATTCTACTGTAACCCAAACCTTAGATTTTGTGGGATTTTGAAGGATTGGGGAAGGCCCAATCACTGTGACTTTTAATGGGACTGCGATGAAACTTGGTAGGTACAGAGAGTGTGCCATTAGGTTTCTGCACAGTGTTGGATTTTGGATCCAGGAAGTGCCTAGCCACTATAAGTTGACAGGAGACTTCGTGCATTTAATATGCAAGTTTTCAAGTATGAAGAAAGTACCACTGCATTTTCTGCACAGTAATTCAGAAATAGCAAAAAGCACTGGAAACTGAAATGACGCGATTTGATATTTCGATATCAAACCATGATTTGCTGATATTTTTTATAGGAATGCACATTTTTTTAATCAAATTAACTTTAAAAGATCAATTTTAGTACCTCAAAGACCTCAGAAAAAAAAGTAAATAAAATCTGAGGGTTTAACATTGAAAATCATAGACTTCTTTTATAAAAACAATTTGTTTAATGTAAACAAAGTCTTGAAAACCATATTTTCCAATAGGAATTTGGAAAGAAATTTAGCCAGCTCGCATTATTGAGAAGTTAACTAAAATATAAAAGCAAAATCCACTCAAATGTCTATATGATGGAAATAAAATGTAAAATCATAACTGTTGGTGTTATATGCGTAAAGAAGTATAGAAAAGCACCATGGCAATTTTCATGGTATGTACTTGTACTTGCATTATAGAAAGCAGTTAATTTGAACTAAATATTGCTTCGCTATTAGCAGAAAATAGTGAGCTTATCAGTCCCATAAATTTGGTACAAGCTTTTTTTATTCAAATGAAATTGGTTCACTTGTATATCTGATTGAATATTACCAGATAAAATTAAATTATAAAGATGACTTCTTAAAGTTACAGTCCATCATTTGCAGCTATCCAAAAAGTAACTGACGTAATTATTGTTGAAAAGCATACTTGGTTGAAAGATAGTGAGGGGACTAAACTCCCTGTGAAATGATTCTTAACGGCAAGCTGTCATTTTGAAGAAATCGAAAAAAACCCTTTCCAACGCATTTAGACGCACCGTTGGAAATATTTGGCGAAGCGCGCACATGCGCTTTTGCTTTAGTTCGTTTGATCAGTGCGCAACATCGCGTAGCTGCAATCGGCTCAGTGCTAACGTGTCTCGGATGCTGAATTCAGGCTCAATTCAAAACATGATTAAAGAACTTTTGATTTGAAATCGAGATCCTAGATTGTTGTTTTTCTTGCAATATACAGCTGAAGCTGAGCTGAAACTTCATCAGGATAGTTGTTCAGCACCCTTCTTTAGATTTGAGCACTTTTGTTGCTTCAAATGAACAAAAATGTACCAATTACAAATGATGAACTATACCTTTAATTTATGCTTAAGTGTAAGCTTAGCCATATTTCATGGAGCTGAAAAAATAATAAAGTGGTAAGCAAACTTGCGTGCTATGCAGAAAATGGCCGACAACCAGTCACATGAAATAAACAATGCACGATATTTTAGCTGGCAACCTGAGCTTTGCTAAGCACATATTTTTGGCGCTTAAAGAGTACCATGGACTCATTCTGACCAAACTGTTCTCAAAATGGCGCATTTGAGTATGATTCATACAATTAACTCTGACCAAATGAATACAAAATAATACAGAGTAATTTAAGACTTTTTCTTTAATGGTGCTGCTTTGCAAGAAAATAAAGCTATTAAAAGCAATTTTTGCGCTTAGCAGAAATCAGCCGGGAACCAGTTGCATACAATAAACTGCTTGAAATTTTGGCTGGTAACCTGTTCTCACTTAGCACAATGTAGTTTCTGTGTTTAGTAGCTGTATGAAACTTAGTAGAAAGAACATGATACATCGAAGAGAGAAAACCAGCCACTTTGCTGTTGCTACAATCTTTAGTTCTGACGCTTGAAATTGACGATTTGAATTGACATCTACAAGATGGGCGAGGGCGGTGTTATGTTGTACTTGGTGGTCACGTTGCGCTGCGCTTCCGCTGCCACGCTAAGCGAGAAGAGATGAGACATTTCCATCTCGGTTCGCGCTAAGTCGATCGCTTTCTCAAAGTAGCTCTTAGCAGCTGACATGTTGCCTCTGAAAAAATAAAAGAAAAAAACGACATTCAAAACTCAGTGTGTGATAATCACGCAAGAATGTCAAAACTTTGATTGGAAAAGCAAGGTATAAATAACTCGTTCAGTCTCCACTATTTAACTTAAAAATGATGTTCAGCAAAACAGTTGAGGGACAATTGGAACTACAAATGCGCATAATGTTCACACCTAATAGTAAAACATCAAATGCAAATTGAATAACTGAAATCGCTAACTACGCGATGCAAAATCGTCGTCTTAATATTAGTGGGACCAATCAGGATATTGAAAGCCTTCCCAGGGTCTAGTAATGATGTTGCAAATGCAGCATACCTTGGGAACAAGGTTGGCACTGTACGATTAAAAGCTGCCATTTTGTCATTTCTGTATGATTACCTTTGCACTTCTATTGTTCCGAGTGTCTCGTAAGCAAAGTCACATTTGCTGTCTATTTCCAGCGCTTTCTGGATCATGGCGATCGCGCCGTCTGCGTCTTTCTTCCAACTTAGATGTAGAAGTCTGTCGGAAAAAGAAACAAATTACCTAAGTAGAAAAAAATGTCGAGGAATCTTTCTGAAACCTCGCGATTTGCTCTACTGTACAGAAACCTAATGGTAGACTCTTTGTACATACCAAGTTTCAAGTAACATTATCCCTAACCCTGCAAGAAGCAACACAGTGCATCAGGTGGAAAAGTCTGGTGCACTTCTGGAGTTAGCGGTTGAGAACACCGGACTCATGTTCTGGTGTTTCAGAGGCAACAGTGGCTCAGGTTCGAGCCCACCGGCGGATACTTGTGCCCTTAAGCAAGGCACTTAACCATTATTGCTTCGTCCTTCGGATGGGACGTAAAGCCGTAGGTCCCGTGTGTTGTGTAATGCAATGCACGTAAAAGAACCCAGTGACACATCGCTAAGAGAAGGGGTTTGCCCTGGTGTTTCTGGCCTCCTGTATAAACTCCCACGCGGAGTATTTAGGAGATAAACCAACCAATAACTTCAATGCATTCAGCTACCAACACCAGTGAATAAACAGCCACTTCGGAGAGATTATACACAAGTAGCCGTTATGAACAGCGTCACCTAGTGCCAGATCGTGTCCAAGCCTCAAAATTCATTTCATTTTCCAGTCAGCATGATCAATGGTAATTTTTTAAGGTGTTTATGACAATAGTTTGTTTTTGCTCAAAGATAAATTTTTTGGTCAAACATCAGTTTGGATTTCAAATTATTCACATCTGTATGAAATTTATGAATTGCTGGTCTAGTTACGGACTCACCCTCTATGGACATAAGCTGTCGGGTTGTCCGGCTCCAGAGCAATCGCTTTCTGAAAGTACTCATCTGCAACATGGAACTGGCCCTGGTCGCTCTGAGCCTAAACAAAGTACAACACAAGAGGGCAGTATTCATTAGACCATGTCAGAGCCATATACGGAGAGTTGTGACATAAGGGGCACCGATTTCAAATGCCATTATAAAAGTGTTGACCTTGCAGAAATTACTATACAAATTTTCAGCACCTAATGGAAATATTATTTCCCTTTTTGCCGTTTCAACTTCATTTGCTCGCATTAGATTGAACCATTTACTTTCAGGAGATACACAAAGCAGATTTACACACACATTATTAGAATTAGTATTAGTGATATGGTAACCAAATCTGCATTCTGCAATAAAAACGAAGATTGAAACTTTTGCTCGCACAGAATTGGCGCATACAAAACATCTTAAAACATCAAAATTTAGCATTTACTTCAAAACAAGAATTATTCCTGGATTTCGTTGGCAGCCCCTATCATTTTACACGTGTGGTGAACTGTTTTATCTCCCAAAAGTAAATTGTTGAACGTGATGCGCGCATGCGTAGTTCTTTCAAAATAGCGAAATGGCATATTATGTTATACCTGAATCTTCTTAATCCTTGGTTTATTTTCTCATACTCTGAATCCCTTATCCACTTTAGCTACTGACCTGTGCATACAGAGCGAAGGCCTCAGCGCATGTTGGGAATTTCTTGGTGCTATTCTCCAGTTCCTGCATTGCCGTGTGTAGCTGCATAGGACTCTGGTGAACAAGCGCGAGGCGGTACTTAGCGTAGCTGTACTGAGCATGTGCGAGGGCAAAGTTGCTGTTCAGCTTGTTGCATTTCTCAAAATCCTGCGCTGCGTCGTCGATCCGGTCCAAAAGAAGATTCAACTGTTTGACCAAAAAAAGGTAAGAATTTACTTTTAACTTGTACCCAGGTTTGACTGGTTCCAAACCTCTTTCTCAATGTCTTGGATATGGCCGAGGGAATGGGAACCCGCCTGGACTGGTTCCCAACTCTTTCTCAAGCCATTATGTAATGGAAAGACAAGGATTTGTTAAAGTAAATGAATGAAAACTGCTTGTGAACCAGTGAAATGTAAGAACCATTGGCTTGTCTTTGTTGCCAGGCTGTACAGCGCCCTCATTAGTTCATGACAATAATCTATTTAGCTGGCCTACATGGTGGTAGATATCTGCATTATCCCCTATCAGAGGCAATAGTATATTATATTATATTTACCCGTGCTCTGTGACAACAGGTATCTGCATCATCGCCCTCATTAGTTCATACACAAAGGCAATAGCAATCTATTTACCTGGCCTCTGTGATGGTAGATATCTGCATTATTTCCCTCTATTGTCCATGCATGAAGGCAATAGCATTCTATTTACCTTACCTCGATGATGGTAGATATCTGCATTATGCCCCCTATTTTCCATACATGGAGGCAATAGCATTCTATTTACCTTACCTCTCTTGAGGTGGATATCTGCATTATTTCCCTCTATTGTCCATGCATGGAGGCAATAGCAATCTATTTACCTGGCCTCTGTGATGGTAGATATCTGCATTGTCAGGATCGATTCTCACGGCCGTAGCGAAGTCATTCATTGCGTCGCTTGAGTTGCCCTCTTGCATATGCATGCTGCCACGCTTGATCAAAGCGTTGGCACGCAGCTAAAAGAAAAATAAAACAAAAGTTGGAAAACACAGCGCAACTGTAATTTGTGGGCAAAAAGGGGTAGATTTTTGAGGCCTTGGTAAGTTTCAAACCAAAAATACCATGGGAATTAGAGTTAGCATTTCCACTGTAAAGAAATATTATTTATGCTCACTTTTTTACTGCTTTCGTCCATTCCAATAAGTCGATCCAGATCAGGTCTGGCCTCAGCTGCTTGGCCCATCAAGAGATAGAATGTCGCCCTCATGAGAAGAGCTTCGGCCAACTTGTCTCCATCCGTGTTAATCTCCTCGTCACATGCTTCGATCACTCCGTTGTAATCGCCGTTGGTAAAGAGACGATGTGCCTTGCGGTAGCCTGTGTTTCTGTTCGTGATACAAGAATGCCACTTTCTCAATTTCCTTTTAGTCTTGACATACAGATTTTCCTACAAATTTATGTTTTCCGGTCAATGTACATTTGACTCTCCAAACTCTCACATTTTAATCGCTCCGAAGATGTTACCTGTTCTTGTATACTTGTATCTAGGGCACGTCTCCAGGGTATACAAACAACCAAGTGTGACCCTTGACCTTACCCAACATCCCCTGCTCCTTCATCATTATAGTCATTGCTTGATCTGGAGATTCCATCATCAGAGAAAGACGAGAAGTAGGATCGGATAAACTGTCCAGAAGGCAGGCTAGGAACTCGCTCCTTAACGCAAAACAAAGCAAATTCAGCATTAGTATAAGGCTAAGGGCAACATTAATTACAAATTAATTTTTAGTAGTTGCTACGCACAGATATATTTAATCAGCACAAAACCAGTTGTTTTGTTGAATTGGTCTCCGTCCAGGATCATGGAACGTTCATTGACAGTTCTGTATTTGTTTGGTGTTTTATGATTTAAAATTTTGCAACCATAAAACTTTTAAGACCATTTTTTTGCCCAGCAGTGAAAACTGATGATATTTTTTCCATCATGAATAGGAATTTTCAGCAGTGCCACAATCACTTCACAAATTAAAATGTGTATGTTTTTTGGAGATTTTTATGAACAAACTTCTATTTTCAGTTGTACAAAGGATTGTTACAAAATACATATGTCATGTCGAGCATGAAAGATCATTTGTCATGTGTTTTGGTTTGTATTTGTTTTCTTTGGGAGTGGGTTCTTAAAGCCCATGAATCCCATTACAGGTCTGGTACCTTGTATCGTTGCTGTGCTTTCTCTTTGCCTAATTCTTTCAGCATCTTGTCCGCCAGCAGCATGCTTTGGTTGTGGGAGAAGTTCTCCAAGATACAAACGGCAGTCGTATCTAAAACGAACAAATTTCATCAACAACAAAAACCGGTAAACATCCCTGTTTAAACAGCCACAGACAGTCAAAACTTATACCTTTGTTGTGCCTTATACACAGGCAAGGGCGGATCAAGAGCACAATTTTTTTTTGGGGGGGGGGGGCAAAACAAAATTTGGTCCACAAAAAGTGTGTCCAAAAAAATTACGGCGTGGGGTTCGGGGCCCGCTTAAGTGCCCCGAAACTTGTTTGGATTCTAGATGCTCTGTGGTGCGATCTGAGGCAATTTCTGACCACTTTAACCAATGTTTTTTGAGGAAAAGATGGTGGTGTACTCATTGCCTGCCTTTATTGCGAAGTCATCTAAAAAAAAAAATTTGCTTTGTTTTTTGGGGGCCATGGCCCCCTTTGGCCCCCCTTGGATCCGCCCTTGTACACAGGTTAGTGTTTCCCTTACCTTCTAAACATGCCATCTTTTGGTTCATATTCTCAAACGCTTTGGCTCGTCTGAACAGCGCTTTGACGTAGCGTGCATTCAGCTCCAGCGCTTTTGTACAGTCAGTCACGACCTGTGCATAATTTTTCTGTAAAAAAGAAGAAAATTATTCTTTTTTTTTTCAAAAAAACTTGTAGTTACTTACAACTTTCTTAGAATATGAAGATTTGTGTGAAATCTTTGCAATCCATCACAAAGAACAAAGTTCATTTTGCACACTGCTGAGTTAAAACGGAAACAATAGCAAAATGCCAACTTTTGAAACTTCCAAGATTCCTCAGAATTAATCCTAATAATCCAATATATTGGTCTCAATGTTGGATTTTGGTGGATTTTGAACAAAAATACCTGAAAAATATCTGCCTGAATCTTCCAAAATCTACTATTTTGCAGGAACACAACAGCATATTTTCATGGGGCATCAGTGCCAATGTAAAGTAATAGTGGCTGGGCCCTTCCTTCCCCAATCCTACAAAATCCTCCACTGTGCAAATGGCTCACTCTAAATTTTGAAATTCTTCAACTTCTTACAAAACCTCCTGTAGGATTTTAAAGGATCAAGGACTGAAGGAGTGTTAGTGTTTCGTACCAATTGCTCATGTGCTGCAGCTCTATTCTGATAGAAAGTGGATAGGTCTTTAGTCTTGTCGAGTGGGACCAGCTCTATTGCCTCGTTGTAGCATGCGATGGCTTGCTCGTATCTCCCCGCTTTGAAGTATTTGTTGCCTTTATTCTTACTTCCTTGAGCTTTCTCTTCAGGGGTCTGGAAATAAAAGTAATATGAAAATATTAGACCTATGAAAATATTGGACCTAGGCCTACCAAACCAATTGGCGACATGATATATGTATTGTCATGGATGGAGGGCAGGGTTTTGATTTTTTGTTTTGAGGGAAATTTGGGGGTAAAATGATGACAAAAGGCGACCCGAAAATAACGATGGCATCAGCGGATCACCGCGCGATGTACTGACTGTGAGCACGGCACGCATGGCGCGCTGAATCACAAGGCACAAATCACGCAGGAAAATCGTAAATTCTACCCAGAATTTGTTCAAAATTGCAAAACGGGTGTCATTAGAATTGAGAAAAGTCTGCGTTTGTAAAACTAAATTTTAAAAGGCATGAAAGGTGCAATAACATTAAAAACATTTTTGACTTGAATTTAATCAAAACAAAACAGGGGCCCTACACTTCACGATCGGCACAATACGTGGGGTAAATGTTACTCTTCACAGTGTAGTGCAGAACAAACCTTGTTCCTGGTCAACCCCTCCCCTCCACCTCCCAAACTCCGCCCACCTCCCAAACTCCGCCCACCTCCCAAACCCCGCCCACCATCCACCAATGCACACCGCACGTTCATTACCCGTTCGTCTGCTGCAGCGGCATGAGCGGTAGGTTCGCCCTGTTTCGCTTTTCCCTTCGTCTGCGTTTTTCCTCCTTTTTCACCGCTCGACAGATCAGATCTTCTCCTGCTGTAGTAGAAGGCGCCCACAGCAACACCGATGGCGATCGGAGCTCCGATCGCCAAAGCAATTTTCCAGGATTTGGGTAAAGAACTGCCGACATCGGCGCTTGCTTCCCCACTGTCGGCCATGTTGAAATTAAGCGGAGCATAGCATGGGGTAAAATCGCGCGAGATTTCATGCACGACGTGAACATGGACTCCCTAGCTGGGAATAATTTGAATTAAACTCCTGGTCTGCCTAGTCTTCATTCAAGGTCGCATTTAGTTGTAATCCGTAGCGGAAATTTAAAATGCGTTATGACTAGTACCAGGAACGGGGTTTTCAGATCTCGTTTTGTGTTTTTTTTGAAGCGGGAAGGGTTAGCCAAATAACGAAAAAGAAATTATAAAAGAGGAGTTAATTGAGAAATTTCAGTCCTACCTCATCTGTATAGCCGTGAAGAAATTCCACTTTAGTTTGATACCTTTAATTGATTGGTCAGGACAAATAGACAAAAAGGACACAATACAAAAAAAATATTTTTCCCATCAACAGTGTCTTGTGTCAAAACGGAGAAAACATGGCAATGGGCTGCACTCCCACTCCAAACAGAACTGTTGCCTCACTTTTGCACAGAACCGACTGTGGTCTTTTCGTGTGCAGGTACAGGACGACAAAAATGACTAATTTTACCTAATTGGCCTTTTTTTCAGCAACCCAAAGTGCTATTTTCATGATTTTTTTAGTATTTGTAAGAAAAAGCTCTCAGCTTTAATCTGATACCAAAAATATAAAAATCCAGCGATCCTTTTTTAAGCTGTACACTTTTTTTCGAGCTGTATACTCCCCAGGGAGCTGAGATGGTATATTGGATGTTTAATTGGCCCAATGATCAGGGGTAATAATAATGTAAAGCGCTTTGATCCTTGTTAAAGCACTATATATAAGAACCCGTTATTATTATTAAAAGGCAAATGTGGGGTTGGATTTTTTGGGGTCACCCTGTATAATTGAACAGAATTAACAACCACTGATTGTATATTTTTTGTTCGTGCTTAACACACTAATTTGTTTTGATTAAACATTAATTGTTTGACTATTTCTCTTAATAGTCAAATGGCTTTTGCTATTTATCACGATCAATAGACGATGTTTCAATTCCATACGACAGGTAGCCTATGGCCGATTGTGACCACTATTTTTGTAGCGCCCTCTTTAAGGAGAATTTTAGTTGGCTTTAATTCGACTTTTTTACGCTTAAACTAATTTTGTAATGGATTATATTATTCTTTCGGCACTCCGGCCTTGTCTGGAAAACGAGTGTATTTTTTGGGGGGGGGGGGGTTTCTTCCAGAAAGTTGACTTTAATTCAAATTGTATGTTTCGCGCTAAAACACACTACTTTTAATCATGTTGACGATTTCTCTCCAACAGGTATTCCCTGAGTTAATGTCCGAACAACGAGTTAGTATTTCTTCCTTGAAAGTTGACATTCTTATATTCATTATTAAAAGTCTTCTTTTCCGTAACTGAAGTGCCAAACATCCACCCCACCGTTAATTGAGAAGGGCGCCCTCGGAAAGTAAGATCTCTACGTCCAATTAGAGAGGGCGCCCGTCAAGTTTCGATTTCTAAATTTACATGCGTGTGGGGTTCTACTAAAGCGCGTCAACAAGCGTCAACAATCCTCAACGGTCGTCAACGAGCGTCAACAAATTTTGTACATGCTTTTGAACATTAAAAGTAGCTTAATATGGTAGAAAAAGTAATAAAAAATATCTTCTGCATATCAATTAAAGTTCAAATTATTCAAAAACTTGTTGTTTTTTTTAACGCGAAATGTACGACGAATTTGTCGATTAGTGTCGGCCGCCATCTTGTTTGGATGGCGCTGTACACTTCGCGCATGCGTAGTATGGCTCTGTACACCTCACGCATGCGTAGTAGGGCTAAGCTTCACATAAACAAGATGGCGGCCAACTTAACTCCTAATCGACAAATTCATCGTACATTTCGCGTTAAAAAAACAAGTTTTTAAATAATTTTAACTTTAATTGATATACAGAAAATGTTCTTTGTTGCTTTTTTCTACCATATATTTAATGTTCAAAAGCATGTACAAAATTTGTTGATGCTCGTTGACGACCGTTGAGAGTTGTGACGTTTGTTGACGATGTTGACGCGCTTTAGTAGGACCGTGCGTGTGCGTGCGGACCACCGGTCACCATGATCAAACTATAAAGACTAGACGTAGACATGCATGTGACGTGAGGATGAAAGTTGGAACTCCTACTCCTAGAAAGCTCAGCAAGAAAGGGAAAGTTTGGCATCAGTTACGTCAGTGAAAACTTCCAGAGGCAGAAGGTTTTCTATGATTTGATAGTAAGATCTTCAGTAACTCGGGGACCCAAATTATCGCCTCTTTGACTTTATTTTTTTAACTTTAGTCTTTAGTGAATTTCGTAAAGACGGCGAGTATACTTCTAACATCTAAAGCAAAAAAACCCCTACAAACTAAGCCTAAATCATGTGAAAATCAAAATTTGGCAAAGTGCGACACGTTTTTGTACATGTGGATGTGTGGCCTATGTTTACGGAGGCAGTCCAGCATTGTCCAGTAAAATAGGCCACATTATGGGGCTAATGCCAAATGGCAATGCATGACATGTTATGTACATGATGTAGGGCCTGGCATGCATAGGCTAATCAGAAAGTGCTGCCTTTTTCAGATGTCTAATTTTTGTGAAATTTTATGTTGAAATTTTGATACGCAAACGTGTGCAAATGAATCTGGTAATTTCACGAGAAGTAGACATCTGAAAAAGGCAGCACTTTCTTCACAGGATTATGCGGGGTTGAACTACCGAAGCTGTCTGTAACTAAACTGTGCCCACGTACATCACCAGCGCTAAATGGCAGAACCACCGGCTAAGAGAGCCCGAAGACAAAATGAGACACAAACTAACCCTGGTCCAAGCACAGCTGCAACCCAACAACTACCGGCTGATGGAGTGAGGGATGATCAAAAAACGACTCAGTCTGGCAGCGGACATCCTTCCCAGCAGGAACCAACGCCACAACCAACGCAACAACTACAGCCAAGACCGCTGTCATCACATGGTAAATTTTACTTACTATCTGGATGAAAATGAATTTTCCCATTCAATTCCGAGAACTCCCCTCGCATTCGCGTACACGATGATTCATTTGAATGGCAAAGCAGAGACGAGGGGAGCTCTCAGGATTGATTAGGAAATGTCACTTTTCATCAAGATCGTTAGTAAACCTTACTTCGATCTTAATCCTCAATCTCCACTTTAAGTACTTGTATCTGAGGTGGGTTACCTGATCATTTTGTGGCTGTTTTGAGGGTGAATATGAAGTTTTTGTTGAGTCATTAGTTATGTGTCACACGGTGGCTGCCATTTTGCTTGGACACTAATTCTAGATCATGTCCAAATGCTAAAATGTGTATTGTTCATCAGGTTAGTTGCTCAGCACTCATCAGGTTAGTTGTTCAGCACCTTCTTTGGATTTTGAGCACTTTTGTTGCTTCAAAGTTCAAACGAACATAATACACAAATTACAAATGATGGACTGTACCTTCAACAGCGGGCATCCCCCAACACAGTCATTGTCACGCAGTGAAGACCGGATCCTCACACTGTTATTCCCTAATTATTGAATTGAATTAAATTGAAGGATATTTTAATTCTTGCTTTTAATTGTAGATTACCCACAACAAAGTGGAGCCAGCATAGGAAGCATCGGCACAGTCAGCGGTAGCCAGAACCCTGTCATTGTTGGTTCAAGTGGAGTTAATATCACTTACAACTCGCCGTTGGAAGGACCAGGTAAATATAATCTTAGTCAATACGATGAAGTATTTTGATATCTTAAATCAAGTGTTAATGTATGGGGGGGGGGGGGCGGGCAGGGGAAGGATGGTGTACTGTTTTAGCATATATTATATGTTGAAAATAGTTCCATGACTTATTTAGCTATTCTTGTAGTTCTCGAGATGTAGAACTTTAACATATATATGCACCTTAATAGGGGAAGAGATCAACAGGATTTTTCAAAGTAAATTTTCTTTGGTTATTCGTTGTTGGGTCACTACATGCCAGTAAGCCAATGAGCTTCTCAAAAATGTTTTTACTGACCGAATAATGGGTGCCTAATTGAACAGAAAACCCCTAAACTGAACAGTGTCTTCCTGAAATGACAAATTCATATAATAGGGATGTCAAATAGTTTTCATACATTTAAGGGAGTAGAAAGTTGCACAAATTGTGTGCCTAAGAAATAAGAAAAAATCACCACATAGACCCTTTAAAAACGAAATCTGGATACGTAAATTTAATTCTCAGGCAAAATTTCTCAGTGTACATTTTACTGCATGTAATTGGAAACTTCAACCAATCGAATATGTTACGGAATACAGGTAAAACAAATAAACCTGTTTACAGAAGAAAAATAATAGGTTAAAAACTGGGCATGCAGATTGTTCGGTTTTGATGAATTGCAGCTTGAAAGCATTGTTATGAATCATGTTCATGTATACTTAAAGGGAAAATACAACATTTGCAAACATCCAAAAAAAAAACTACCAAATCATTTTGAAATACCTTGCTGGACTGTTAGTGAATGATAGTGTAAAGCATCCTGTAAAATCATGGTACCTAGCATACTGTCATTTTCAAGAAAAGTGGTATTTTTGTATCAATTTCCAACGCTGACCGACCAGCGTTGGAAAAAAACTGGCTTTTTTCAAATACTGGCCCCTGTTGGCCATCGCACTTGTTTGCAATTGATTACACACCTATGAACGGGTACAAGCCAGCTAGACTGGTTCCCTGACCTTACAATTCCCCAATATATGTAAACTGCTCTGTTTCTTCTTAAATGGAGTCAGAGAACCAGACTACAGGAAAATGATTGTTTTTCTTGGTTTTCATAGCATTTTCGAACCCAAAACCTCAAAAAAGTCAGTGTAACTATATTTGCTATATATTTCCAACCCCCCAATTCCATTCATTTCTGAAAATTACAGCAAAAGCAAATGAGGTATATTCCCTTTAAAAAATAGTTTATTCATACTAATTTTATGATTTCTTTTAGAAATCACCAGTCTCCAGGGGCCAGGTACCTTTGAGGATTTGCAACATGAAATTATTGACAACTACAAGCAAACTGCAACGACTATTCCTGCACACCCTATACTGGAGACACGTTATGTAGAAATTGATAAATTCTTTATTCCGCTCCATCTACAAAAGAACATTCCAGACAAAACAAAATCAGTGAGGTCGGTGAGATTACCAGAAGGAAAAATATTCTTGGATGAAGCACTATATGACATTCTCAATTCCTTGGATGATTTGTTCAATCAGGAAAAAGTTAAAGAAATCAAGATTCTTCTTGTTGGCGGGGCCGGGACGGGTAAATCAACCCTGTTAGTGAAAGTTGCAAACTCTTGCATCACACTTAGATCAAAACCCCTTCTTGGTAGATTTGATCTTGTGCTTTGGATAAAGTTGAGACAAATGCAGCAATCTAGCTGTGTCTTGGATGCCATATTTGACCAAATTCTAGCACAAAACACCAAACTGAGGAGACAAGAAGTGAAAGGGTTCATTGATGATCATGAATCAGGCATTGCTTTGCTGTTGGACGGAGTAGATGAAATTCCGTCTCATGTTTTGCAATCTAAGGAGGGCGTGTACAGGGTTCAGGATATCTTACACAACAGAGTCCTTACCAAAAGTTTTGTGTTGGTCACTACCCGACCACACATGGTGGATTATGTATTGGGGGGTCACCCAAATTACGCTCGGGTTGAAACATCAGGTTTCACACCACGAGACAGAGATCAGTACATCAGATTAAACCATCCTGATGATGCTGACATGGGAGAGGCGTTGGTTTCATATCTGGAAGACAATGCAAATCTGCAGGAAATATCTGTAGTTCCAGTCATTTCCCAGATGCTGTGCATTGTTTGGAAGAATCAAAAGTCCTTGCCAATGAGAATTACTGAGCTGTACAAAGAGTTTGCAGTGGCTCTTTTCAAGCGCCGCAATACAGAAATGAGTGATAAACAGTTAATGTCTAACATGATGTCCATCATTGATGGCTTGGGGCGTGTTGCATTGCAAGGGTTATTAGACTCTAGAGGGGAAAGACTCATGTTTGATGAAACTGAATTTCAGAATTGTCAGTCTTGCTTAGCTGAGGGTTGTCGTGTGGGTTTCGTTCAACGTGAAACGTTCACAATTGGTCTGGATGTAAAAGTGCTGGTCACTTTCCCCCACAAGTCCATCCAAGAATACTTCGCAGCATGTCACCTGGTGCGATTGCTTGACGGTTTTTTTTTTGGCAAAACAAAATTCTGTCGCCAGTTGAAGCGGATTGGAACCCATAATGTTCATGAAATGGAATACCTGCTGAGATTTTGTTGCGGTAGATCAGGAAAGGCTGCTGGCCTCATTCTGAGTCACATAAAAAAGATGCAAGGTGACGAGAGCAAACTGCAGAGATTGGCTCGGCTGCTGTTGTTGGAGTCTGGTTCAGAAGAGTTGGCTACCAAACTTGTCAGACCAACTGAGGTAGACTGTGAGAGTAACGAAGACCTGAAATCACTCAGCTACTACTTACAGCATGTCACTCCACCACTTGAAGGTACATTTTTTCACATGTATGTAAGAAAGCAGGAGCTTACCTTTCTCAGGGGAATTCTTCTGAGTGACAGCATGGAGTCAGCTGGGCTGATAGTGGTTCACTACTACTTGTCTGAGCAGGAGGAGGAGGAGCTTAGCCTCATTGCGGAAACACTTGGTGGGGTGGATGAACAGTGCCGTGCTCAATTAAACATTACGGTTTTCATTTTGGCAAAGTCATGGTTTGACGTGGGGCGTGTATCACACAGCTTTTTCTGCATGCATGAACAAATAGACGGGCTTGGTTTGGTTATGCACCAACGATCCCCGGATGAAGTTGTTGATCTATTGAAGGCACTGGAAGGATGCAGGTTGGATATGTTCGCACTGTATGGCACCAACCTGCATGCACAGGTGCGACATGTCAGCCACATACTGTCATCCCTTACAGTCTTGCAGCTCGATGCATGCAGGTTGGTAGATGATGACGTGAAGGACCTGATAAGCATCCTTCCTGCTGGGCATGGTTTACAAGGGCTTAACCTTGATGGCAATGCATTCAGTTTGGATGCAGTGAGGGCTCTCACCCATCATCTCCAAGGTCTTCCTAAGTTATATTACTTGTCACTTCTTAACATCGGCCTCGATCCTGAGCTCGTCAGACAAGTTGTCAGTCAAGACCTCCCTCACCTGACGGAAACACAAGAGGGAAAATTCCAAGCCTAAATAATCTCCCACCAAGTCATAACTCTCACTCTGTTCCTTATGAATGCACCACGCTCACGAGCAAGTAGCATGTATGATGGGTCATTTTATGTGAAGTCAATGCTCTGCAACCCCCTCCCCCCCCCCCCCCTAAAAAAGAATCAGTTAAAAAAACAACAACAACAACAATTAATAACAACAACAACTTTATTTTCAGATGACAGTAAGGGGCTTGATAATGAATGAAAAAGTAAACAAAACAGTTTCCATACAAATAGAGTATTCGGAATCCTCTTACATTATGAATACGAATATACCCAGCATAGTTCTTCATTCTACTGAACCTCCATCCCCCAAAAATTCAATCCATCAATTGATCATTCAATCAATGTGAAAAGTCTATCAACATTTCCTGTACAAAATGATTCATTGAATTCTTCAAACATAATAGCACTGTACTAAGCATTCTGGGTGTCCCTTGAAAGTGATATTAAATTGACCTTGTATCTTGGGTGACCTCTGAATACTATTATAAATCTACAATCTAATCGTCAATTAAACAGGAGAATCCACCTCTCCTTTCCATTTATTTTGAGAAAATATCTTGTTTCGCATCATCTTAGGTAAAAGTTGTGTGAGATGTCTTCAACTTTTGTGACAAAGGCCTCCTCCTACCCTGTTATCCGATCAATGTAGTAATATGGCATTCAAACAAACTAATGTGACCACACGCAAACGGCTGCACGACACCCTTCCATAGACCAGTGCTGTGCAAAACTTAGTATACAGAATAATACTCCAATCCTCGGGTACTTTTGGATTGTTTTGCATTTGCCTTATGTACAAATTCGGAAAATTCTTGCAACTTCATGCCTTTCAAACAGACGTTTCTTTTGAGCGTTTGTGCTTCATTCTTTATCAAATCGTTTGTGTAAATTAATGTAAATTACGCATAAAATGGCAAAAATTATGATTCCAGTTTGCTAACTTTTGTATAGATCTTTAACCTTGACTGTTTATGTAATATACCTTTAAAGTGGTTCCGTTGTGTAAGGACAGTATAACGTGGATTTCGTTTACTATTCAACTGTAGGCCTATGTGCATATTGAGAGTTACTAAACCAGTGTTCATACTGTCAAACAATTCATGTATAATATATATACATGTAGAATGTTGCATTGCCAAATGACGCATTTTTGTCAGAGGACAGTCATGTTTGCTCATTCAGGACCAATCATTGCAATTGTTGTGTACGCGAAAAGGTTTCTGGTTTCTGATTATGTTGAAATAGGTACAAGTGGACAATTTGCTTGTTTTTATCATTGCAAGCCTCTTCAAAGCATTAATTGACACTAGATTCGTTTGTTCCAAGTATGATAAATTTTCTCGTACCAAAAATGACATTTTTGTTTCTAACAGTTTTGATATTTTGCAGTTGCCCAGGTGATAGCAGTCGTTTATAACATGCCCAAATGCAACCATTCAATTTGGTAAAAGTCGTTCTGCAGGAGAGAAAAAGTATACTTTGAATCAACGTTTTGATTTATTCACATTGGAAATGTAAACTGAATGTTAATAATGTTTAACTGTTGTTGCTGGCATGACACATGAAAGAAGATTTTGATTAAAATGAGATTTACACACTGTAACTGCAAAGCCGAACTGATTGCAATTTTAAATGATGGGGATTTTTGTACTCATTAATTTACACATTTCAAGGGATATGGGATGGGATCATTTGCATTTATCCCAAAAGTAACCTACCAAATTATAATCAAAAAGCTCACTTGGATTAAAGATCGTACTGGTACTAAACACCCCGTGAAATTATTCCGTCTGGCTTGCTGTCATTAAGAAGAAATCAAGAAATTTAGGTGATTTCCAATGATAAGTCAATTGACTGATTTTTGAAATAAGAGTTCTATGGACGAAATCGCATTTATTGATCAAAAGTTTGTGCATGGATATTTCACTCTTTTCTTAAAAAGTGTAATATCCAAAGCCTCAACATGTTAGGTTGAGAGTATTCTTCTGTGGGACAGTGATGATATTACATGTATTGGAAACAAACAAATTGCATGAAATACAAATGTTCCTATGCCTTTAAGCCATGGTTTACAAACTATCATCATTGTGATTTTTTATCTTGTGATCATTAATGTGCAACTCTGTAAGATAAGGTCATCACTCGGGCACGGACTCCAAGTCAGGATAATCTGCTGACTTCTGGATAGTTTGGTTTCAGTCATAAAAATAAACCACAAGGGAGAACTGACTCGGTGCATTATAATAACGTGAAAGTTGAACAAAGAAATTGACTGGAGCTGGTTTGACCCTGTGACCTCCGGATTCCTGTTTCGGTACGGTAATCCGGAACGGTCATCCTGCTACAGTCAATTTCTTTATTTAACTTAAAAATAAGATTTGAAGGTTTGCATGGTGGAAAGATACTTAGACAAGATAAGTTCGCGGTAGCACCTTGTGAATAAATCAGTCAACTTGCATCCTTCTCAGCTTCACCGGTTTCGAGCTTCACCAGTTTGCATCCTTCTCACGCCTCACCGCACCCATCCTTATAACATCTCATCATCGTTGGAATCCCTCATTCTCCTGACGACGGGCAGAGCATAGTGTTCGAAACGTTAAGTCCCTCCGGTTCTTTTCAGAACCACACATACTCACAAAAGAGATTTATTCACAAGGCGCTACCGCAAACTTATCTTGTCTTAACTTGAAAATAAAAATTAAATATCTGATATTTGCACCGTTTGGCGGAAGTAAGTTTATTTGTTAACTATGAGTAGAGATATGTTGGAATTTGTAAGTCATTTGTATTATTTGTTATTGGTGCAGAAACATGTCTGATCTCTTCTTTTGTTTTTCCAGATATTTTGGGGAAAGTTTAAGACGTCCGGGATTATTATTTGACATTGTGTACTTTGTATGATTATTATCGTGTAATAAATCATTGCATGCAATGACTTGAGTCAATCAAGGAGAAATCTTTGAGGTTAGATGATTGTTGTGTTATGCCTCCATTCCTCCCTCAGTGATGGACCAATCTCCCGCCTCTGAATTCTACAGCTGGGTCACCACTTGGGTTTTGTAATCAGGCATGCTGGCTTCATAATGAGGATATCAAAAGAAATTCCTTTAAAAATATATCAACCCAATCACAAATTTACTTCATGCAATTAAAAAAAATGATTAGACAGCTAAATCACTGATGGATCCAGAAGCATTTATTGTTGGGGGATTAAGAAAGGGGTCACCGACAGGCCAGTTGTTGCCAATTCTTTATGTGGAGGGGCGGGGCTAGATTGCATTTTATGGGAGGGGTGCAGTGTTTCCTTTCTGTTCTTTCTTTGTATTATAAAGTGGCAACGGGGATGAATAGACCACAATGTCGTATTAAAAACAGTCGTCTTCACTTGTTCCCTGGTGGAATTATCTTAAAAGGCATTTCTGGTGGCCCCCACTTCGGTCTGCAAGAAGACAGCTTCTTTGATTAATTCAAGACAACTTCAAATAAGTTGAAGTTGTCTTGAATGAATCATTGTTTCATTACATTGTTTTGTTGTGGACCTGCTGAGTTTTGCTGTTGTGGGCTTAGTGACACCGCGGTGACTCTTATTTGAAAACAAAAAGCCTTTTAAAATATTTTCTAGCAGCAAATGGTCAACACCGAAAAAATGGAACATGTAAACAACAAATACCCCCCCCCCTCATCCCTTTCATGAATTAACTATACTTGCTGTCTAGACCCCGCTACCAAAAAAACCCTCCACTTTAAAAGAACAGAAATGCGCATTTTGTTTGACCTCCCTTCCATATTCCCTAAAAATATATTTTTGTAAAGTTTAATATCTTACTCTATTATTATGGGTTGGAGGGGTTATCCGAGGACAAGTTTATTTTGGCCGCACTAATCGAAAGCCCGCCCTCTATGGCTGAATGTATTAAATAGATGAATATTAGATATTAAATATATATTGAATAGAGAAAATATTATTACAATACAGTAATATAGAAATCGCGGCACTCTAGAAATTTCTAAGTGGGCGTCGCGGGGGGAAGGGGGTGCAGTTATCACGTGATGAAAGAAAAGACACTGGCACCTGTAAATTTGCATATACATTCCGCAAAGTCCCGGCTATACCAAATTAATGGAGGGGTGAACCATCCATGAATAAGGGAACTTAGTTCAAAATATAACAAAACAAAGCAAACTATTTTTCAGACGATCTTTTCTTAGATACATGTCTCCAATATTGTTTTATAAAAATTGTGAGAATTTTAAAAGATGATAAACAAAAATTGTGAATTAGAAGGAAAAAACCGACTTTTACCCCCAAGCTAAAAGAAACTGAAACTACCCCACAACAAATGCCGGGTAATTTTCAGCGAAATGGAAGGCGCGGCGCCGCACAAATAACTGGTTCGCGTCTCCCAATGCCTTTGAAATGATTGCAATAGTACAGGGACCAGGGATTTGTTCACAAACCAGTCTCACGTGGTTCGTTGCGCGTTCGTAAATTGGCGGGGCACGTATGGTGGAGGACTTTCGAAAAAACGTCACAACAGTCAAAGTAAGTTTGCCAATTTTGGCCTGAAAAGTGAACCATTTGGCCTTGGAAAGTTAGGTAGAAGTGACTGAACTACTGTAGATTCTTCTGAAGTTGATGCAGTGGAAAACACGGTTCGAAATCCTAAGTTTTTAAAGAAGGAACTCCGTCAGTTATTTTCTCCATTCTCTGAGAATCTGAAAATGGGCGTGGTTTCAGAAATTTGACTGCGGAGGGGGGGGGGGGACCCACCGAACGGTTTATATGGAGGGGGCAGGAGGGGCAAAAAGGATAAAATAAACATTTGTGACATTTGCAATGCATGCTGGGCATGGATAAAAACAGGAATTTTGATGCAAAAACTTGTCTTATTTATTGAAGTTCAAATTTGGCAGTGGGACTGGGAGTATATTTAGCCGGGGCCGGCTTTCTTGAAGTGAACGATATTTTGCCGGATAGGCACTGAACATGCGCAGTGACATTTTTCATTTTTACCGTGATAAATCTTAGTCTGGATCCGCGCCAACATTGTCATTGTGACTTCGTATTCACTAGACGGAATCTGACCATTTTACAATTTCGGACTTTTTCCCTTTAATTAACCCCAACTCCCTAGGCCTTTTTGCTAGGATGTAGCCTCAATCCTGCAAAATCCTCCAATTGGCCTCATGGAAAAGTAGCATATAGCCTCAATCCTGCAAATTCCTCCGTTATTTCTTGAATATGGTCCATGGAGGGATGACCACTGCCTGAATCCTGCAAAATCCTCCAGCTATGACTGTCAATAGGCTGAGGCAGAGGCAGTGACATCCTGGAGCAGTACGGAGGATGTCAAGTATAATCAAGGACTAACTTTATGCACGGCTAAGCATAAACAACACAAGGTCCGGCCCAAGACCTTGACACAGTGCGTACTCCGAAATCAGCAACGCACTTTTGCCATGTAACCTCAATCCTGCAAATTCCTCCAATTTGCAAAAAGGATTTTGGAGGATTCAGGGCGGTTAGGGTTAAAACAAATCATTCAGAGCCAAGAATCAGAAAAAGAAAATCAGTAATTAAATGTTGGAGTTCTAGTCGATTTGAAATAATAAAAGGATATTCTTAATTTTTTGGGATGAACAAAAATTGAAAATGTTGAGAGCTGGGAATTGAACCCTGCTGTGCTGGGGATCTGTCACTCATAAGATTCACTAGCCCCATAATGTGGCCAGTTTACTGGACTGCCTCCGTAAACATAGGCCACACAGCCACCATCTTGGAAACTGACTCGGCGAAATTTGAAAAAAAAGAAGTGATTTCCACATTGCGACTTCAAACCCAGTTCATTTATGCTTTAAAATACACTTACCCTCTTAATAACAAAATTAGAGGAGGGCGACAAAGCTAGTACCAGAATTGAGAAGAAAACCGTACAGCGAAAGGATGGAGCAGCTACACCTATTCCCACTTGAAGTGCGGAGAGTAAGGGGTGACCTAATTGAGACATGTAAGATCCTGAATAGCTTTGACGATATTGATCCAGAAAAGTTCTTTTCCAAGTCAAGTACGAGTACCCGAGGTCACAGGTTGAAGCTGTTTAAGAAAAGAATGCATAAAGGTCTCCAATTGAGGAAACACTTCTTCTCCCAACGGGTAATAGACAACTGGAACAACCTCCCAACCTACGTCGTAAATGCCATGAATGTCAACCAGTTCAAGAATAGATTTGACAGTTACTTGAAAGAATCTGGATATGGGGTCTTAAAAGGCTTAAGCCTATAATTGATATTCCCATCAAATCTTAAGTGTAAGTGTAAGTGTAAGTGCTAGTGTCAGTTGCCCAGCTGCTGCGTAATTTACGACATTTTCTGGAGCCTTCTTGGCAACTTGGTCCAACCATGGAGCTATCTCCATGGTCCAACTGAACAATGCCCTCGCACAGATCGTTCACCTGTCAATCACGCGTGCAGGACGCACGCCGCAGGCCCAGTGGTAGTCCGGTTCCCAGACCAAAAGATTCTACCACTGCCACTGGGCCTGCAGCGTGCGTCCTGCACGCGTGATTGACAGGTGAACGATCTGCGCGAGGGCATTGTTCAGTTGGACCATGGAGATAGCTCCATGGTTGGACCAAGTTGCCAAGAAGGCTCCAGAAAATGTCGTAAATTACGCAGCAGGTGGGCAACTGACACTTGCAGCAGGTTTTAATTTTGTTATTAAGAGGGTAAGTGTATTTTTAAAGCATAAATGAACTGGGTTTGAAGTCGCAATGTGGAAATCACTTCTTTTTTTTCAAAATTTCGCCGAGTCAGTTTCTAAGATGGTGGCTGTGTGGCCTATGTTTACGGAGGCAGTCCAGTAAACTGGCCACATTATGGGGCTAAAGATTCACATGCTATCCACTAGGCCACAGGTCTTGCACATGCACAAACACTGTTGGTAATTCAATACATTTTATAATGTAGGCCTACACGTATACGTGTCAAAAGGGGGCGCTGTATAATCTATCTGGCTAAACATCGTTTACTGAAAGAAAGTCAGCTAAATCTAGCCTTCAAAATAATTATACACTTCCTTCAAATGTCTATTTTATTTGCCTGCATGTCTCTTGAATGTTCAGTACTGAATGGTAGCTCTCACAAGTCTGCCATTGAAAACTGATCAGTTGCACTCTTGTTATTTACAGCTGGTTAGCATGACAGTCAGACTCAGAGCCAATGAAGTGGATGCTGTCAAGAATGCTTACGTGAACCACACAAAGCTGATCTTCAACTGAAGGAATGCCCAACTTTCAAAGTCCTTGCCATTCGGTTTGTCATGGTTAAACTCTGTTCATTGAACTAATATGCTCTAGAACAAAGCTCCAGTAAAGACTATAGGGCCAACTTCTTAGGGCATGGAAATAATCTTATGAGTTATGTAGTTAAACTGAAATCTGAAATGAGTGATGATTTGATTCCAAATACATTAACAAATGGACTCAATCTTCATGATGTTTAGACCTCGAGCACGTAGATGCTTAAAACTAAGTCCAGTTTTAAAATAACTTGAAAACAAGTTGCACAGTAAACCTAACCTAAACATTAGTTCAGTGCTCATAAAAGTAACTTTAAACCTCAAATACGTTTAACAATTCACTTTAATAAATGAAATCAATATTTGTTTGGACTTAACAATATTCAGTGCCTAAAACGAAGTTTTCCTCGTGATTTAATGAAATTAGAAAGCATCAGCAGAACCGTAAATGTAACAAAACCTAAGGACAAAGCTCATAAAAGTCAAATTTAGCTTTAGATGTGAGGCAGCTCACTTGGGATGGCAATCCAGTTTTGACTACAATGTGGTAGCATTCAAGTATGCCAAAGTCATTTTCGTTTCCACTATTCTGTGTAAAACTGTGGACCCTTGCAGCATTTGTTAGGTCATTCAATCATCTGCATGCATCCATTGACGGACAGTCATATTAACCACTGGCACTGACGACATAAACCACCTAATTAACCACTAACCAGACCTGTCCAAATGTTGCAAGGACTGGGCAAATATTCCACGCTTCTTGGGAACTTGAGTTCACTTGTGCATTTTCTTCTTAGTTTCTCAAAGCTGGATTGCTAGTAAAAACAGTTCTAGCATTTACAAAATTTATTGAAAAGCAAACAATTTGAGTCGACTTTTACATTTGGCTGAAATAATGAGCACAAACAAGAAAGGAAATGAAAATGCTTTAAACAAATTCTTTCAGAGCATAATCTAAAAAACGGACAATCTTTAAAAAAATCTTAATGTTAAAAATTGACGAAAAAATCAAATGAAATGAAATTATATTCTATACGACGATGATATAAATGATAAATAGCCAAACAATGAAGGATGTGTTCAATCTAAAAATTCAATTTAAAAACTACATTCATAAAAAGAAATGTTTGAAAGGACTAGTTAGTATAAGGCATAAACCTGAAAGAATTTTAGTTTAAAACTGTAATTACAAACAAGGTAACTCACATTTCTTGTTTGCCATAACCACATGATTTAAAAATTGAGGTATATGACATTTGCTCAAGTTGGCCCTTGACATACTTGGGACAATGTTCAGTACGGAGCAGTAAAATGTGAGAGTCATTACAGAGAAACTCTGAAAATCACCTCCAATTAGAAGTTGCCCCTGGATGAACTTTGGACATTAACAGTACAGGCAATACTGCTGCACATCTGAACAGTTTGGAACAAAGGATGGACATGAACGTTTGGTTGAGTATTGCAGTTCTCCAGTGCGGACTCGTTGCAAACTGCAACATAACTTGATACAATCGTCTTGGAAGCACAACTGAAGAACATGCCTACCTTGAACTCCATGCAATATTGGAAGTTTGTTTGGACACTTGTTTGGAAGGACGATGCTTGTTTGGAAGGACGATGCGTGTTTGGAAGGACGATGCTTGTTTGGAAGGACGATGCGTGTTTGGAAGGACGATGCGTGTTTGGAAGGACGATGCTTGTTTGGAAGGACGATGCTTTTTTGGAAGGACGATGCTTGTTTGGAAGGACGATGCTTGTTTGGAAGGACGATGCTTGTTTGGAAGGACGATGCTTGTTTGGAAGGACGATGCGTGTTTGGAAGGACGATGCTTGTTCGGAAGGACGATGCTTGTTTGGAAGGACCAACTGGAACCTTGAGGAACACTGCCCGGTGTGGGAGATGTGGAATTCTGGTGACTTTCTGATGTTGGGAGAAGTGGAATTCGCCATCCTCGCTACCTGTGGATGCCTGTATCACTCGGAAACCTCGGAGGTAACCCCCCCCCCTCCCAAAAAAATAATCATTGTTAATTGTCAGATACTTAAAAAGGATTTTGCTGATGCTATAGCAATGCATCATTTAACTAGGTTTGGGTTTGTTTCACAAATTAACATATGTTATGGGGCATGACACTATTTGTCATTCTAAAAACAGATTGGTTAAATAACCAATGTTGGTTAAAATGTATCCAACCAACCCGATTAGTTCAACACATATTAAACAACTGTTGGTTAATTCAACCAATGATTGGTTATGTTAACCAATCTGTATTTAGAGTGTAACAAGGCAGATATAATGAATCTGGTATTTTATAAATTTCAGCTTTTTATTATTTGACCAAAGGCAGTACAAGGAAAATACTTCAAATTAAATGAACATTAATTTATTTGCATTGATTTTCTTCAGACGTGAACATGCACAAGAGACCCCCGGATTGTGAAAGTGTACAGTTTGCAAGTGGAGTCATTCGATAGATTGTTCGGAATCATCGGCACAGGGGGACAAGGTTGCATGTAAACTGAGGTGAGGTAACCATTTGCTTTGCAGGGCCACATGCACTTGTCCCCCCCCCCCTCCCTCTTGGATTGTGACCGTTTGCAAGTGGAGTCATTCGTTGGATTGTTCGGAATCATCGGCGCACGGGGGACAAGGTTGCATGTTAACTGAGGTGAGGTAACCATTTTCTTTGCAGCTCAAGGCCACATGCACTTGTTCCCCCCGGATTGTGACAGTTTGCAAGTGGAGTCATTCGTTTTGTTCAGAGTAAGTCAAACCACAATTCTTGTACTTTTTCATGTGCAAGCAAATTTGAATCTATCCTGATTCTATAAAGTTGAAGCAACTGCAGTACATTATTATGTTTTTAATATGTGAACCAATTAGCGCGGCAGTTTTTAGCAATTTTGTAATCAAATTTCTCAATAAAAACCCTCAAATTTGCTTGTACATGTATATGTTACATGAACCATCCTGGAATAATTTCAGTTTAAACGATGTTTTGGAAATAAGCACAAAATTAAATTTGTTTGTCGGGATTTTGTAGAAATAAAGGAAAATTGGGAGAAAACATTCTGCAATGCATTTATCAGCCTAAATTTTTAACAATTACTTTTTTTTTTTTTTAAACAGACAACATTTTAGTTAATGTTTTACTTAAACAATAAGAATGTCCAGGGTGGTTGACATATGTGTTTGTGATGTACTGGTTGGTGGTGGGTGTGTGCTTGTTATTGTGTGGGGTGTAGGTGGTGGTTTGTGTGGGGTGTAGGTGGTGGTTTGTGTGGGGTATAGGTGGTGGTTTCTCCACAGGTGCTTCGGTTGAGGTGCGGGGTAAACCCAGTTAATCGGAGTTGGACTGGTTCTCCGATTGAGGTGCGGGGTAAACCCAGTTAATCGGAGTTGGACTGGTTCTTCGATTGAGGTGCGGGGTAAACCCAGTTAATCGGGGTTGAACTGGTGCTCCGATTGGTGCGAGGCAAACCCAGTTTCAAGGGACGGGTTGCGTCCGCGTGAATGCTCCGGCATCCACGTGGGGCGTGGGTCCTACGCAGCGGCCTGGAAACCCTAGGATGCCGTGCCATAAAGGAGCAGGTAGTGCGTCCCTCTTTATAGGGGTGTGGCCCTGTATTCACAGCCGGCAAACGCTGCTACTTCCTATCAGACCGCATGAACCCGTAATGGGGGATGGACTTAGGGGGGCACGCATATAGGTTAGGGTACTCTCCTGATCCTTCGGGGTTGGGGGGGCGTACCGGACAGTCGGCAACTGTGCATGGCCCTCCGGGGCCGGCCTTTTGCCCAGCAATGGACCTGACGATACTGAAAGCGTGTTTGGGGCTGGTATCCTGGGACCTTCACGTGGTGGCCCTGTTTAAACTAATCTTACCAGGATGTGCTTCCAGAAGGGTTACATCTAAAAACAAGGTAAGATTTTAAGAAGGAATGACTTTTTGAAGAAATGTGAAATTCAATTAGCAACTTTTGAAAAATGAATTCTCAACAAACATCATAATTATTGCCGATCAGTCAAAATGGACTTCAATTTTAGACCCCAAAAAACATTCCATTTGTTTCTGGGATTATTATGTTTTCCATCAAGTAAACCAAAGCATTCTGTTGGAGAAAGATTTTAAAACCTTTTCTTACAATGGAAAACAATCTTCAGAGTGGGTCAACAAAGGCCTTTTTTTTTGAAAGTGAAATTGATTCCACCTCTCAAAATTTCACTCCAGTTTTAACTCGGCATTCTGAATCTATAGCTTAAAAATTCTGGGCACGCTGAATAAAGAGAACAAATAAGTAAAACAACACAAATAAAATTGCTTTTGTGTTTATAATTGGAAATACAAAATTTGTGGACAAGATTTGTGTGCAAAATGTACTTTGAAAACTTGACCACTTGAATGATTGTTTTGTTTTGTTTTTGATAACACTGCAAGGTACAAGCTACCACGGATGAGAAGCTTACTGGAGAGAAGTGGGAAAGTAGCGATGAGCCAACGACTTCAGGGGAATCCAATCGTCCAATCCAAGGTGAGCATCTGATTGCAACTGATCCATTATAGACAGCAAAAGGAATGGAGAAACATCTTCAAACGGGCTGAAATTACGATTGGACATTTGTCTGTGAACAAATCAAATTCTGTTCTTTGAAGTGCATTCTAAATTAATGGCTTTTGATGCTCTGCATGAGACGTTTTAAAATTGATTTTGTCAGGTCAGTTTTTTTTCTTCGGCAAATTGAACAGTTTCAAAACTGAACAACTTCCAGTTTAATTGATTAATTTAAAAAAGAAATTCACCAATTTGCCACTGGATAATGTTGTTTTGCAAGTTATTTTGTTATTGCAGTTTAACCCCCCCCCCCCCCCCTCCCCACTGGAGATGAGAGGCTGTAGAGGAATTTGTTGTGATGACAATGAATCATTCTAATCAAAGGTGAGCAAAACATCTGACTGAAGATGATCAATTCAAGACAGCAAAGGGAACGGATAAACCTAAGAAAAGGCTGAAATTATGATCGGACATTTGCCAATTCAGAGGTCCTTGTCAGAGCAAAATACATTCTCAAGTCAGATTTTGTACTTTTCACATGCATTCTAACTTTGGAAGGAATTGATTCTCAACATGTAATGGTTCCAAAATTGGTTTTGCAGTGCATTTTTGCAAATTTATTTAAAATTCCCCTGTTTGTCAAGAATTATGCTTTCTGGTCATTCTCAGCCCTGATCATTTATTTCCTTCAGATATCAAACATGAATTTCTTGTTTTTCTTTCCTTCCTTTCCTGATAGTCAGTATGGGCTCTGAGAAACACGCAGGAGACAAGATCTGCCGCAGTCATTGTTAGCAAGAACTACCAGTTTAATAAGGTCTCTGATTTTGCACTTGTGCTTTGAAATCAAGGAGCAATTGTAGTTGACTTCCAAGGTAGAGAGTAGACTCTCTGCTGTGGTCACAAAGATTTACACATGTGTATTTGAAGGACAGTTTTGCAAGTTGTAAACATATTTTTCAAACTACGAATGATTCGCTGATTGTGCATATGCCCTGAAAGTGTCCACTGGTTCTACCTCAGAAATTGCTTTCAAATGTGGTCATCCGATTATAGTCTCCATAATCTCTTGAGATCAATTCAAGTCTGCATGTCCTCTTGATAGTAACTACAACATTGATGTCTTATTTTTGATGAATTCAAAATCTTCTTTGTAGTTGAGATGTTCTGAAATTCTGAAATTGTCTGATGATCCACTATGAGCCCTGTCTGATAAACACTATTCTAAGACCCCACTGTTCTCAATCCAATTCAAGTTGACTTGACTCTGATATGCCTTTTTGTTTCTATCTCACATCTTCTCTGCAGGTGGTCCACACAGACAGCACGATAGCCTTGCAGAGGAGAGCGTTTCTCACGAGTGGATTTACAACTGACTGACCAATCAACCTTCATCAGAACTTTTTGAAGTAGTGGTGGTTGGAAAGTGGTGGTGGGAAAGCTCGGTTTTCAGGTTTGAAATGGAATGTTGTTCTAGGTTACCACTAGTTAAATGTTTGGTATTTTATAAATGTATTTATTTTAACTGCATGCAAACACATAAAATTGTGATATTTTCTCCAAGATGTTTGATACTTGTGTAACGGAAAAAAATGGCTCACTAAGAAAAAGTCCTGCTTGATATTATTATGTCGCGATGTACTTCTAGAAACTGGAACAAAAAAGAAAAGGAATCAGGGAAACCAAACAGACTTCTCAAATTTTGAATTTAGTCTGATTAAAAAGGAGATCTTTCACACACAAAAACAATTTGTATCCTTAAATAAAAAAAAAACAGTCTTCTTAACTGAAAGAAATCTCAATCTGGATCAAACAATGGAGAAAAATAAAACTTTGCCAAGGATAAAAATAATAAACAATTGGATAAAATATTAGGAGAATAAGAGAAAAACTAAGGTATAAACAAATGGACAGTAGGACAAAAGTATAAAGCCACACAGCATTATTGGAAAATGACTGTAAAAGCACAGCAATGATCTACAAACCAATGACTCCACAAGCAGACAAACCCAAGCAGGAAACAACTCCAGTTAGGAGGAACTTATAATGAAATACTGTGAACTATAAACTGCTGGTCTGCTGGCTACAACTAAAGTGTGGCTTGTAGGCCTGTCCATTTTCAAATAATTTAGTATTTGATGATTTCAAAACTGCTCTTAACCGAATGTTTGAATATTAGAAACTTGCCGATCAAGTGTGACACACGCAAGCTGCAGCTGCCTTCCTAGCTGGTCAACAATTGCATATAAAGCATGCTGGTTACAAATGACATGCGTTGATGGTATTGTCTCCTTTTCTTTGTCTGTGGCATCCATAGGGAGGTTGCTGACAGCCAGGTGATGACCAGCATCTTTCACCAGTAGTCTCCTGGTCTTCCACTGCATCTCCAATTTCTTGCCACCACAGACGGATGTTTCAGTGAAGTAGTTATGCTCCAACCTCTCTGCCATCTGCCATGCGATGGGCGCTAGAGCACACCCCGTTGAGGAAGTCGGTAGCTAGGGGTGGAGGAGCAAAGTTCAAGTTAACAAAGCTGATGTTTAATGGTAGCTACTAGAGATCCTGGATGCTGACTCTGCCTAGGTAGGTGATGTTGAATACGATAGAAATCACTAGGGAAAAGTTCTATATGAACAGCATGTGAAGTGACAGTCTCTAGCAAGAGAAGTGGTTCTGAAGATTTGAAGATTTAGTCAGTTATCTGTGACTGTCATCAGGAGAATGCCTAAACCTAAAGACAGGTGATCATTTAACCCCTTAACGCTGGCTGACGGCGGTGACTGCAGCTCAATGAAGGGTGATGAGCCAGGGAACGCTGTGGCCGCATTCCTGCTGCATTCATTGATGGGCAATATCCAAATGCCTGCATGTACACATTCAAACTCAAAGTGCCGCTGATCCGTGGCTGACAATACCAGCATCAAGGGGTTAACAGGTGTGGGACAGATCCAGTGTGGATCAATGAAGCAGGATTTGATAAAACAGCCAGCTTAGGATTGCATTAGATCAGGAATAAATGACCCACCAGTCTTAGATTTATTGACGATCAATAACATGTGGAAACACCTGTTATATACCTCCCAAAGAGCGATTGCGTGCCGGTTTGTGTACTGTCCCTATACTTACATATATAATTAATTTTAATGTCGCTTTTTATTTCCAATTCAAGGTTTTCACAATACCTGGACCTAAAAGATGAGCTGCTTTTGATGCTGAAATGCACTGACACGGCACTACTTTGTGACATCACACATCAGGTAAATCCTCACTGTTTTCACAAACTGACATGTACGCATGTGGAGTCAGTTCCTGAAAACCGTGTTATCAATAATTTCAGTTTCACAAATTGACATGGGGGTGTGTGCACGCACTTTAATAGTACACTGACTCGTAATAGAATAATGTAGTTTTTTTACCCAATGAAACACAAGCATGTGATGGAAATACAATATAAAATCGCTTTGAAGGGTTCGACACAAATTTACGGCATCCATTTACTTGTGGGCTTACACAAAAAATGAATTTGAAACCTTTTAACTGATGACATTAAGACCGGTTTCAGTTCGTAAAAAATGAGTGTCAGTTTGTGGTGTCTTTGACAACATTTCGATGCCTTTGGTTTGCTTAGTATGTAGTTTTAATTTTTTTTCAGAACTCAAGAACTAATAAATTTAAAGGATAAAATTAATGGTTGACTTCACATCCCTGCCTGCATCAGTGATCAGTTGCTTAAACTTTATTCAAAGTGGTTGTTGCATCAACTATTTACTTGAAATGGATCAGTAGAGGTTTTAGGCACCATTAATGGATCAGATCCTTGCTTGAACATTGTAGTAACCAAGTTGTTGTTAGTGCACCTTCTTCAGACGGCTCTGTGAACAAGTTCACTCATTCTGTAACTTTCCATTCTGTGTATGTGTGCTCACATGTCTTTTCAGCACATGTTTGTTATCTTGTTTATTTACCATTTCACTTGTTTCATAAAGTCAGGTATTTATTCCGGATAATAAAACTAAAAACGGTTTCAGCAAGTGTATACTCAGTGACATGCAACCAACCCCAGTTACTGGAGATCGCTTGAAGTAGATGCATGCAAGTTGTTTCTTCAGTCAAAATGTCCTACTTGTGATAGCGTCAAAATCAAACAGTTGGCTGAACTTGCAGACAGAATAATGGATGTTGCTGCTCCACAGCAGTCAGTCAGGGTCAACTCAGTCGCATCTACATGCACCCCTGCATCACTGACAGAAGTGCAACTTCTTCACACAGAAAAGCCAGCTGTCACTGCAAATACAACCATTGTCTGCAGGACGTCATCGTTCTTGCAGTCATTCAAGCAATCCACCACGCTCCCTGTGATGGTAAAACATCTGAGGGTCTTGGACCTGGATGACGGAAAACAACTCTGGAGACAAGCTGCTGGAGAAGAATCACTACACGGCCAATCTCCAACACTCGGCGAAGGAACACTCATCAGACGCCCCTTTGGGCAACAGTAAGGCGGATAAGGGGAGGATTCTGGCTCTGGCCCAACACTCTGGATGCATGCTTGAGAACCCCTAAGGGTAACCATATCACAGATGAGGGTGTGACCGGGAAAGTGCCCAACACTCCGTGGAGGAATGCTCAGGAACCCTAGGACAAGGGCCAGGCCAACGCCTGTACGTGGTACTCAAGATCATTCCTATGGCTTTTGGACTCCATCGTTACAGGCACGGGTCCATTTCAAATCCACAGCCTCCAATTAGATATTCAGACAATGAGACCAATCTTTTCCTATCCTGTCACTGGAATTGTGTCATGTGTCGGGAGAGCTACCACTTGCAGCAGACACTGACACAACACCAGCAGTACATTCTCTAGTTTCCTTTCACCTTGTATGTTTATCAGTGGGAGTTTGACTCAGACAGGCTAGCTGTTTCCAACCACTACCAAACTCACAAGTGCAGTGGGTCCATTTCACCGATTGTCTGGGCTCTCCTGCGGCCTCATGACACACCTTCCAAGCCTGTGGATATAACGCTCCCAGCCCATGGCTTGGTTGGTCAATTAATTACGACTGTACTGACATCAGCCTAACACTCTGTCTTCCAGGAGCACGAATCAGGGACTTCCCAGCCGGGACTGGGATCAAGTGAGATCTGGCCATTTCCCAACACTCCACGGATGAATGCTGGAGTTCCCTGCGGGGTTCTTCTAGCGTGGATGAGAGAGTTGCCCTGGTGCTCCAACACTCCGTTTGGGGCCCTTTGGTTTTTCATATCACAGATGAGGGTATGTACATGTATGTGCTGGGGGAGCAACCGAATCCATGTGACTGATGTGCGGCGCTGGAATTCCATCACAGCTAGGTGAGGGAGCAGGCCAGGTTGCTTTTGGACTTGGCCAGCAAGCTGCGGCTTACCTTCAAACCAATGAAGTGTGTCACTCTGTCCCTGGAGTGACGCAGAGGTTGGTGAGTGCTTCCCTCAGTCTACAAAGTGCAAGGCAGCGATATTCCAGCACTGACTGAGGAATTATATCGTTACTGTCACGTCCGTATCGGGTCGCAGAAGAAACGAGAACCTTGAGGCAGTGGTGGCCAAGATGACAGAAGATCTGGGCAAGGTGGAATCCTCTCTCCTGGCTTTCTGGCAAACGCTGGATGCACTACAAACTGCCATTGAATAGTGCACCTTGTATGTGTTGCCTGCCAGCAATTGCCAGAAGAAAAGTCTGAAGTGGCCAAGGGATGAGGTGGTGAGGTTGGTGCGGAAAGTTTGCATCCTTCCGACGAGGACCGCCACCAATGACATCTTTGCAGACAGAATGGTGGGCGGTCTGGGTCTGACGGATCCCATCCAGGATGCTGCAGTCAAACAGTCACGCAAGCTGTATGAATTTTGTCTTCACCTGGCAATACCGGTTGCAGTGTCTCCACCATGCAGCTGACTTCTGTCTTCTGCCGCACCATTCAGTTCATGAGCGAGTCTACAGAGGGGGACCTGGCCAACTTCAGCTGGAGCAGACAGATCTGTACCCTCTGGTCCCAGGCTATTATGGTGGTTGGCCTGTTGCGTATCTCTTTCAGTGGCTGCTGTTATGGCTCAGTAGTCGCACGTACGGACAAGGGGAAGGAGATACTCTCCAAGAGCATTACCACGGTTCTGCGGGCCGCCGCCCGAGAGTTTTACTCTGGTCAATTTCTCTTGTTAACAACCGACCGCAGCTGGTAATTTGAATCAGCCCTCTTTGGCACCCTCACTTACTTGGCTGCAAACACGTACACACCACTACCTGTCATTCAGAGCATGGTCCAACGATTACAATGCCAACTCAAGCTCTGTGATGAACACTCAAATTGTTCTGTAACTTTCCATTCTGTGTGCTCACGTGTATGAAATGTGTATCGTTTTGCTTGCCTCTAAAAGTCAATTATTTGTTTCGGATAATAATAACCAATGTCTACAGCCTCACAGGTAATTTACTCTACCATAACTTATCTATATTTCGTTTTTTTTTGCACAGTCTTTGATAAGACAGGACCTGAGTAACCTGAGTAAGTCATCAGGCGCCTGTTATCAGAACCACAAGAAGAGGAACGCATGTGTTTCAGGTGAGTTAAGAACTTGTTCAATATACTTGAGTACTTGCTTTTGCAACAATGTTTATGTGAATTATGGGTTGATGACAAATTCATGCTAAAATTTTGCTGTAGATGTGAACGCAAAGGGAGCTAAAATTCTAAACTCTATCTTCAAAACTCCTCCCTACCTATATTCTACCTATTATTATAGTTGTTCTCCCATTTTTGTGGAGCCTCAAAAGCCACAAAATCATGCAAAAATCTGAAAAAGAAATCATAATCTGCATGTATATATGTTACGTATATTCAATTTTCAATTTTTAATTGAATTTCAGGTTTTCCTGCTCTTACCAAGAAGACGTTGCTCTTGATGCTGGAATGCCCTGAAACTGCACCACTTTGTGATGACATCAAACATCAGAGAAACTACATTCAAGGTGCCTTGGGCCTATTTAGAATGTACTAGGCTGTTAAATGAGAAAAAAAGGTTATATGGGCAATTCCATGCTGGTGAAGACCAAACAATTATTCTACGGTTTGTTCAAGTTTGATTTGCTGAAGTGACACAATATATCTTGGCGTTTTTAAAACTGAAATAGTTTCGTCCCATGCGCGCACTATTTTGTGAGTTATGGTACACCATCACATCAAAGTCTGCAATGACGTCATGATGACTTATGGATGCACTGGTAAGGAATTTTGAATTGGTCTTTTACTATCTATTCAGTAATAATTTCTCTCAATTTTTTTATGTTACCATTTTGAAGGCATCTTTGTGAAAATGAATATTATTTTTTAGATGTCAATATAAGTCAGATTTTGCTTGAAAAATGAGATACAAATTTAATTATTTATAAGTCATAAAAAATTGATTTTTTTTTTGTAAATACCAACATTTTCTGAGCAATGAATTATTCTGTTCAAAAATTCTTAGCAGTTTGTTTACATTTTTGTTTGATGCTTAGGCCAGCCATGAAATATAGTAATGTCAGCCACATGTAATGTCATGTAACGTAGTGTCAGTCACATTATTGCACAGTCCGTAGTTGAGGAAAATACAAGTACACATGTTATTTAAGTCCATACACATACAAGTAGTAAACTCTTTGAACCAAAATGCAACTGAGTGCCAAGCCACTGTCTGAGCAACTTATATATTGTTCACAAAACAAGTGTTTTAAAAATTTAATTTGGACATCTGTAACCCTTTGATAAAATGAAAAATATATTTGTTTTGCTTTCGGGCACAAGTAGTCTATCATTGTCCATTCTGATGGGGTGGGGTGGGGGAAGTCTTCCCTGTGAGAACTGAATTATTGTTTGGCACCAAATAGTTTGATTTTCATAATTCCCTATTTATTACTAAACATTGGCTAACTTATTTCATTTGTTTTGTTGTTGGTACATTGGATAACTTTGGTATTGCTAGAAAAATAGCAAGTAAAATTGTGTTAATGTAAACATGTACAAATTATGATTAATTCTGTTGAATATTTTATATTTTTCAGGAAAGATGTAGAGCCAAGTTGCAACTTACTGCAGCAGAAAGAAAGACACAGCAGAAACAAAACTTGGAGGAAAAGGATTGTATGAAGACCACAAGAGGAACAAATGAAAGAGGAATACACAGAAAAGAACAGAACATGAGGAGTTTCATAAGTGAGCAGGAATAAAACTAGGAGAAAAAGTACTTAAAATTGAGCTGGAAATTGTATTCCACATTGAGACCTCAAATTGTTAGTAACAAAGAAATATGTATTAATTATGCAAGTCTATTTGTTTAACATGTCTATTAATTATGCAAATTTATTTACACGACTTTAATATTATTTAGGTCACTGCTTTATGTTCATTTACTTTTAGGTGTTGATGGTATGTACATGTAGGTTTTTATTACGTTTTTATTATTATTTTTTGTTTTTCTTATATTTTAATACTCTCTGAGTTTGGATATTGAAAAATTATTTTGTTCTTGTATACAGTCACTGTTGGAAATTATAAAGAAAATAAAACCTGAATCTGAACAGAAATTTTTCGATACACAATGTCTTATTTCTTAATTATCATGATTAATAAAAACTTTCATTTTACATCTCTGTACATGTAAACACTGTTATACTGGTTATGACATATATGATAAATAAAATGACATCCATTAAGCCTTTAACATGAAGAGAAATTTCAAATTTGATCTATCATTTGTTTCCTGTGTTACTTTTAATGTAATGTCAGTCACAATAAAAAAAGAGTTCTGTAAGCGAAGGACAGAAAAGATCAATGCGCTTACAGGTTGGAAAATGTAAAGAATTATATGATACGGCTGATTAGTGTACGCAAACATAATGGCGTGTTCAAATTTCTGTTTTCGGCATGGTGTCTCTACGTAAACCTATTGAGAAAGTCGCGTTATAATTTCTTATAATTTCTTGTCGCAAAAATGCTCAAAATTCACCGTACATCTTGAAAATATCACTATTCAGCTTCTAATTGCAAAATGAAAAATGAGAGGTGGTTATAATTTTAAGAGAAAAATTTGAATTAAAAACCTATGCCACTTTATCGATTAGCGTACGAGAAGAATTGAAGTGATGGCGTCACACGTAAAATGTTCTGAATCGTGATACTGATGCGAATTTGAAACCTGCGCCGAAACTCTGTCTGTCACCATGGAATTGCCCATATACTTGCTAAAACTGTAGATTTTCTGGTTTTGCCCAATAAGTTAATTGACATTATTGTATTTCTGTTCATTTGTGTAGTTATCATTTGTTTAAATTTAAAATTGAGGTTATGTTTGTATATCAATGAGAGAAATTTTAAAAATGTTGTACACAGTTGTGCACCCTAGTTATGGTAAATAAAAATTAGTCTCAATGAGGAGCGCCCTCTATTGCCCATGAATTGCTAATGACTGTTTAATGAATGAATTAATGTATAATAATAATAAAATAATAATGGACATTTCTATAGCGTTGAATCCATTTAAAAAATGCTCCCTTGTGCTTTACCATCGAACTATTGATATAAATAAAAGGAATATAAATACAATTTTACTAATGTGATTATTTAAAACTCAAAGTGTATGATCCACACTAACAAGTGGTTTAAACATGATGCATAGGAGTGCTTTGTTACAAGGTGTAAGATATGGTTGACATGAATGAAATCAAGCCAAATTTGTGTGATGTAAAAGATGTTATCAAACAAAGTTAAACATTAGTAACTTCTTTGCAATATACAATTGAAACTGTCTTTTTTGTAAAGTAACATTTTGAAACTACATTCCTAACAGAAAAAAGTTCTGGGAGGAAAAATCCATGTTTTAAGGAAACAAAATCCATAAATATTTGCTTTTTGAGATGTCCTTAAATTTATGGAAAGAAAAGGGAAATGGAAAGTGTTTTTGAAATAATTTGAGCATTCTAAAATGAATTGGCATAAAAATCTAGCCAGATAGACACAGTTAAAATATTTGGTCTATAGAGGGCAGTATGCATATATTATCTGGAACATGTTTGTAAATCAATGTTGAACTTATTTAAATTTAGTTGTACAAGCAATAATTCCTGAAATGAGGCGTTACTGTATTGGAACTGGTATTGCTAAGTGGTTAAAATATTTCAGAATTTGAATAAAATAGTATAAAATTTGAGGCAAAAATCACTGACAATTTTAAATAAAATCGAGATTATCAAATTTAAAAACTCCATTTCCACATTTAAACAAAAGTTTGGCCTTTTATAGTTAAAAACAACTTTGTGTGCCCCCCCCCCCCCCGGAAGAATAAAATTTGAACAAATTTAACGTAGGACTTGCTATTTAAATATTGAGCATTGACAAATTAGGTAAATTAATGGACATTTATTAAACAGAATTGTGTTTCTTGTTAAATACATGTACGCATAGTTTACAAACTGTAATATTAAATTTAAAAAAAAAAGAGTGTGAAATAGGTTTGTAAAAAGTGTACATAATGGCCAACAATAGAAAGTATATGGAATAAATGGCTAAATTTGAGAATCAGAATTTTGGATCTGTTGTTTCCTTCTGAATATTCAGTTTTCTGCTTTTTATTATTCAATTATTCAAATGAGCCAAGGCGGCCATCTTTTTTCTTTTTTTAATATTGCGCAATCTAACCTTTAAATATAAGTTCCGAGAACAAATTTTCGAAGAGGCCAGTGGCCTGGCGGTCTAGCTCGCTGACCGCCAGGCGCAGGGTCCCCGGTTCAAAACCCAGCCGGGAACCCGGGAGGAGAATTTTTCCTCACAGCAGTGATAAAATTTTAAAAATATATAAAATAGTAGCATGGAGCAGGGTTGAACCGCGTACCTTCTGCATGCCAGCTCTCTTTTTTCCTGCTCTGCCATGGCACTTTCTTGAAAAAATCTCCGGTTATCGTAATTAAAACCCTTAGGTTCTTGGACTTAGACAATTTTTCAGCTTTGGCCAGAATTTCAGAAATCAAGGGGTACCCCTTGAAATTTTTTCAGATCTGAGGGTCTGAGGCTGGGAGGTTGAAAAGTTGGGAGCTGAAGGGGTTTGGAGCTGGAGGGTAGGCTTTGGGACTTTGGGCTGACTGGTTGATGGTTGAGAGGGAACTGGACTATTAGTTGAAAGGCTTCCTGACTGATAGGTCTGCAAGTTGATAGGACTAGGGAGGGTCTTGGGAATTTTTGGACTTAGGGTTTATTTGGCTGGACTTAGATTTGGGAACATAATTTCCTCATATTAGTTGGACTAAATTTTTGACTGAATTTTCAGACTTCTTTTTTGAAGCCCTACCCTGTCTTGTAAGTTCAGATCTGTCTTCGCAGCCAATCATCAGTCAGACTGGTAGTTAGCCTTTTCCTTTTTTGGGGATTGCTACACTTGTTGAAGCCTGCTAGAGACCACATAAGACTGCTGGAATGCTGGTTACCAGAGGTGTGTGAGGTGGAGGTAGACTTCTTAGCCTGAGGGTCTCGATACAACCTGGTTGAAGGGCCTTCCTCACTTGACCATGTAGCGTGCCGTCAAAATGGGTTTTCATGCTTCAATGATTTTGTATGGCTTATCGTACTCTCTTGTCAAGGTGTTTAGAGGTCACATGATAGTCTGGTGCCGGTAAAAATTTCAGGATTTTTAAACAGGAGTAATTTTTACACTTAATTTTTAGAGGTATGCCTAAATGTTTGCAAATCTTAGATTTGTTTCTCAGTGCAACAGTATAATGCAACGTTTTTACGGCTTTGATTATATTTTACATTAGTACTTTTCTAAATGTTTAATCATTTTTTAATTGTTACACGATTCCTCTTGAAATTTTATGGAGTTCTTAATTGAAGACTTTACTTTATGAACAATCGATGGACACATTTTTAATTAAGCTCAGCATATATTTCCAGAATTGTCGTCCACACAAATGTTTTGTTGTTGTTGCGTATTAGGAATATTTTTCATTCCGATTTAAATTTTCACACAGAACACACTTCGTTGTTTTTGTGATATTAATTGAATTAATTTGCTGTAGAAATTAAATAGGATTTTTAAAGACATCATCTCAAAAACCAGTGTGTGGGTTTTTATGGGGACTTATATTTTTGCATTATTTTGCATTGCAATTTTCTCGCTAGAAACAGACTATAATTGTTTTAGTAACATTAACTGTATTGTTTGATATTCCTGTTAAAATTTTTCAGGCTTCACAAAAACGTCATGATCAGTTTATAACGGAGGAAATTTCACTTTAATACAATAGGTATTTCTCATGATATCCTCTAGACAACGAGTACGTTCTGTTTCATTAGGTCGAGTTAAAAAAAAAACATGTTTCTCGTCTGGGTTTTTGAAAAAAAGGAGGAAGCGGGGCTTTTTATTTTTTTTTGTTTCAAGATGGCCGCCATATTAAAATTTCCTGCAACTGTTCGTGTTTCCACTGTTCAAAGACGCTTTTAAAATGAAAGATAAGTTAGACAAGAGAAATGAACATATTTACAGTGTCATTTAGACTTGTATTGGTCTACAATTTATTTTCCGATAAATTTGTGGACTCTTTCGGTGTTTTTGTACTGCATTTTTCAAAAATAAAAAATAATAAAAAAAAAATCCAGGTGGCCTCTAAAAAAGGAAGCGGGCGGGGACGAGAAACTTTTTTTTTTTTACTTTGCCATAATGGTTGATTTAATTCGCATTGTGCTTGTTTTCCTGCTGAATTAACACACTCTACAATATTAAATTTGACAATTCCTCTTCAAATTTGGGCTGTTTAAGATGCAAATTTTCGTGACGGGCATCGGCTGCGCTGTATTTTGGAGACATTCCAAGCAACAGGAGCGCATGTTTAGAACATTTTGCACACTACGCGCACATGGTGTTGAACACGCAGTTGTAATTTTCCTACAAAGATGGCGTCCTATGAGAGAGATCTATTGGAGAATCCGGGCCTCGTCATCACAACCAACCAACAAACAAAATTTCAATTGACTTGCATTCTGATTGTACTTTTTCCACTGAACACACTCCATTGTGTTTTGTTTTATTGTTGCAAGAAAAACTATTGCAATAAATTGTTACGCACTCCCTGTTATTCTAGATTTGTATCTGCACATGTGCACTTAATCAGGCCATAGAGCTATAGTAAATTATTAGAGAGCTTATTCATATTTGAATAGGATGAAGCTTGCTGGACGCATGCATCCATGTTTGTGCTTAAGTCATCAGAAATTAGCTTAAATGTTGTATGTTTATACATTTCAAAGCTGTTATTACAACTTTCATTTCATTCTGTGCTGCACGGATTTTAGAAATTGCTTTTTTTTTCATTGTAGATCACGTGCCTGCTCAGCCATATCTGTTATATTTTGGCAACACATTCAGCATACAAAACTCAAAAGAATTGATGTCATATTCGCGACGTGACTTGCACATTGATCTCGCTACATGTACATTCTTCAAGCACTGTGTTGAGCTCGGACAACTTTGAAGTGTGCAAGGGAATGAGGAGTAAATGCTCTCATAATTTACTACAGCTCTACGGAAATGAAATTTTAACTGATAAACTACTATTGAGACAACAGAGGTCAAAGGTCACCCAGGTTCACTGACCTTTAATGTTGTAATGTACATGTCAACAAAACATATCTTTAACTGACAGTTTCCAAGATCGGTTTCAATTAACTTCAAATATTTAACATTAGTAGCCTATCATCTTTTTACATACAAAATTAAGGCAACAAAGAAGCAAAGGATTTTTCAATTGTTTTACAGTAAGGGCAAAAAAAAAAAAATTAGTCAGTCTCTGGTCAGACCAAAGTTCCGGAATTGATGAGGCAACACGGCTTTTTTATTTTGCTTTTTTTTTTCGAAAAAAAAAGACAAGGTGGGATACTATTTTGCTTTTTTTTGGTGTCCTCATGTACATTGGTGTCCCCCATAATTTGCCTTGGTGCCCTTGATCATTTGCCTTGGTGCAATTTCCCATTTCTTGGTGCAATTTCCCATTCCTTGGTGCTCTTTGGTAAAAATTTTGAGGTGCGGCAATAGAAGGCGCTGTTGGAGCTACCGCAGAACATTTTGGAAAAAAAAAAGATTGACGCGCATGATTAAAATCGACACCCGCACTGACCAGAGACCTTGGCCTAACATAAATAAAGTTAAATACAAACTACTCCCAGTTTACAATAATCTTAAATTTCACAGAATTGATACAATTTTTTTTATTCCAAGGCCTAATTATTTCGTTTTCATTCTTTTCTCTGAATTATGCCGTCAGCAATTTTTTGGCAGGTAAGGCAACAAACCCACAGACATATAAATGCATAGACCGCCAGGTCCTATTCAAAACTACATGAGCATTTTATGATTTGCCTAGCGCCCGACTAAAATCAAAACTATGGGCAAATTCACCTCTCGGTATAGGATTTTACACACAGTTGACGAATTCCAGTCAAACATGCAAAAAAAAAAAAAATTGTGAAGTTAGTTTTTGATTGTAAACCAATCCCTAGTGAACTAAATATGATTTCCGTAGAATAAAAACAATACGGTACCAAACATTTTCTTGCAAAGTTTGAGTAATACAGCCTTTACCAAAATAATTTATGAACTGAATTTAAATGTATGTACTGTACAAAGCACGTTGGCGCATTGAGTGGCATCGCAGTTATGCGCGCTGTCAACAAACATTTTGCCCAATTATTAAATCACGGTTTCATGCGCACTACTGGCAGTCTATGTGTTTATATGTCTGTGAACAAACCAGATAGTATTATGGCGCCCTCTACTGGCCATTGAAGAAAAATTATTTAACTTAAATATCGCTTGTGGATGCTGCGGCTATGACGAACAGCGCCCTCTATAGGAATGGACAGAGAGGTGTTCTCATGTCACATGACTGACTGGCTCCTTGATGCTCCCCACACCTGGGAAAATAGAAGACAAAATTGCAAATTTAATAAATTTAACAAATTTAAATTAAAAAACATTAAAAGTCAAAAAATGAGGATTGTTTTGTTGGGTGACTGAGGGTAGTTGATCCCAACTACATGTAATGCTGTTGTGCAAATTTTAGTTCGGAACGTGTAGTTCATGTCAACAAACTTTTTTAGGGCCCCTCCCTGCAAAATAAAAAGTGGTATTCATGGGAATATTTAATTTTTTTGTTTCTGAATCAACACGCCTTAACACTTCTGTTTCTCTGGGAATATTTGAGTTTTCTGAGCAGCCACTTTAGACCTTTAATGTTTAACAACTTCAAAGATTGGGCATTCACTACATCAGGAACACATTGAACTTGGCCTGAAGAAGGATTAAGCAGTAAATAATCAAGGAATTTATGTTTAGAAATAAGGACAGATTTTCAGACTGTCTCCCAATTGCTGCAGCTAGCAATAATGCGCCGATATGAAAGCGGCTGATAGACACGTGTTACTGACGACCATATATGTGAGGCGTTCTGGCAAAATGAGACAGAACTGGGCAGAGGTTGAAATGAGGGTTTGCAGGTATTAGGAAAGAGAATAAACTTCTCCTTACAATACTGTTTGTTGCACTTCAATCGGACATTCCATTGACAAGTTATGGCTCACTTTAAAGTTTGCATTTATCGACATGTCAACAAAACAAAATACTAAGAAAAAGGCCTGTAAAGTTTCAAGTTTTGTATTCGTGAAAATGAAAGATGCCAATTATCTTTCCTTAAAAACTCTTGTATTCCATGATTTTTAGACTAAATGTTTTACTTACTTATAAGAATATCAATTAATCTGACAGTCGAAAAACAAAAATCACCCCCTATCATTTTGTTGCATTTTCCCTCCACTACGGCCTGTGCCCAGATCCGTCTCATTTTGCCAGAATGCCTCACATATATAGCCTGATAATATTGACACGGACTTAAGCTTTGAGACAGGACCCACCTTTGGATTGGTGCCATGAAGTTGCATGGTGGCTACAGGGTTCCAGACCGCTCCTGCCATTCCATGAGCTGTCACCCCTCCCCCATCTCCCATGGCCATGTTATGATGCATGCCAGACACTGGCTCATGTTGCTCACCAAACCGGCTGACAGGTGTCTGTAGGAAATAACCAGGGCAATAAAGTTAGAGCTCGCAAGCATGACGACATTTCAGTAATGTCTTGAGATACACAATTACATCTTGATGAGGTTTTGATTTCTCTATTTGATTTTCTCAATGATCGCTGTTCAGTTTGTGCTGGTCCCAAAGGGCCAGCCTACAGTCCTCTTTGTACCTCACGGATCGACTCACTGTCACTTGTGAGCTGGGCAGTGCTGTTGTATAGGATTACCCTGTACACCAATAAATGGGCTAAATCAATTGAATAGGACTGTGTGTACTCTGGAACCAACTTGAATTGCCTTGTGTTGTTGTAAACTGTTTTCAAGTCCTGAACTCATGCTGATTGAGTGTAGTGGGGGTGGTGGAGGGGTGAGATGCTTACTTGTTCATTTGGAAGCCATCCTCTCTTGACAGTGTCTTGATGGGGGAAGTTAGGCATCCTGTTAGCTGCTGTGCCTGGTATGTCCTCTAAGTTGCTACTTGGGATCCAGTCACCGCTGCTCCCTGGGGGAAAAATTCAGAAAAAAAACAAGAACTTTATTAAAAATCAGCCATTTATAGGAAAATATTCTCTTGAATGGATGACGACTAATATTTTGCTAATCAGCATGTCTTGTATGTCCATTGGGTTTAGAAATCACAGTTGTCTATTTTTAAATTCTATTTTCATGGCCTGAACTGAAATGTTATCGTATCCTTCTGAGTTGATGCTCCAGATATAGTCAGTTTTCATGCATCTAATGAAAGTGTGTGGTAAATGAAAACTGAGCTTACCTGGTGTATAAGCCCAGATGCTACTCCCTGGTGAACCAACAGGGTAACCCAGATCACTGACAGGTACAACAACAAAGCTGACAGGTGTCTTGCGTTGCCCTCAACTACGCTCATTGCTGATTGGAATTGGTAAGCGACGATCTTGACCAATGGCTGCTGGAGGCGGGGCCTGAGGCTGTTCAGTTGCCACGGTGACCGGTCTGGGCAAGGTGGTTGGTCAAATTTTATGAAGCAAGGCTCCAAGAGATGGAGTGAGCTGCTCAAAATGAAATTGAAATTATAAAAACTCAAAATTAATGAGAAAGATACATGTAATGTATGCCATAAATGATAGACTGTTTGGAAGGAACAAGTATGCACAGGTACATGTATTAACACCTCAAGATGAAACAAGTTTGGAATGACATGTACAATGCACATATGTATGGACACTGATGGTTGCAGGCCAGTAAATAGGCCCAACATTGCCTACGTCGGCCAAATCACGATTTGTACGCCCTCATATTTTTGCTATCATCATTTTGTGGGCGATGAAATTGAAGGTTTGTAAAAAAAAAAAGAAGAAGGGTGGAAGCCGTGAACAGGACTGCCAGCTTGTATTTCTGTGTAAATTGGATGAATTAAGCCCTAAAATTGCTCTACTTTGCAATGCAGCATAGGCATCAGTTTTCAAAATGGCGATGGGCTTCAGGATATACTTTCAGGGGTGCTCATCTTTGGATATAAATTTCTCACAAAAGTCAACTGATTACCAAAACAAAATTGAACACAAAATGAAAGTTAATGAAATCAGTTTTAATTTGAGAGTTGCGCGAGTATTTTCCCCTGAATTTTGGAAATGGGTGTATCTATCACTGGGGTCTATGGCAGTTTATTTAAGTAGTCTGCAACCTGATGGTGTACGTGTACATGTTCACGTATGCAAGTACAAAATTAACCTAACTCAGGTCCAAGGTACAAACTCAAGTGTAGAGTAAACATGTCAGCAAACAAACAAGATAATGAACTGTACATGACTCAGATCTGGGATCTGCCCACTCTAAAGGTTGCGACTATTCACACTCGTTGCATCAAAGTGGAACAATTCTAACAATTTCTCACAAAATTGGCTTTCAGTTATTTGGCTTCTAAATCCCTTCAAGGATGTCACACCTGGGAATAAACAGGAATCGAACCATGGGTCAATAGAAAAGAAAACAAGCAGTAGGATCTGAAGCAAAGATTCACCAGATTCAAACCAGACAGCCCTAACATGAAGCTTCCAAGACATTAAGTACATGTAGGATCACTAGTCATCAAATCTAGCTGATGCAGTGATTATTTCCAGACAACTTTCATTCTTACTTGACTTGAGACGTTTACCGGCCGTCATCTTCTTGACTCCTCATTGTCTTTCAGCCAACATTCTCTCAAGATCAATCTTAACTCGAAGTTGATTTTATTTTGGTTGGTTAAATGATAACTTCAAATAGACTGAAAATTCTTTATCAGTATTTATAGCACAAGATAAAAGAAATTTTAGTACATGTATGCGAAATATGAAAGAATTGAGGAAGAAATATTTTTATATATTTTTTATTTGATGGTTAAAAAAAACCTGGTGGGATTAAATGTATGGTGAGGTGTATGCGATTGAAATTTAACAAAGTACATCATGTACATGTAGATAGAATGCATGAACCTATCTAAGGTCCAAAACACAAGTGTCAAGTAAATATGTACACAGATAAGCAGATATACAGATTGTACGTGTGTGACGTACATGTACGTGTATGCAGCAAAACAAAAATCCCAAGCTCTATATATAAACCATGTCACGCGACTTGATGACGATGCTGTGTTTGCCCAGCGCCATCTTTACCAGAACCGCCCCATCAAAAGCCTCATACTGTTTGTGCTCTCTATGTCAAATTGGAAAGAAAATTTGTATTCAAGTGATTTGACTGGGAATTTAAAAGAGGTAAGGAAATATTGTCAATTATTTTGAGTGAGGTTAAAGGCTAGCTTTCAAGCGTAGGAATCACAGTTTGCTTTAGACTTCAAAACGTGAAGTGTACGCGCGAGTAACGTTCCAACAAAAACCCAATCAGTAATATTAGTGGAAAAAATATGGCGACTTGCATACAGTTTGTCCATTACAATATCTGAAATCATTTCAGAAGAGAATTAAAGATGAACTCTCAGTGCTCTTCAAAACTTGAACAGGAATTCCAAAAGGAAATAAAAGAGAGATTTTTTATTTGATATCTCGTTCAAAAGTGGATATCTTTTGTCTGGCTACAAAATAGCAATTCACAAGAAACGTTATACATGTACATGTACTTTTTATCCAGATGAAACTCGGACGGACATGTACATCTTTAATGTACATAGAAGTCACTTGTTTTGCTCAAGTTTTTTTCATTGCTCTTATAGTAACTGTTCCATTTTCTTTTTGAATACTATTTGAATACAGATAAAAATGGCTGCAGCTCTACAGAACATCAGCTCCCATCTTAACTGTGGCATCTGCCGAGATAGGTACACACAGCCCAAGATACTGGATTGCGTCCACAGCTTCTGCCAGAAATGTCTGGAGCAATACTACACTAGCAGGTATGGAGGTCAGCCTAAGATTCCTTGCCCTGTATGTCGTCGGGAGACGGTACTTCCAGAGACACGCATTCAAGGCCTAAAAACAAATTTCCATTTGATGGGAATAGTTGAGGAGGTCTCACTCCAAGAAAAGGTGGCTTGTTCAGAAAACACAAAGGTCATCTGTGAGATTTGTGATGAGGGAAATGAGGCTATGCATCGTTGCCTGGACTGTGCACAGAATATCTGCCCAAACTGTCGCAAGACACACTTGCGATTTGCTGCTACATCAAACCACACAGTGGCTACTTTGGAGGACATTCGTCAGGGGAAGGTAACAGTGAAAAAAACACCAGAAGAAGATGAGTCTAAATGCCACAAACACAAGGGGGAAGTGAAACGCTTTTACTGTGAGACATGTGAAGAGTTAATTTGCCGAGATTGTACTGTAGTAGACCACCGTGAACCGAAACATCACTACATTGACTCTGGAGAGGCTTCTTGCAAATACAAACAGTCACTGAAAGAAACGTTGCCAAATGTCACCACCGGCATAAAAATACTTCAAAAAGCTTTGGCCACTTCATCACAAGCTAAGCAGAAGTTTACACAGAACGTCACAAAGACTGTGAAAGCTGTGAAAGACAAAGCAGATAAAATGAGAGCTGAGATAACAACTCAAGAGACAAAGATGATTGAAGAAATCAAACAACTCCAGCAGGATCGCAGCAGAACATACGATAAGCATCAGGAAACAGTGACAATGATGCTACAAAGTAAACAACATTCCTTCAGTACAGCTCAGGATGTCATAAACACTGCATCTGACAGTGATCTGCTTTCCCTCTATCCTATCATCAGCAAAGACTTGAAATCACTCAAGAGTCAAAACACTCCCCAGATTGATCCCAAGCTTTCATATCTGAGCTTCGTCCCGGGTCAGAAGATTGGTGACATCAATCTGGGCAAGCTTGAGGTGGAAGCAGTCAAGTGGGAGATGTGTCGTGAGATTGGTAAAATGGGAAGTGGTCGAGGAGAGTTCAAGTTGGCTCGAGATATTACTGCTACTCAACCTGGTGAGATTGCTGTGGCAGACAGTTTGAACAGGCGAGTGGTCATCTGCAGCAATGAGGGACAACACAAGGGAACCATTCCCCTAAAATTACGTAAGTTTCTTTCATGCACATGTTCATCAACACAAACTTTCAATAATTGTGTGGAAATTATAAGTCAGTCTTCCATGTGCACATGCAGATCTGACAACTGAGAATGAAAACCAATAAAATACTGGCAAGGAATTGATGTGCTGGCAGTGCTCCCCAACATATTTGATTTTGTTCTCCCAACAAATATTCAGGGTTTTTTTACATGAAGGCCTATATCAAATTAAAAGTGATTTAAAGGGACACTACATCCTGGAAAGCACCCAATAGGGCTACAAAGAGCATTTAAAAGTAGGATATTATACAAATATATTGATGAGTGGCTCAGAGTGAAATAGGAGGAATATTATCGCAAGATAAAATCTGGACTTTAATTCGCCTCGTAAAATGGAAATGTCCAGATTTTACCAAGCGATATTATTCCTCCGATTTCACAATTTTAAGCCACTCAATATTTGTTTTATATACCTGACATATAGATCCTGACATATTTGATACATTGGAACCTTTATTTCAACATAAAATTGGTGGAAAATGTATTTCTCTTCCAAACCACCCCTTCACGAAAATGTTTGAACCTAACTCTGCAGCGCTGGCTCTTTGGAACAATACGCGATACGCTACACTGAACGCGCACACCAGCATGCATTTGCATACACATACCACATCATGGAACAAGAATGATCTTAACTGTTGAATAGTACAATGTATTTCCCATTCCTCATGGGCGAATGGGACTTTTTGAGCCCCGGTGTGAATGGGAGCAATAACGCATGTCACGTGATGTGAGTTCCACCAATCAAATGACAAGGATCTGTATGGCAATATAAAAACGTCTACACAACCATCCTTGACAAATTGGCCGTTTGTGTTATTCTTGCAAGAACAAATTTTTGGGGTCAAAATTTTGACTCTCAAAAATGTGTCATTCCGTGTCAATTCAACACGATTTTGGACCTGACTCTCACAGATTGAAACGATGTTTGGTGTGACAATTGACCTGTATGAGAAACCCCCAGAACTGATTTTTTTTGTAGTTTGTTAGATTCTGAGATACGGGTCAACAAACTTTTGACTAATTAGCATGACCTCCGAACTTTCAACACTTGTATCTCCAAAACTATAGCAAATACAAAGCCAAATTGTACATCATATTAAAGCGCTTTGATTGGCCTCCATTTCATTATATAAAACCAAAATCATACCGTGAAGCACAGAGAAAATGCGCTACGAAATGACCTTTGACCTTAAATTACCACACACAAAAACAATATGCTTCAAGTTTCTTTTTTTTTCACTTGTTAGTTTATGATGTAAGCACCAATCTTGGAACATTTTGTGAAAGGTGTCTTAAAGTCTGCAAGAACTAAATTGTTATTATACAGTTTGTTATTATACAATTATTTGATGACTAAAAATGGGGTTTATGTCAATTAATGCTTCATTTGAAAATTGAACAACCTTATTATTGCTAAAAAAAACAACAATACGGGTAAATATAAGACTAATCTATTTTGATGTTTGAACAATGAGAATAGCACAGAGAGTGCATCAACTTTATAAAAGACTTTGCAAAACTGTATCTCCAAGACACTGCAGTTATTCACAATTATACATGTATGGTGGTTGAAGACTGCACAATGTTCATGTAGGCCTATTAATTCTACATGACCAGGCTTTAAGGCACGCCATGTATTCATTGTTATATAGGTAGGTTATCATAGGTATTAGATTGAGAATATATAGTGATAGTGCATTTATATACTGTGCATATGTTACATTTGAGTTCTTCTTTACCCACAGATCCACGGGCAGTTGCAGCCATCCACAATCCTGAGCAACGCTTGCTTGTGTTGGAAGAGGGAAGCAAGTATGTCAAGGTGTTCAACATGAAGGACAACACTCTTGTAAAGCAGTTCCCAACGGTGCCCAAGCATCAGGTAGACAAGACAGAAATGAACCTACAGAGTCTAGCCGTGAAAAATAGTACATGTACAATCGTAGTGGGTGATATCAAGAGAATGGTGTGGACTGAACACAAACCCACGGATGGTGAGATCCTACGCACCATACCAGTGCAGACTCCACCTTGGTACCTGGCTGTTGATGACGACACTGATAGAGTTGTGATCAGTGGAGGTGACACAAAGAAAGTGGACATTGCTGATAGCAAAGGTAAAACAAATGCCACCATCCGGCCAAACATTAATGGTAAGCCAGTGAAGTGCCTTGGTGTATGCTGTGACAGCTCAGGCATCTACCTTGCAGTGCAACAAGGTGTGTTTGGCACTGGTCATATTCACCACTATGACCTAGATGGCAGGTTTCTTGATTGCCTGGCTCAGGGTCTGTGTGACCTATGTGGAATCACATTCACATCCAATGGCCAGCTGGCAGTGGCTGACAACATCTCAATCAAGATGTACAACAAGGTGTGATGTCATCCAACATGACATTGACTAGCAATCATCATCATCCCAACAGCAAATGTTGAGGATGAAATTGTCCAGTCATTACAGCACCAATCAACATTCATGTCCCACTCATATCACATCTCTCCTCAAAAAGCCAAACTGCCAGATCCCTCTGATGTGAATCATTTTACCATACAAATTCTTAAATAAACAGTGCATCAATTACATTATGTTACTATACACAGTCTTATATAAACAGTGTATTGACTAGTTACATTTGATTTGATTGGGATAATTTGTTTTAATCTTATATGTACAAGGACTGGAATCTGAATTAAATGGTAAATTTGAAAGGAGAGGGGAGTTTAGTGGGTGTTGAGGTGTTTGAATGTAATGACCCCCGCCTCCTCAACCCAACACCCCTCCCTCACCCAGTACATGGATCGCCATCAATCTATCCAATACTTACCAACTCTTTGTGATGTTTATGAAAACCCGGCTTTGTTGTGGCTTCCACTTCATCTCTGGCACTAGATTTCTAAGAATCCTACCACGTTCAAACTCAGTGAAAATGCACCAACCATCCATTGGCCTTGTGTGACAGGATTTGGTGTCTCTGAAGAAGAAAATGGACCAATATAAAGTTTACATCAGTGTACAAAAATCATGAAGCTAAAAGCCAAAGCCAGGGACTTAGCCAAGATTTCATAAACACAATTAAGATTCTTAACTTGTTGATGATGGAAGTTGCTGTATATATTCTGCTTGTACAACAAAGATTTGAGAAATGTTTAGGATCTTTTCATTCTTGAGATTCAACATTCTGCATCACTCAGTTCAAATATGCGCATATTAGTGTTCAAGATAAGCCTTTATTCACTCAGTTAATTTTGTGTTACTTTTTTGCAGTTTCATGTACAGATTTAATTAATAAAACGCTGCTTTCAAGTCAATTGACTTGTCCAAATACATCCTAAAGATGAGCGACAAAGCTCATTCTATTAATGTGGGTTCAGATCTTCATTCACAGAATGGAGAATTGTGTTGACAGTGTTCATGAGGTTTATATCTTGACCTCATCAAAGGCTTTTAGTTGTAGAAGCCAAAGCTAGAGACAAAGCCAAGATTTAGTAAACTCCCTGAGATTCTGAAATTTGTTCCTAATGGAAAATCTACATGTAATCCATTATGTATTTTTACTTTTAACAGAACTTTTGAGACAGTTTTACAACCACTTCATCCTTCAGATGCAACCATACTACAAGTATTTTGTGAAATACAGGTTGTTTAAGTTCATTTTAGGCATGTACTCTCACCACGATAGTTAGTACTCAGATTACTGTCCAATAAGCCTTTATTTACTCAGTTTTTATATTAATTTGTGCAGTTTCTGTTTACGCATTTGAATTTACGATACGCTTACATGTTTATTGAAGGTAATTCAGTCATTGAAATGTTTGCTAAAGATGAGTAAAAATTAATTTGGTTTCCTGTCTTAATTCACAGAATTAAGACTCATGTTTATAAGAATGTTTTTATCTTGATTTGAAATTGTGTTGACATTTTTTCTCAGACTGTCAAATGTCCCATCAGTTTGAATGATTAGAAATCAGCTCGACTGAAGCTGAATTTTCAGAAAGCTATACGGCCTCAGTTGCCTTGAAAAGGTCCCACACAAATAGCACATTTCTATTCCAAGAATTTTCCTTACAAACCAAACAGATTGCCTCATCTTTTCAAGAATTTAATTGCACACCTCTGTTTTCAGTGTTTTGGGATTTGTTGTTGCCATTTCAGAAAACTTGAAAGTGAAAAAAAAAATCACTTCAGTTTGGGTTTTAGCAAAAATTATTAATTTGTTTGCAAAGTATCAATGTTATTGTAAAAATTAAATGTTCAAGTAGACTTTTAGTTTTAAGTGTTTAACAATTCACCACTGTATGTAGATCTTAGTAGTCACAACAAGACTTTGTTAACTCCCTTTATGTATATTCTTCAATTTGTTCCTCATAGAACTAGAACTTACATCTACTCATTGTATTCTGTGCTATCTCTACATTACATTTTCTGATAATAGAAATTACAGCCTGTACAATTTTAATTATTCTGTTTTTCTGTTAACTTCACTTTCTAAAGCCATGTAAGATCATTTGCAATTACCCAGATATGCACCTACCGATTTAATGACAGAAACCTCAAAGTGAAGATAGGACTGGTAACAAATACCCTGTGAAATAATTCCACCTGAAATGGTATTGTCAGAAAACAAAACATTGAAGGTGGTTTCAAAATGGGGTGCCTACAGAATCCAGTTATGAGATCCAAAGACTTGTGCATTATGTTTTCTCCCAAATGTATAGTAGCCACTCAGCTAAGACTTGAACAGAATGCTTGTTATGCACCCTACTTAAAAGAGTGAGCACTTTTGTTGCTTTGGAGAAAAAAACCTGCAAACAGCAAATGATCCTATGTAAAATGTACCTGAAAGCATACACATCACTATGAAAGTTAATCAAGATTACTTTAAAAATTAGTCTTAATATTCACTCACTTTTGTTTAAAAAAAGGTTTAGTAGTTTTGTTTTCATTTTTGTAGTTTTTCCATAGAAATCAAGTTTACTGTTATTATTTCGAAGCTTTGTACATTTGCATTTTATATCAATGAAACACTAATGTGGATGATCATTTAGTCATCAAAATGTCTGCTAAAGATGAGCACAAATACTTATCCTATTAATTTGGTTTCCTGTCTGAATTCACAGAATAAAGACTTGTGTAAACTTTACTCCCAAGGGATTATCTTGATGGACATTTTTATTGTTTTTCTTTGAAGGTTAAACAAATTCTTCAAGTGTAAAAGGTTGCCAACCATTTTAAGAAATCTTCAAATCAATGGTATTGAATTTCAGGAAGCTATGGCCTCCGTTGCCTTGATTTTGGCCTGACTGCCTCCTTGAAATTTCCTTGCCTTTTCAAGAATTGAATTCCAGACCTCTGTTTTCATTGTTGTACACATTTGGTTGCCATTTCAACTTGAATTTAATGAAATAAATTATCCCCATCACTGCAGTTTTTAGTTTCAGCAAAGATTTGTTGATTTTCATGAAACCTTTCAAACTCTACTGTAATAAATTCTATTCAAATTTACTTGTAAAATCTGAGGTTTTGAAATGAGCAGAAATAAATGCATTCATCCTTTTTAGTCCCTGGGATAAGGCCATTTATTAGCATGCAATTGTATGATTCATCTTTTAAATATTACTTTGTTGAACTAAACCTTAGGACATCCGAAACTCTGACTTGCACAGCTGGTATTTGTGCCTTCCAGCTCAAACAACTGTAATTTCTGATGCTAAATTTGTGGAAAACAGATAAAATAATGTTTTGGGCCACTGTGCTCACCAAAAAACGGCTACATCGTGACCTGTTTTCTCTTTTTACCATCTTGATAGGATGGTAAACAAGCACAAACATGGTTGGTCCCTATTGTATCCGCCTTCGTGGTTTCTGAAGGCATATTGCTTTAAGGACACCCACGAAACTCTGTGACTTTAATACCCAATTTGGGGACATTTGTAATGAGTTCAAAACACATACACATGTAGTTATTCTTTATTCTAAACATGCCAGATAGCTTGGTGAACAAAGTGGATTTTCATTAGTCTTGCGGGAAAGGGTCCAAAAGTAGGCTTGCGACGATGGTTTCTCTCTATTAAAGTGAAGCCCTTTTCACACTAGACAAATCTCAGGGTTGATGTAGGGTTGAAAACATGCATCGTTTCACACTTAAAGACTTTCAACCCTGCGTCGACCTTGAGATTGATTTCGCCCCGGTTTGAACTCAAGCCTGTCCGACCAGGGTTGAGATTTTCAACCCGGGTTGAAATTCTGGCCAGGCCGGGTTCAAATAGTAGTAACTGAGAATGATAAGCTTGATTTGCCTGAAACAAGTGAGAAACAATGCGGGGTTGAACGTGGGGTTGAAATTTAAAAAAACTCACCCCAGGGCGGCACTGGGTTCACCCAGGGTTGATTTCAACCCAGGTTGAGAGGCTCTAGTGTGAAAAGGGCTTAAGATTTGGTTCTAGTTGCCCTATCTCCCCTCCCTCCAAAAACGTCTACCCCTCCCCCTCCCCATGAATGGGGCGACTTAAATTAATAAAAGATCATGTTCGGCTTACCAAGAAGTGACTGCTTGTAGTGACGGCCATCCCACACGGTTGCATCCTTTCCACACGACCGCCATACAGGACTGCTTTGGCTGATTCCCAATTTTCAGAGGTCAAATAACATCAGTCAAAGTCTGTTGGTTAACAAAAATCAGAGTCTAAATATTTCTTTGAGTGTTCCAACACAGCATGAAGTCGTTGAGTATTTTTCAATGAAATAATTGATTTGGATTACCCATAAAAAACCACAAATGAAATCAAGGCTGGAAAGGACGTCCGCGCACAAAGTTTAAAAAGAGAGGCCAAAGCATGTTTGCGCCGCTGCGATATAGCGGGTTGTTCCACTCAGATATAGGGGTGTTTCTACTGCGCCAAATACACAATGTATGTGCTAGTCTATATAATAGACCATGGCAATCTAAGCCATGCTCTATAATTTTTGAACAGATTTGCTGATTAGTTATGCAAGACAACTGCATCTTGACCTCTAGATTGTTACCAATCAGTGGGTGCTTTCTATATATCGGGTCTTCGGTCATTCACCCGTTGTCACGTCTAGACATGGATAAAATAAACTCAGCTATAGACACAGCAACAAAGGCCTTGGTCACGCGCTCCATATAGACCGCTTGCAGACGCGTTCGATAATTGACGCGCTAAGGTGAGCGACGCCATGTTATGGGACAAAATGTGCGTGAATTGATATACGCCTGTCCCACAACATGGCGTCGCGCGCCTTCGCGCGTCGATTATCGAACGCGTCTGCAAGCGGTCTATTGGGGAATGGACATGCGTTCTAATTGACTGTTTCATGCATTAGACTGCGAGTGCCTTCGGCGTGAACGCGCAACACATGAAACAGTCGTCTTGCTTTCCACGACAAGGCACCAGACGCAAATTTAACCAGCTGTACCTGGAAGTGGTGGTATGGTACCCACATACATGGCGCACACAGATTTTTGAAAAGAATGTCGCAACCTGACGCTCTTTCTCTATATATCAATTCAATGAAGGTCATTTGTTCCAAAAATGATGATAAGTGTTAAGGACATGAATCTGGGACTGAGAAATATTTCCAATTTTGTTAGGAAATACTTAGAAAATGTCCTTAGTCTCCATAGACATTGTACACAAGCGTGGAATTGGAAGTGGCTGCAGCCTCAGGTTGCAACATTTTTTCCAGATTTTTCAATTGTCATCACGTGATAAATTACAATTAATTTGCATAATTAACTACACACAGTCAGTCTATGGAGAGTTCAGTTTCTCAGTCCAGATTCATGTTTTTCAACCTTTAACTGACCTTATCTGATGACGTCGTCAGACCTCCTAAAACGACACGATCATGCCATGTGGCGGCGTTATAAGCTGCGTCGAATATGGAGGGTAGAGCTCGAGGATACACGTTATGAATTCAGGACGCAATTGACATTCTTTCGAAGGCTTCTAGTACTAAACTAGTTATCCTGTAAATGCTAATCAAAACTTTATGAGTCTGTGTGTAAAATCACGGCCAACAATAGCTCCACGGGCAAAACAATTTTTATCTGACACCACGACGATCGACGCCGCGTGCCGCATGCGCGACCGATGGTGCGATCGCGTCGAGGGATGTATCAAATACTGAACAACAGGTGGCGCAAGCTACATACTGTGGGCAACCAAATCGGAAAATACGTTCGCCGGCGCCCGGGGAAGGTTGTGAAGATAAATCTGATTTTCCCATTTTCGTTTTCCGTGCCTTTTTTTCTACAAAAGATATTTTAAAAACTCATCGAATTTACAATGAAATAATTATTAAACCGAATTTTTCCAAGCAAGTAAAATCCGTGGCAAGCATCTCTATAAAGAGCTCTGATAATAAATTCACGGTCTTGACGAAAGCATAAAAGTCACAAAATGATTGGCAATGATATTCTGATATGGCCGGGTATGGGTAAAGAAAACATCTGCAAATATCTTTAAAAGAACAATGACCAAACCTTTTGCGTGCCTCCAATGAGACTCATAGAACCCTCCCCTCTCCTTCAAGCAAGGGCGGATCCAGGGGGGGGGCCAAAGGGGGCCATGGCCCCCCCCCCCCCAAAACGAAATCAATTTTTTTTTTTTTTATGTGACATCGCAATAACGGCAGGCAATGAGTACACCACCATCTTTTCCTCAAAAAAAAACATTGGTTAAAGTGGTCAGAAATTGCTTCAGATCGCACCACAGAGCATCTAGAATCCAAAAATTTTTCGGGGCCCTTAAGCGGGCCCCGAACCCCACGCCGTAATTTTGTTGACCCACTTTTTGACATCGCAATAAAGGCAGGCAATGAGTACACCACCATGTTTTCCTCAAAAAAAACATTGGTTAAAGTGGTCAGAAATCGCCTCAGATCACACCACAGAGCATCTAGAATCCAAAAATTTTTCGGGGCCCTTAAGCGGGCCCCGAACCCCACGCCGTAATTTTTTTGACCCACTTTTTGGGGGAAACCAAAAAAATTTTTGGCCCCCCCCCAAAAAAAATTGTGTTCTGGATCCGCCCTTGCCTTCAAGGGACCCCAGTTACTACTGTTGGCTGTTGAGATGTCGCTTCTTTCTAATTAAAATTTACCAGCACGATCGATTCCATACAATCTCAGCACTGCAGTCATGAAACTGTCGTCGTGTGACCCGTACTGACGCACAATACAAAGCATTGACCTCTGACTCGGGCTTTTCCCGAAGAATTATGCAAATAGCTATTGTCATCCAAATTCCACACCTGGCACGCGACATGCCATATGCAAATTATGTATCTTGGCCAATCCCAGCCAACCCCAGAATATCCTGTTGACTTTCGACCAATCAGAACCGCTTTACACCTTTTTTCAGCGAACATTGAGACTAGTGCGTGTTAGTCCGCGGATAAAGAAAAATAGAACCCCATTTTCTGATAAAATGGTTTAATATGGTTTGATAGTTTCCTATTCAGCAGCATGATCCGGCCATTATATCGTTGTGATAAATAAAAACAAGTCATGACCCGAGACACAAGTAAAACATAAATAGAAAAAAAAATCATTTTGTGATGTGCGGCGAGATAAACAAGTGATAGGGTTTTTGAACCGCATTACGCCTTGAACCTAACCCGTCGTCTGCCCTTTCGCCCGCTCATCTGCTGCTTGCATTTCAAGATGGATGCCGGACATTTACACCTTGTGAGTATTTTTGTTTTAAACTTCCTTTCTTTTTTTCTGCGATAAAATATTTCCAAAATTGATGCCCATGAGAATAGTGACGATGTAAACTAATTCTATGTAACCCAGACGACTTTGAAGCTGTCGCCGTGTTCGTTTTGCTCCGTAATTCACGGCAACATTCGAGGTGAAATGAACTGAATCGCAAACGATACGAAATGAAACCACTAATGTAAAGAATTCAACCTCCACTACTTTCCGCGCACGAGGCAAACCTTAAAATTACAGGAGACCGAATTTCATAAGTTTATCGCGAGGAGTGCTAGGCCTGTATTCGTAAACAACCATAAAGACGTGGACATTATGAGGGAAAAGGTAAGCCTAATTCTTAAAGTCACTGTTTATAATTATACTTCATCAGTAACGGAAAGGGGATTTTACATGTAGGCCTACTGGACAAGAGAAACCTAACATTTTACCAGCCATGGGAAGTTGAAAAGGGGGAGCTTGCAAAGTGAGATTGAAACAATAACATTCGCCAAAGAATATCCAAAGAAAAATTGATTAAGATGCATATAATTAGGCACGTCACAAAATAATAAGGATATTTTCCAAGAAATTATGGAAATTAGTCTCAGGCTATGATGGACTGCATGGAGACAGATGTGATACAATACCCTTGCCAATTAAGGCAGTTACATCTTGGAAGAGAAATATAATAATTATTCCTTAAGACTGCGACGACGACTGAAATAGTTATGAGGAGCCATGATTAGATCAGGGATATCTAAAATCTAAGGTCAAGGGTCAGAGATCTGAGTATCCTGAATGCGATCTAAGATAAGAATCCCACCAGATCAATGGTCATGAACTTGTAGACTACAAGCCTACAAGCAAAAAAAATAATGTGACGTATGTAGTCATGACGTTAAAGAACACAATCACAATGTAATTACATCGGGCGTATGCATGTGTTTATTGCTCGTTAATGTAGGCATGTAAATTATCATGATTTTCTGTCATGTAAAATAAGTAGCCATATCTTTTTGAAAGACGTACATGACGTAGCAGTGACGTCGACTGATGTCACGATGAAGATCAAGGTCAAGATCACGATCCTCTGATCAGCGCACACAATAAGACCGTTACATGCTGCACACTGATGTATTTCGCGACTGAGGTCAACATCATGACAGACTTAGGGTGAAATTGATGAAATTATTACACCAATTAACGAAAACAAAACAACTTATATAGGCCAACTACTAGGAAGAATTTTGTCATCATGTAGGCCTAGAAGTAATATCAACAATTATTGCTGCCTAAATATTCCACATTAACTTTACAAATGCATGAGTAATCAAATTGATTGACTTGTTGTCAGAATATTATTGTATGCCACAGAATCAATGTTTTCTTTTCTTTTCGTTGCAGTGTTGATTCAGGCAGTGCTAGCTCCATGGTGCTAGTGATGACTTCAGATGATACATTTGAAGAGCGCCATCTTGCAGTAAAACATTGCCGAAGATGCAATGGCTTAGAATTTAAGAAATGGGACAAAAATGAGAGTTGACACTGACGGTTTGGAAATAAATGGTTGCGTTGCTGTCGGGATAAGGGTTTTGGTTTTTGGTGTCCAAAAACGGAAATGGAATATGGACTTTTTGTAATGGCTTTTGTTGTCGCTTTAATACAGGGGGATAAGATTATTTCAGTTGAATATTCAAGAAATTGAAAGATTAAGGACAAGTCGTGAAATTTCGCCTTTTTGGTCATTACTAGTAAAACAAGCCTAGGACTCAGTAAGACAAACAATTGTCGTTGCCAAAAATTACCAATGAAACTGAATATTTTCCCGGCCACTCTATTGCTTTAAGTTTAAGTCAATGGTGCACCCAGGATTTGGCTGGGGGGGGGGGGGGGGCTCACAATTGTTTTGCAATTTTGTTATAGAAGTTTGGATATTTTACAAATTTTTGCCCTAAATGTATGGGTGCAGAAAAATATTTTTATTGGTGGGAAAACTTTGACTTTCATGGCTGTCAATGTTTTTAACATTTAAAATGTAGGCCTATAGTCTTATTTCAAAGCCTAAAATTGGCATTGTCGAGACAATAATCACGTGGCAGTGACGTCGACTGATGTCATGATGAAGATCAAGGTCAAGATCACGATCCTCTGTCAGCGTAAGACACAATGAGACCGTTCCAGGCTGCACATGATGTATTTCGCGACTGAGGTCAACATCATGACAGACTTAGGGTGAAACTGATGAAATTATTACCAACGAAAACAAAACAACGTAATTGAGATAGGCCTACCGATTAGAAGAATTTTGTCGTCATATTTTTTTTTTTAAATCAACAATTATTGCTGACTTATTATTCCACGTTTACTTTGCAAATGAGTTGTCTTCTTCGAATTGTATAATATGTTTTCACAATGTATGGCAGAGATTCAAAGTTTTCTTTTCTATTCTGTTGATTCAGGCAACCGACTTCAGATGATTTGAAGAGCGCCATCTTGTGGTCGCACATTGCTGAAGATACAAACATGGCATAGAATCTAAATGACACTGACGGTTAGGAAATGAGATATTGTGGTTTTTTTTTTTTTTTTTTTGCAGTCGATGTCCGAAACAGAAAGTGGGTATGGGCTTCTTTGTTTTTTTCTTTTTGTCGCTTTTCGGCAGGTGAGCTTGTTTTGCTGTGAATATTTTTTACTGACAATGCAATTGGATGGCCATCAAAAAGAAATTAAGATGAAAGTCAAGACAAATATTTTTCTTTGAGAAACACCAGTGGTGCGGCGGCTTGTATGTTGAATTAATGTTTCGGCACTCGAAAAAAACACCATAAATTTAACATAAAATAAAACGTCATTAAGTAAAACATTCTTAATGGTTTGATCATTCTGCAAAGGAAACAAAAAACACTGAAATGTGTTTTCACATATCTTTATTGTTTTCCTACTCTTTTTGATATGTCAAATAATTATTTAAGACATTTAGGACCAGCAACAGACGCAATTTCAATTTAATGTAGAATTTGACACATGTATTTTTTAGTTATCGTGACCACATGATCGTCGGATTTGACCAGCGCCCCAAAAATGTCTTTCTTGTTTTGTTCTTATTTGTTTTCAAATGTTGACAACAATATTACGGCCCTATTAATTTGAGCAATTTGAAGTATATCTCAAATGTTAAACCTCTTACTAGCCATCTCTTAATCTCTCTCCTCAATAACATTGGTTTTAATCACTGTTTAATATTTAAAATAATTGGTTGTGATGTTCACTCGTTCTCTTGGCCAATGAAGAGTTTTGAACCTCCCCCCCCCTAAAAAAATATCAAGAAGATATTTTCTTATACTTAAAATTGTGTTTAAGTCAAAACTTGGGCGGGATTCGAACCCGTGCCTGGGCGCTCCAAAGTCTACGCCTTTGAAGCGCCCGGGCACGGGTTCGAATCCCGCAGGTGGCTTAGACCGCTAGGCCATCTGACTAAGAGGTTTAGCTACAGTAATAAGTAGATTATCTGGATTTGCGAGCCAAGGTGGGGGCGGGGCAGCGCGGGAGTGTGGGAGGGTGCGTGGACGATTGACAATGAGTGTTGGAGTAATGGTGTTAGGCTTCCGGACGCCTTGTACAAGTTGTAGTACAGGAAAATGGACGTGCCACAAAATATTCAAAATCTGCAATTTTATTTGGTATTGTTTCTTCAGAAACTCACCTTTGAAAATAGCTTTGCAAAAAGCATTTTATTTTGAAATTGAAAAATTACATGACGCAAAAGAGAAATATTAATTGATACTCATTTGTACCTTCAAAGGAAATTCTGTTTTGTTTGGAGAAAAGTCACTTTTTTGCCTAATTTAAATATATATATTTTAACATCTTTTGCATGAAACGATTGTTGACAAAAGTGTGGGGACGCCGCGCGCGCGCTCTGTCTGTTCCTTGCTCTCTGCTCTTTAAGTGCATGAAATATAGTATGAGATTTCCCCTGAATATTGAAAAGTAATGGTCTTTATGACATCACATATTAACCCAAATTTCAGCTTATCGCAAGATAATTTTATTGAGTTATTGTGCATACAACGATTGTTGTTTTCGCTCCAATAAAGTTGACTTTGGATTTGTTCTATAGGCCTATAGACTGTGATTGCGGATGGGCGCGTTTTTTCTCCGGTGTTGACAAATTTCTATAATATTTACGGGGAGAACAACAATTACTTTGTGTATTTTTTTTTCTATTTGTTATGACTCTCCTGGCTGTAATTGAATTCAATGTATCAGTTAATTTATGAGTAAGTGTGTCCGTCCATAATGCCTGTGTCGGTGGTGCATGTACAATGGTAAAATCCTTAACGGTGGTTGTAAAACGCGCCCTCCTTTGAAATAAAAATAAAATATTAGTGGGCAAAATTAAAAATGTGCGGAAATGTCCTTTCGCACCACTCTACTGCTTGAGAATTGTTTTGATATAAAGTGTTTGATGTTCCCTTTTAATTGTAATTTAATGGACCTCCTCTTGACATCACGACCAATTATTGAGGCAATGAGTTCATCACACTTGGCACTTTTGGAATTATCGTGCCTCAACCAGTGTGTTGTGTTTTAATTCGGATTGATTTGTCGCGCTGACACCACTCTACTGCTCTATGTGTATTATAATAGTGTTTGATGTTACCTGTTGAAATGTAATGCCCTTGTGACACAAGCCTATTAAAGTGTGAGGGTTCGCTCATACGCCCCCCCCCCCCCCCCCCCCCCCCCCCGCCCTGCAAACAGTTTGCAGGGCGGGGGTAGGCGAGCGAAATTTGAGGGTAGTTGTCTATAATAAATCTAATATGATAAAATAAATAGTGTGTTCATGAGAAAGCGTCGAACAATACAAATAATACGACCGAATAGTGTTAAATGTTTCTTTGAAAAATGCAATCCGAATTAATTTTGATATAAGCAACATAATCCTCTTAAGAAATATGTACCCGTTTCCTTTATTGAAAGTCGTTTGTTTCGATAAGTTTACCAGGGCATTACCCCATACATTTCACCTTCACACTTTTGTCAACTAAAGGTTTCTGCTGAAAAAGGGCGCGCTCGGCGCGCCTGACAAAATAGTAGTCTAGCACGGAGACAAATTTATGTGCCAAACGGTTTACTTTAATCCCCTCCCCCCCCCCCGCCGTTAATTGAGAAGGGCGCCCTCAGAATGTAAGATTTCTACGTCCAACTAGAACTAGAGAGGGCGCCTGTCCCCCGGTCGATCGTAAACAAAAGTCATGAAAGTTGGTGAAACTCCTGAAGTTCAGCAAGAAAGGAACGTTTTTAGAGAGACGTTACAACCTGACGCCACATTGTCTTCATACATCATCTCAATAAAGGTCAGTCATTGTAAAAATATTAAAAAGACATGAATCTAGGGCTGAAAATCATTTCCAATTTGGTTAAAAAATACTTTGAGAATCTTCTTGAATTTCCATAGACTTTGTGCACAAACGCTGAATACTGGCGGCACTGCATTCTTTCCTTTTTGTTTAGTATTTTGTGGAAAGACATGAAAGAGGGCCTGTCTTTGATTTATGAAGGAAATTATGGGGTGAAAGGGGACGACAATAACCAGAAAACAGGTTCAAAAACAAGATGGCAACTTTGAAAGCTTGATGCAATCATGGAGCTATAATGTAGGCTCAATGCTAATCATGCTGATTGGCTGATAATTTTTTTAAAATTTTGTTATTTATTAATATCGGCCAATCAGCATCAGGCTTTCATTCTGTCTGGCTTGCACGCTTGTGAGAAGTGCAACGTGCATGTCGTCTCTGATTGCAAAAAACAAGATAGGAAAGTCACATGAGTTTATAATCTGAAGACAAAAGACTGGCCCTCAAAAGTCACTTCGGTACTGAACAGTCATGCAAAAGTCAGTTTTGAACGGAACTCGTAAAAAATAGAGGTGTCCTGAAGATAACGATTACCCAAGTCTCAGTACACAATGTAAGCCCCATCGGAGTTACAACTGCGCGTGTGCACATCACATGACAACAATGGTCTGTGGATAAACAAAGCAGAAAGACTTCCATACCCCACCTGGACATCACTTGACACCCTGTGCACAAACCCTATGAGACTGGGCTGAACAATTCCAAGTGTTTCTCAGTAAATGCTTCAATATTTCCCTGCTAAATTGGACTTTTTAGGGCATTTTATCGGAAATATTAGTGATGTCCATGTATGGAACTCTTTCCTATTGTATTTGTAGTAAAAAAGAAGATGGAAAATTTTGTTTGCACAAAAGTTGCAGCATACACATGATCAATACAAACCATCTTAAACCATGGTGCTGTTAAACAATCAACATTTTGTATCTACTTCAAAACAAGAACTTTCTTTGATTTTGTTGGTACCCGCTATGATTTTGTATGCGTACGGTGAACTGTCCATCCACAGACCCTAATCCTTGTCATGTGATGTGCGCACATGCAGTTGTGCGAAGGACATTTACTATTAGGTCAGGGAGCCAGACGATGCTGTAACGATAGCAATTGCCGCAACAGTAGCCCCTGCATTATTTTTAACATTTGGACATGATCTGGCGATAGTACTTACATGGCGTATCAAATAATGAACATGTTTTTGTTGGCAAATGGTTGCAACCATTTGCCAACATAAAACATCAGATTTCACCCTCAAAACGGCCACAGAATAACTACATATGCCACCTAAGATACAATTACAGATCTATGATTTGAAGATCGAGATACTAAGCTTTACTTTCAATCTGGATGAAAAGTGAAATTTACCGTTTATCGGTGAGGGCTGCGTTGCGAATATCGCGTGGACGCCATTTTCAAAATTTTGCTCCCTTCTTTTTCAATTTCAGTAAAGTATGGCGACAGGCGTCCAACATGACCCGATGAAGCAGGCACAGTGCTTTTGGTCAATGCTGGATGAGCTTGCAGAGACCGATGAAGATGCATACAGGAAGTTCATGGCCACAAACCTCCAAAGAGGACAGCAAGAATTGACACCGGCCAAGCCATGGATGTGTGTCAAGACCCGTATCATGGTAGGTTCACTTAGGCTGACAATATGTGTGTGTTTACGGTAACATCCTAACAATTATCCAGGTTGATAGGTAGGAAAATTACTTTGTTTTTAACTTTCCTTGGGTTTATTTGTCAGTCTGTCATACTTTTACTTTTTTACTTTTTATCGGTAACCCACGTTAGGCCTACAAGAAAAGAACCTGGCAAATTTGAAACCCTGCATTGTGTAGGGTGGATTCTCTCACAGAAGATCCCTTGACATGAAATGACTATAAACTACAAAAAGAGGTCAACCACTTCACCCACAGATTCTGCTTGATTTTAATATTTTAAATTATCTAAATCTGAACACAGTTGAAATAAACTTCAATTTCAATACAAAATTGGTGGAAAATGTATTTCTCTCTTCCAAACTACCCCTTCACGAAATGTTTGAACCCAAGTCTACGGCGCACTCTCTTTGGAACAATACGAGCTACACGCAACGCGCACACCAGCATCCATTTGCACACAAATACCCAAAAAAAAAAGCTCCGGTTTCTGGTATGCGCGCGCGTCGCCGTAGCCATGCGCGTCGGCAAAATGAAAAAGTGTTTTTTTCAATGAAAGATGATGTCTCAAAACCGCCAAACTCACTGGTTTAACTGGAATCCTGCTGCTGCACAATTTTAACGTGTTTTTAGATTGGGTTATGGTCGAGTTTAAGCTAAATGTGGCAAAGATAGCAAAATTAGAAAGTAACATGTGACTCGCTCTCGGCCAATCAAGACACAGAATCTGTGGGTGAGGTGTTATAAATTCTTTTATATAACCGACATACAGATCCTAGTCATTCGACTGGTGGAACTCACATCACGTGACATTTGTTATTGCTCCTATTCACGCCGCCGCTCAAAAAGTACTATCCGCCCATGGGGAATGGGAAATACTATTCAACAGTTAGGATCATGACGCGGTGTATGCTTGTATGCACGTTCAGCGTTGCGCGTAGCGCGTATTGTTCCAAAGAGCAAGCGCTACAGCGTTGGATTCAAACATTTTCGTGAAGGGGTGGTTTCAAAGAGAGAAATACATTTTCCTCCAGTTTTGTATTGAAATAAAAGTTCAAATATCAAATGACAAGGATCTATATGTCAGTTATATAAAACAAATATTGAGTGGCTTTAAATTGAGAAATGGGAGGAATATTATCGCTCGGTCAAATCTGGACTTTTCCATTTCACTCGGCAAAAGTCCAGATTTTACCTCTTCTAAATCAACCTCGTCCCCAGGGTGTCGAGCAGTACGCGCCCACCACTGCCTGCTCTCTCACCCTGGTATCGGATCATTTGCATGTGCAAAATTTTTGAAAACGTATGCAAATTAGGAGTAGTCTGGTGCCTGCCTGTGCGTTACATTTGTGTTTGTTTTTGTATGCGGTGTCTGGGGTAAAACATAATCAATTCGTCGCAGCGCGAGCATGGTGTGAGTTACAAAAACATGATTTTATTTTAATTAAACTGTTACGATCTTAACGAGACAACATGTAGTATCACATTTCATATTAATATTAACAAACTGGAAAGGAAATGAATATTTTCGAGAAGGCGTGGACGAATGATCGTGAAAACATGTACTGCACGTTGTGAATACCAACACAAAGTACACGATATAAATCCATTTCTAGCCAATTGCGGTATCGAATCAGGATGCAGGAATGAAGTTTCCTATCCAGGGTTTACTATTGGAAACAACGTTGGAAATAAAGTAAGCACTGGGGACGAGGTTGCTTCCAAATATCTTCTCTAGGGCTATAAGAATCTATCTGCCAAGTTTGGTGTTTTGGACCAGTCAGTCACGATCTTGTCAAAAATTCGATCTAAGCCACCTGACTATTAATATTCACTGATCGTTGGGATTCACCTACAATAAACTTCACGGGATGTATGGTACTAGTCTATAATCCAAGACTTAGTAAGCTTGTCGATAATTAGTCGGTATTTACTTTTCGGATAAATGCAATGATATATGCCTTTAACAAACGATATTGGTAATATATGAGACATTTCGATGTACGGTACTTCATCACGGATAATTATGAGGGGGAAAAAAAGACATTTGGAGAGGACCAAGTGTGGGTAAAATAAACGGAAAAAAGTTTTGATGTGTTCGATGTTTCCCCTTAAATTCTGTTTGTGTCATTACTGACCTCTTTTCGGCTGGTTTTGTATGAGAAAACAAAACTGTAGAAAGGACCAAGTGTGGGTTAAATAAACGGAAATAAGTTTTGATGTGTTTGATGTTTCCCCTTAAATTCTGTTTGTATCATTACTGACCTCTTTGCGGCTGGTTTTGTATGAGAAAACAAAACTGTAGAAAAGACCAAGGGTGGGTTAAATAAATGGAAATAAGTTTTGATGTGTTTGATGTTTCCCCTTAAATTCTGTTTGTATCATTACTGACCTCTTTACGGCTGGTTTTGTATGAGAAAACAAAACTGTAGAAAGACCAAGGGTGGGTTAAATAAATGGAAATAAGTTTTGATGTGTTTGATGTTTCCCCTTAAATTCTGTTTGTATCATTACTGACCTCTTGGCGGCTGGCTTTGTATGAGAAAACAAAACTGTAGAAAGGACCAAGTGCATGGGTAAAATAAATGGAAATAAATTTGGATGTGTTTGATGTTTCCTCTTAAATTCCGTTCCTGTCATGTAACTAATTCCGTATGTCATGTAACTCCCATCTTTGCTGCTTTTTTTAAATAAGTATTATCGATACATGTCACATGCCTCCCCTCAGCCTTGAAGTGGCATCATCATCATTGAATTATGTCCACACATACGAGGAAACAAAATGAAAACAAATATCTGTACCGTATGTGCCAACTTGCACAGATGAGGGTGGACCAACTTCATTATGTACAGAGGCGTAGCCGGGGGGGGGGGGGGGGGGGGGGACAGCCCCCCATGAAATCTTGTCGCCCCCCAGTCGCGTTGCCCCCCCCCCCCCCCCACTGAGATTTTGAGTTTCTAAAAAATATATCATTGATCTACATGACGCCCCCCCCCCCCCATGATATGTTCCAGCCCTCCCCGCCCCCCTCATGAAAAATTCCTGGCTACGCCACTGATTATGTATTACACATTAGGGATTAACGATTTATGCAAATTAGGCACCCTTCCCAAAGAACTTCAGGTGTCACCCCTTCAAAATATCTTCTCTAAGGCTATAACAACATATTTGCTAAGTTTGTTGCTTTGGACCAGTTGGTCACGATCTTGTCAAATATTGGGTCTAAGCCACCTGACTAAAATAAGTTGAAGTTGTCTTGAATTATTCATTGTTTCAATACATTGTTTTGTTGTGGACCTGCAGTGTTTTGCTGTTGTGGGCTTATATAGCGACTCTTATTTGAAAACAAAAAGCCTTTTTAAATATTTTTTTGCACCCAATTAATAACAAAAAATGGAACTTGTAAACTATATCGGCTATAAAAATTCCCCCCCCCCACCCCCAATTCATCCCCTTTCATGAATCAACGATAGGCGAATGAACAGAACCTGTGCAAGAACATCAAAGAACTAAATCTGAAATCAAATTTATGTTTCGCGATAGACACACTACGTTGCTTTGGTCATTTCAACGATTCTTTTGGCGTCCCAACAAATGAGTCAGCCTGAGTATTTCTTCCATGAAAGTTGACATTCTAGACTTTTTTTTTTTTATTGGGGGGGTGTTAAATTATTGGTAATTACATTCATTGTTAAAAGTCTTCCCGCACAAACATTAATCCCACCCCCGGCCCACCGTTAATTAACAAGGGCGCCCTCAGAATATTAGATTTCTACGTGAACTAGAGAGGGCGCCCGCCAATGCAACTTTTCGAGACAAAAAAGAGGCCGGATTGTCTACAGGCCATACAAGAGTTGTTGTCACCGATTTCACGCCAAAAGTAAGAACAAACGAACATAACAAAGTTTTAGCAGTGACTGACAAAAAGTGACATGCACACTCAGTGTGACTGCTGGCGTCTGTTGCTTTAGTCATGTTAGTTAAGGAGTCCGGCGAATTTCATTTTGTATCACTGAGAAGAGACTTACACAACAAAATCAATGGCGTTTGAATCAGCTTCATAGGTGTTTGCATTTTGGAGATACAACAATTTAAGTGGCCGAATTTGGAGTTTTTCAATTCAGTAAGATTTACATTATGTACTTTAGTTTTAGCATCTTATAAATCTTAGATAGTGGATATTTTGCCGGAGGTAATGACGGCAAACTAACGTTTACTAAAGGTTTGCCGGCGGCAATCCATATCAACTCCAAATAAATATGTGCTCGGTCGGTATTTATCACTCTGTTTAATACCGCTTAGAGTCTGGGTGCTGATATTTACCCTCGCCTCTGGCTCGGGTAATTTTCAGCACCCAGACTCTAAGCGGTATTAAACAGAGTGATAAAAACCTCTCGAGCACACATTTATTCCCTTATTAAATAAGTAATAATTTGATTTTTGAATCTGCTTTGTATAGTCTCTCATTGCCAATAAGTTATGATTTTGTTCATATGTACATTGTATTGCCCTTATTATAGAGTTTACTCCAGTGCGTGGTCATAGAATAGGGCTAGTGCAAACTGTATGGCGATACAGTGTTTCTATAGCGAGTTACAGCCTTTGAAGTTTCAAAGTTCCTAGACATTTCTGCCGGGTATTTTGCTGTGACAGGCAGATCTAAGTAAAGTTCCGGTTGTTTACTTCTATTCACCAAGTTGAACTCGACATACTGACTGTATTCTCAACTGCCTAACTTTGCCTTCTACATGTACAAAGGCGATGCTGAAATGCAGGTACCCGGATGTACACATGTCAGCTGAGTCACGTGTGTCAATGAGAGAGCCCTTTCAGAATCCTGTTTGGAAGCTTGAGAGTGCACATGTACTTCTTGAAGCTTTGTTGATGCTGATTGTGTTTAGGCCGCATCTCGATAATGAATGCCCGCAGTCTGCAGTTGTCAAGGAGGGCGGGAATCTGCAGACTGGATGGGTGTGTGCGTTCAAGCACGGCAACTTTAATGAGCTAGACCAGCCGTGCGCTTTTGTTATCTCAACAATGATGCAATGAATAAACATGAGTCACCATAGACCTCATGAATACACACGGTCGGTACGCAGAAAGACGTTCCGTTTGTTATCAAGCAAAACATTGTACATGATTGTGTGAGCAGGAACCGGCCTTTTTAAATACAATTGAATATAATTGACACTAAATAGCATGACCGGGTACAACCACTCATTACTGAATGACCAATTTCTTTGTTTGCCTTGTTTCACCAATTTCAGTAAAGTATGGCGACAGGCGTCCAACATGACCTGATGAAGCAGGCACAGTGCTTTTGGTCAATGCTGGATGAGCTTGCAGAGACCGATGAAGATGCATACAGGAAGTTCATGGCCACAAACCTCCAAAGAGGACAGCAAGAATTGACACTGGCCAAGCCATGGATGTGTGTCAAGACCCGTATCATGGTAGGTTCACTTAATCCCCAAATATGTGTGCGTTTACTCTAACATCCTAACAATTATCCAGGTTGGTACAATGTAGGTAGGAAAATTACTGTGTTTTTAACTTTCCCTAGGTTTATTTGTCAGTCTGTCATACTTCTACTTGCCAATAACTTTTTTATCGGTCACCCATGATACAAGACACGTATGTTTCAGCCGCTCATTTAGTTTGCGCGCATGCGCACTCAAAATATGAAATACAGATAATCAGCAAAAATGGATATCTGCAGTCGCAGTTTGACCCAGTGGAAGTATCGGTCAACATCACGCTCGAATTAAAGTACTTTGATAAATTTTTCTTTCCACGTGGACAGGAATCTAAGGCAATCAAAGTCACTTTTGCAAACCTTAGCGCAAAAAAACAGAGAGTATTTGATGCATTTTTTTTGTTTTTCAGTGTCGTGTAGTACGAAAGTATTGGGTCACAAAGTCAAAACAGGCGACAGTTTAGGGGATAGTTTTTCAGTTTTGCCGAGTAATTGTAAACTTGGCTTCACTGAAAAATGGTAAAGGATGCCACGGAAAGTGCGATGTATAAATATCATTTAAGTCGGAAACCGTTTCAATGAGAAAAGTAAGGTCTCACGTTATACGTTTTTTTTCGTTGAATGTAACGTTATTGTGCACGTACCTGTACTGTACACAGACCCTGGAATCTGGCCCGTAAACATGGCTAGCCAGGTGCCGCGGCGCTCTGTTTGTAATCTTTCGACGCGTTGGAAATGTATACATTTAACTGAAACGATTTACAACTGACTGGTTCCCGGCCCTGAAATGGGACCAGTTTATTTGTGCACGAAGCTTTCAAAATGGGTTTACTCGAAAAATGACGATTTTTATAAGCTACAGGTTTCCTTCTTACATCAAATCACCTGTAAAATGATAATAATCTATCATCCTTTCCGATGGTACTACGGCTGATCTAAGGTAAACCCGGCAAATTTTCCAAATGTGTAAACCAAACTCAAAAGCGAACGATGTTTTTCCTTTTCATTTTGTACGTTTTTTTCCATAATTATTGGGTTTTTTTTATATATTTGAAAAGGTTTTTAGTACCATACCACACTGTGGAGACAATTTATATCTTTGTTCACTTGGTCTACTGATAATTTTTGGTTTGAATCATCTTTTAAGTACGTTTGAGAAGGATAAAAAAAGACATGAAAACCAGACAATCGTTCAGTGTGTCGTCTGCTACTGCTGTTTGCAAGCTGACGATGCGGAGGAAACCATTGCGCATGCGTGAGAAGACAACTAAATGCACGCACGGTCTATGGGGCTGAAACATACGTGAAGAAAAGAACATGGCAAATTTGAAAACCCTGCATTGTGTAGGGTGGATTCTCTCACAGAAGATCCCTTGCCATGAAATGACTATAAACTACAAAAAGAGGTCAACAAATTAACATTCTGTTGGTTTGCTAATAAGTTTGTTTAAGCTCTGGCAGGAGCTTCTACATGTCACTTGGTGGTTGGTCAGTCTGTCTGTCTGTCTGTCTTTCAGTCGGTCGGTCTGTCTGTCTTTCGGTCGGTTGGTCGGTCTGTTCCCAAAAATTGACCAAAATTATTTCACCCAAAAAATTGACTAATTGACCAAATGCCATGCCGTGGTCATAAAATGCACTCTTGCCAAAAGTTTTCAGAACACCGGTTTTGTTTCAATCGATGCGCATGCATGTTAATTTTGCATTAAGTCTGTCCCCGAAAATTGATCAAAATAAGCCCCTAAGTTTCCCATAAAAAAATAACTTCCAAATTGAAATTAAAAAAAGGCGAATAAAATACTTAACAAAAACTGTTTGTAACAATTTGGAAAGATGTTTATAAAAAAAGTTTGTAAATGGAGGCAAAGTATGTGCAGTAATGTTATAGTCACGTAGTATTTTGTGTAGCGGTTGGACAGTGTCCAGAAGGAGGAAATGTCAAAATTGACCAAATGTGTGGTCACATTTGTTGCCAGAGTTTGCACTTGCACTTGTTATTGGTAACGCAGCAGGGGTGGATCCAGGAATTATTACATAATGCTGAACTGTTCGGTTTACGTGTTCTGATTCTCCAGGACTGTATGACAATCTCGATTGTTTCCTCTGATAGTCCTTTCTCAATGAGAGAATTCCTGACAAGTGTGCCACACACAGCACTAGGCTGGTTGCTAGTGGATGTTGACACTGTGGGTCGTGAGGTAGACGCAGAAGTGTCTTGGTCTTGGTCAGTCCAACTGGCTCTGTTGTCAATAGACGTAGTAGCCGTGGAAACCAATGCTGTGTTTTCCAGAAGGGGAGGATGAGCACTCCTGGCCATTTCTATCTTCTGTAAGATTCTGTCGATCAGAGAAAATGGCGGAAAACAATCAATTAGTTCATTTCCCCATGGCACTGAAAGGCATCACAAGTTCCTGCCTGTGGATCTGGCAGCTAAGATACGAAAGATTTGTTTTGGCAGTTTATTCTAGAAGCAAACAGATCTACGATCGGTTTAAAATCCCAAAAGACATAATGTGGCAAAACACATGAAGGTTGAGTTGCCTCTCAAGATTGTCATTAAATGACTGTGATAAGGAATCAGCCATGGTGTTATTGACACCTGGAATATGATGTGAAATTAGCCATAGTCATGTTCTACACACCACAGCCATATTCTCTTAGTCAACTGATTTAGTTTCAATGAATGGCATCCATCCATATGATTTTACTGCAGTGGTATCCAGTGATATACGGATATGGTTTTATACCGTCCACGTGTGATACAAACGAACAAATAGCCACACTAGAAAACAGCCAACAGCTCAAGGTGCCGTAATTGATATGAAATTTGGTTTCATTTGCAGTCCATCTTCCATTAGTTTTAAGATTAATTGCGAGGCATTAGGCTCCCCATGCACTATTGGATGCATCTGTTTCTATTGCAAGTTACTCACTTGAGGCAAAATAGAACGAGACGCAGCGGGAAAATTGGAAACCCACCACTGTAATTCAATTCTTGCTTCTTTATCAATGACATTTTTGTGTGAAAATTCCTCCGTTTTCCTTAACCCTAAAAGGGAGGGGAGGGGCAGAATCCACCCCCCGCCCCCTTTAAAGGTAGAGTCCATCATTTGTAATTTGTGCATTTTGTTCGTTTGAAGCAACAAAAGAGTTCAAAATCTAATGAAGGATACTGAGCAACTAACCCGATGAAGTTTCAGCTAAGCTTCAGCTGTACATTCCGAGAAAAACAGCATTCTAAGATCTCAATTTCAAATCAAAAGTTGCTGAATCATGTTTTGAATTGTTTTGAATTGCAACTATACGCGACGTCGCGCACTGATCCGATGAATTATAACAACCGCGTGCGCGTGTGCGTCGTTCGAATACTTGTGCGCGCTGCGCTGAATAACAAAACGAACTACTAATTTAAATTTTCCTACGGTGCTTCTTAAGAATCACCGTTGGAAATGCCTTCTTTCGTTGATTACTTCAAAATGACAGCTTCCCAGAAAGAATAATTTCACAGGGAGTTTAGTCTCCTTACTATCTTTCAACCAAGTTAGTTTTTCAACAATAATTACGCCAGTTACTTTTCGGATGGCTGCAAATGATGGACTCTACCTTTAACTTTTTCCGCGATAGCCTTGAAAAAAAATGTTTTCCATGACCCGAGCTGTTATGACTTTTTAGCCTCGAGCCTTGAGCATCTTTTAATACCAAAAACATAAAAATCGGACGACGGGTTAAGTGCTGCATCTAATACTGATTTTAAGGTTCCTGTAAGACAAGGGACCCAATTGTACTCCTGGAAAGCAAGAAACCAGTTTCCAAATTACTTGAGCGACAAACTGCACAGTCGGCCATGTTTGGGTAACTAAGGAACGACATAACTTCACAATTGGTTCAATAGGAAGCCAGACTTCCATTTCATTTGAATTGATGGTGAACCCTAGAAACTGCAATTCATGTGTTGGGTTCAAGCAAGATTTTTACAATATTATAGGGTATTTATTTGAGGGTTAAAAAACAAAAGTGGATTAGTGGAATTAAATGGATGCTGAGGTGTATGCCATTGAAATTCAACAAAGTGCATTTTGTATGTAGATAGAATGCATGAACCTACGGTATCCTAAGGTCCAAAACTCAAGTGTGAAATAAATATGTACACAGATGCTGACTGCTGAGGTGTGTGCGATTGAAATGTAACAAAGTACACCTGTAGATAGAACCAGTGCATGGAGCTACCTGTCTCTAAGGTCCAAATTAAAACTCAAGTGTCAAGTAAATATGTACACAGATAAACCGATATACAGACTGTCCATGTGTGACGTACATGTACATGTATGCAGCAAAACAAAAATCCCAAGCTCTAAATATAAACCATGTCACGCGACTTGATGACGATGCTGTGTTTGCCCAGCGCCATCTTTACCAAATCCGCCCCATCAAAAGCCTCAACTGTTTGTGCGCTTTACATGAAAGTAGAAAACTTTGTCTTCAGGTGATTTGATTGGGAATTTAAAAGAGGTAAGAAAATATGGTCAGTTACTTTGAATGAGGTTAAATGCTAGCTTACAAACGTAGGAATCACAGTTTATTTTAGACTGCAAAATGTGAAGTGTACATACATTAAGTAATGTTCCAACAAAAACTACATGCGGTAATAAGATCGGGCAGACTACAGTGATCTATATAAGACATTTTGTCCATTTCAATATTTCAGAAGATAATTAAAGATGTACTGAATAATTCTTCAAAATTTGAACAAGAATTTCAAAAAGAAACCAGAGGTCTTTTTATGTCTGTTTACAAACGGAGTGTAGGTTTCTCCCCGCATTACAATTTTTTTATGAGGTTTTTTTTGGGTGGGTGGGGGGGGGGGGGGGGGGCAATGCGTAGTCATGTAATTGATATGTCATTGTATTAAATGCATTTACTTTAAAGTTTTGCTGGTAGCCATAAAGAACAGTTAAAACATTTATTAAGAATAAGTTGATGACGTCATCTTCACGTCATTTCGAATTGTGCATACTAGTAACATTATCTACCTTCCACCAAGTTCATGACAATCGGACCTACACTGTTGTTTCTTTTAGAACTTCACATTTTTCATGATGGTACCTGTTCATACATGTATCTATGACCGAACAAACCTATTACCAAAAGATTTTTGAAATTAGCATTTTGTGTTGGGGAGATATGGTGATAATCTTCAAAATTCGAAGAAATCATATATAAAATCATGTGATGATGGCACCATAACGTCATCTTTTTTCATCTATAAAACATTCCTATCTTATTGACAAACACAGTTCAATGCTACATTCATGATGAAAAACGCACATTGACGATGACGTCACATGGCCCATGATGACGTCATGCTAACGGTACTTGTCAATGCAAAAGTGATCTTATTCTGTGTCGATTCGGAGTCAATCTGAGCAAAGACAGAGTCCAATTTTGTGAGTAGAATCTCCCAAATCTGCATGGATTTTCAAATTTTTGACAAAATCTTGACCAACTGGTCCAAAGCACCAAACTTGGCAGATTGATTCTTATAGCCCTAGAGAAGATACTTAGAAGAAGTGACACCTACAATTCTTTTGGGAAGGATGCATAATTTGCATAAATCGTAAATAGCCGCCATATATTTTCCCCAAATTTTGGAATATGTTTATTTTAAAGTTTTTTTTTAAGTATATTTTTTACACGGATATGGAGTGGAATTGAGTTGGGAGGGGCGCAAGAGGGCGCTATTTTCCCTTTAAAAAAATCCTCCCTTTAAAAAAATTTTTCCTCCAGTACTTACTGCGTCAATTGAATGGGAAAGATGAAAAACAGTCCAAAGTAGGTCACCTGGAGTGGCTACGCGGAAACAGGGATACGGAGTGGGAAGTGCATGCGTATTGTGGATGAGCAGTCAAGCGTGACTTTGTATCCTCATACCCGGCTACAAGGTTGGATAGATGAGTGGTGGTCACAAAATAACTACATGTAGATAGGCCCTACACAACCTGAGATACAAGTACAGATCGATGGTTAAGATCGAGGTACGTGGTTAACTTGCGATGCGGATGAAAAGTGAAATTTCCCGTTCAATTCCAGGAGCTCCCCTTGTGTTCATGGACACTTTTAACTTCTGACTTGTTTGAACATTTACTGCGCGGTCATGCGCAGTCACGGTTACATGTATGTCCCCCCCCCCCCATCCCCCCCCCCCCCCCCACTTTTTAAAGTTGGGGTATCAAATCATTTGCCCCACCCCATCACTCGTCCCCGAATAAAACTTGTAGGCCTGCATTTGATTTTATAGCTCAGAATAGCTGATTTAATTACTCCGAACTCGAAAATGAAAATCTTTTGCTGAAACGAATTTGTTAACATCAAGTAATTGCCTCAGATTTTCCGGTTTGTCCTCCCCCCCCCCCCACCCACTTTTGAGAAGCGATTGATGCCCTTGCCAGTGCGTAAAGTCTTTCGAATCGGAACAATATTTATTAACAATTGGCCAATTGAATCATTTAAGTGCAGATTTTTCCTGTTGTCTTATATACATGTAGCTTGTAATATTTAACTGAGCACTGCAATAAGAACACGGACCAACCAATCGACTGAATGACAGATCGACCGACTGACACAGTGACCAACCGTTTGACCAATTGACCGACCGACCGACCGACCAACAGCATCCCTTATGTGATTTTACCTGATTGTACTTTGCACTCACAGGATTATGCCGGGTTGAACTACCGAAGCTGTCTGAATTAAACTGTGCCCACGTACATCACCAGCGCTAAATGGCAGAACCACCGGCTAAGAGAGCCCGAAGACGAAATGAGACACAAACTAACCCTGGTCCAAGCACAGCACCAGACAGTCAGCAGCTGCAACCCAACAACTACCGGCTGGTAACAAACAACCTTCCCAGCAGGAACCAACACCACAACCACCGCCACAACTACAGCCAAGACCGGGTGAGACACAAACTAACCCTGGTCCAAGCACAGCTGCGACCCAACAACTACCGACTGATGGAGTGAGGGGTGATCAACAAACGACTCAGTCTGGCAGCGGACATCCTTCCCAGCAGGAACCAATGCCACAACCACCACCGCAACTACAGACAAGACCGGGTGAGACACAAACTAACCCTGGTCCAAGCACAGCTGCGACCCAACAACTACCAACTGATGGAGTGAGGGGTGATCAACAAACGACTCAGTCTGGCAGCAGACAGCCTTCCCAGCAGGAACCAATGCCACAACCACCACCGCAACTACAGACAAGACCGGGTGAGACACAAACTAACCCTGGTCCAAGCACAGCTGCGACCCAACAACTACCGACTGATGGAGTGAGGGGTGATCAACAACGACTCAGTCTGGCAGCAGACATCCTTCCCAGCAGGAACCAACACAACAATCACCGCCACAACCACAGCCAGGACCGGGTGAGACACAAACATTTGTCTGTAAACCCTGCATGTTATGACTCCCCTGGCCCTGATATCGGTTCCCTGACAGCATCCTTCCCCTCCATCCTTTGCATTGACGCTATTAGGCACAATATATAGCATAGCAGAGACCCTGAAACAAGGGGGACGGCACTGGTGACCTGCCCCCCCCCCTCACCCCATGGTGAATTACTCCGAGCATCCGTACTACACAATACCACAACCAATAGTGACTCATTACAATTCTTCTAACAGTTAACGCTTAAATCCTTGCCACCTAAAAGAAATAAAGATCCACCCCGTTGAAGTTTGGACCGATGTTCAAAACCGAGGGCCTCAGTACTGAAAGAAATAAAAAAGAAAAGGTCCTCCGACCTGGAAATGCAAACGAGGATCACTCAGAGAGGATACGGCTTTTTGTTACAAATATTCAAATGAACCACAAAGGGAAACTGACTAGGTGCATTATAATCAGGTTATTATTATTAACTTTGGGTTTATCTCTTTTCCCCAAAATCGTGCACTTGTGTTTTCAAAACATTTAGTTATGATAAATTTTAATCGGATTATATATTTCATTGAACTCTGTGTTGTGTATCAATTATTTCTATTTAGAAAAATAAATGGCAAAAAGGAACACTTAAATCGAAAATGAAAACACATTTTATTTATCCATTCTGGACAATGGCAGCACCTTACGCTGAGAGGTGTCCAGTAAAATACGACCCACGTGTGCGGCATACACACGGTCAAAACTATTAATAGACAGCAGCTATCAAACATTTCCTGACCTTGTTAAATTACCATTTTTTTTATGCTGGTAAAAGCAGGTATATATAAAAAAAAATCACTCTAGAAAGATGTAAACTGAAGTAAATGAATTATTATGTCCTGTGTCCTTTTTCAATTTGTCAGTACCTCTTTTCACAATGCAGTGGTATTTACACTGTAAAGGCAAATGCATAAAACATTTCATACTATTTTATTTCAGAAAGAAAATTGGATGTTGAGCCTCCCCACGCTTCTGGTGAGTGACACAGCCTTTTTTCAGACAATGGATTTGTCATAGTTTCCAGATTTAATGGTCGTGTCTCGCTTGGAGGCATTCATTCCAGCTTGCAGTAATAAAAAGTGTTTAAAGCTGGCAGTGGTTGGGTTGGAGACCAACCTGTTTTTCATTTTTTTTTTTCCATTTTAGAAGGGACATTTTCACCAGCAGTTGAAGACATTCCTGCTTCCATCCTCTGATGGGTCAGCATATTTCTAATTTTGATCTGAGACACAGCAATCAATCGCAATCAGAATGAGTTTTTAATTTTATTAGTTTTTTCGGTGCTTTCTGCCCAGCAACGTTGACGAAAAAGTCGTATCTCTTTTTTTTATATTTGAATTTTTTTTAAGCAGATTGGTTAAGAAATTCACTAAAATAAGATTTGAACAGAGAACCTCTGAATCACCGTTCCAGTGCTCTATTAAAGCTATAGTCCATCATTTGTAATTTGTGCATTTTGTTCGTTTGAAGCAACAAAAGTGTTCAAATTCTAATGAAGGATACTGAACAACTTACTTGATGAAGTTTCAGCTCAGCTTCAGCTTTATATTCTGAGAAAAAACAGCATTCTAGGATTTCAATTTCAAATCAAAAGTTGCTAAATCATGTTTCAAATTGTTTTGAATAGCAGCTTGACGCGATGTCGCGCACTGATCCGACGAATTATAGCAACCGCGCACGCCTTTGCGTCGTTCCAATGCTGGTCTTAGGTTTAACGGGGGATTATACTGTAGAAAACTCTGTCCTTTTATGTGTTACGTGCGATCGACTTTATTTTCAGATAATGTCATGAGAGCCCAGGAAGCAGACGCCAACGAGCGCGCAGAGAAGCGTAAAGCAGAGGCGACGGTTCTGAAAGATCAGGGGAACCAAGCATTCAAGAAGAGCGATTACACACGAGCCGTTAAACTCTACACGCAGGGCCTGGAACGTCTAAAAGACTTTGTGGTGCTGTACACCAACAGGGCACAGGTAAGCAAGTCAAGTCAAGTCTGTTATGAGCTAGTCCGAGTAACTAGGACTCCACGGATCGCTTTTTTAACATTTGGACATGGTCGGGCAATAATGTTAAGAAAGCGATCTGTTGAGTCCTAGTTACTCGGACTAGTTTTAATATGAGCCAAGATCTCCCGTATTCATGAAATGACTGAGAATATTTCTATTCCCCCCTGGATCAGTCCATTGTAGGTTGCTCCCCAAGTAATACCCTTACCCATTTACATGTGTACTCCTGGTGGAGAGAGGCAAGTGGAGGTGAAGTGGCTTGCCCAAGGACACACCATATGACCAGCAGCTGGATTGGACCCCTTACCCTCTGATCATGAGTCACTATAACCCTAACCACTACGCCACACTCCCCCAAAGGTAGACAAATGAACAATTGTTGACTGCTGTGATGTGGGATATGACACCTGAGAGGGGCATAGCACCTGCAGGTAAAGCAGAGGGTGCTAAACATGACATATCCCACATCACAGCAGTCAACAATTGTTTTGAAGGTTTTTAACTCGCTCGTGCCAGACATGATATTGAAAAGCTGCAGTATTCTGTTGCGAGTCACATGTACCCTTCACGCAAATGTAATATAGACATTGTGGTGTATATGAGATAATTTGCAACGCGTTGTATTTATATGCAATGCAGGGTTCATGAAGTAAACAACCATTATTGTAGAACTGCACATGCTGCCATTCTCAAGGGGGGGGGGGGGGGGGGGCGTAACCATTTGTTTTTGGGGGGGGGGGGGGGGGGGGGGTGGGGGGGGGCCAAGAGGGCTTGATTTTCTGAAAAGGGGAAAGGGATTAAGTTTATAGTACTGTGCACTAGTTGCACATTGCTGATGGCTTGTGAGAGAGATATGCAACGTTTTTAAGTTATTTCCTGAAAAGTTTTCTTAAAAAGAAGGGGAAAAAAGAAAGTAAAACATATCATTTTGGGAGGGGGGCCAACTCATCTTACTGTACATGTATGTTTTTGTAGTACTGCACGTAAGGCAGACGATTAATCCGAGGCAAACACACCTGTTATCCTGTTTGAGACACACAACGCTTCGTTGTTCACTATGTGGCAAATCTGAATCCCCTCTTTTCACTTATTCCCCCCCCCCCCCAGGCTTACAACAAATTGGAAAAGTTTTCAGAGGCAATGGAGGACTGCCGGACTGCCTTGCAGTTGGAACCCAACAACGTCAAGGCATTGGTGCACCTTGGCAAGGCCCAGCAGGGACTGAAGGATTATGAGGCGGCTGTTAGGACTTACCAAGAAATCCTCAAGATTGACGAGAAGTACGAGAAAATGGTGGCAGGTGGGTCAGCAGTCTTCAGGCCAAATGCACAACATGAGATACGATCATTCTAAATGAGTCATTTGTCGGCCCTTATCGAATTTTGTAGTTTTTTTTTTTTTACATTTTTGAATAGAGCTGTATCTCAGTTTATATTTGGTGAAAACCCCATGTGAATAGGACCTTCCGTTCAGAAATTATGGGACTCAGAACACAGGCAGATTTGAAACAAGAAAACAGAGACTCAAACAGAGAAATCAACGATTCAAATTGAAGTGTTTATTACACAACAATAAACATGCTTTATTTTAGGTTATTGACATAAACTTGTTACTCCTTAGCAAAAAATGTCATGTTTTGAATACTTTATCGTGATATTTTCTCGGGAAAAAATGTTGACATGAAAGAGGACATATGTAGCCTTCTGATTTTACAAAAAAGTCAATTTTGAAATTTTCACCCTGACTGAACTATTTTGGGCTGTATCTTAAAATCGTAATTGCCGACAAACGACTCATTTAGTTTGATCGCATCACACATTGAATGTGAACGCGAATCTGAAGTTAATTTGAAGTCATTCAGGACACGTATTTAAATGAGTTGAAATGTTTGCAGATCCACAGTGCATTTATTTGCTGATAATTTTTGTGGATTTTTTTCATTTTCCAACAATCTCACCCCTGCACTAGGCTACATTGCAGCTGTGAATCTAGCCAAGTCCACAGCCAAGTCTGATATGGAGGCTGAGAGGCTGTTCAGTGAGGGCGACGTCAAGGCAACAGGCGTTCAGGAGATCGGACTCAGTGAGGGTAAGCAAAAACTCTGCCATAATTTAAGAAATATGCAAATGTAGGTATGTAAATTGAATGTTTCTTATCCCCAAAATGTCCGTTTGTTAGCATTTCAAATAATCTTGAATTTTGGTTTAATATAGACCCTTTGTTGGTTGTGCCATGACAGTGGGCAGGAGCTGATTTCATAAAAAAAAAGGTGCAGCTTGTGCCATGTGTAAGACTTACGCAACAAATTTGTTGCGCAGCTGCGCAATAAACTTACGATCAATCTTACGAAACTTGGCGTAGCTGCACAACGCTTTG